TGTACCGAAATGTACCGTACATGCCACTCCATAAATATAGAGTCAATTAAAATTACGATTACTGTCCCTTTAACAATTATTTCTAAATGCAAACTTTTGTCTTTTTTTCCAAAAATAAATCTTATGACCTTTACTAAAACTTTGAACGTACCTTTTTTAGTTAAAGAATTCTTTGATGAATTTTGCAGTGAGTCAATCGAACACTGAAGCCTGTAATGAAGTATTTTTAGAAAGATTCCTAACTTGACGTCTTTTAGAGATGATAGAGAATATAACGCTGTACAAAAACACTATGGGAATCAATTTTTAACATTATTCGTTAATCTGTTTTTTTCTTTAAATCGATTTTAAAATTTGTTGATTTAAAAAATGCGAATTTCGTTGCAACTTGCAAGATTTGTTTAGCTTTTCCAAAGGAGTTGAGTTTTTGCCACAAACTCTGATTTTCTTATCTTTATATCTTTGTAACCTAATGTCGTAGACCTTAGGTATTTCAAACTATTAATACTTATAAATAAAATAATCTAAGTTTGAAATATCAAAGGTTTGCACCATCAGGTTGCAAAGATATTGGGATCAGAAGATTTGAGTTTGTGACAAAAACTCAATTCCTTTACAGGATCACCCACAATGAGATGGCATTACACAAATTTTTAGTCTTATTTCTTGTGTGAAACCCTTGACAAACTCATATTATTTGATTTCGTTAATTTTACTATTTCATAATGTCGTTTACCTTTGATATTTCAAACTATGAATTCTATTAGATCAAATAGTCTAAGTTTGAAATATTAAAGGTTTACACCTTTTGACCGCAAAGATAAAGAAATAAAAATAAAATAAAATAAAAATCGATTTAGTTAGAAAGCTTTCTGCTTACAACAACAATATGACTAAAAGAGAGCTTCTTACAACTTTACCAAAACTTTAGTCTGACAATTTGTTTTTACATTAACAATTATATATTATTTTCATTATATAATAATACGCCTATTCATATAAAGTATAAACAACAGTGTCCCAAATGAAGGGAAAATTAATACATAACGTATATATAGAATGTGTAAATACCTTACTTTGTTTCCAGGAAATGTTTGTTGCTCACTAAACATTTAATTTTATTATTTTTATTATTTATTGATTTTGATTTGTTTATCTTAAAGTGTACGGTAAAAAAAATCATTTTTTATAAATAGTCAAATAAAAATTCCTTAAATATGAATTTTAGTAAATAAAAATTCTATTAATAATAATTTAGATAAATTAATATAAATTCCATTAATGAACATTTGATAAATAAAAAATCCTTTAATATAAATTCCATTACTATAAATCCCATTACTATAAATTCCATTAACATAAATTCCATTAATAAAAGTTTGATCAATAAAACTTCATTAATATAAATTTCATTAATGTAAATTTCATTTGTATAAGTTTCATTAACATAAATTCTATTAATGTAACTTTCATTAGCACAACTTCCATAAATAAAAATTCCATAAGAAAAATTCCATTGCTATAATTATCATTAATATAAATGCCATCAATATAAATTTCATTAATAAAAGTTTGATTTCCATTAAAACAATATTCCGTTAATAATGATTACAATAACAAAAATAATAATAATAATAATAAAAAAGTCTTTTAATAGAAATTCCATTTTTATAAATTCCATTAATAAAAATTGAGTTTATAAAAATTCTAGTAATAAAATTTGCGCAAATAAAAACTACCTAAAAGTATTAGGACGAGTGTTTGCTAGATCAAGAAAGATAATTAACAAAAAATTAAAAACATCCATCTAAAAAAACAAATCTAAATGTTAGTTAACATTACTTGTTTAAAATTAAAAATATTCCTGATTTTCTTAATTTAGCTCTTTAATATGAGAAGTTATAATTAAAAACATAGAAGATTTCAATCTTATAGCAATTTACTTTATTTTGACGTGGATAATCTTTTGGAAAATATATATCAAGGATTTTACCAAAACTAATTTAATTTTATCAATATTTTCTTTTCAAATGTAATTATAGATTTGAAAAAATAAAGTATTTTATAATTACAAAAACTAGGCTTCTTGTTTAACTCTTGCTAACCTCAACAACTATTTATTAAATTAAATTTGAATTCACCTTTATTTATTATTTGATTAACGATATTGCGTAAAGTTTTAGTGAATACAATATAATTTCATGGACGAATTTTTAAACTATTCTCTTTAATTTGCAATTCTGACCTCAACATGTACCATAGTTATAGGATATATGTATATCACGGTCAGCCGTAGTACATTGGAATTTCCGAGCCGGGTCAACCTTTCCGGTCCTAGTTTGCACTGTACCTAGCTCTATTGACTGGACTAGCCGGTGCAACAAGGTTGACACGGTCAGACGTTATGCTTCATATAGGTTGAATTTACTTTTACCAAAGGGGCAGAGGTGCGTGATACAAATATATATATACGACAGTAACTATACTTTTCTAATCCATATATATCTGGAACTTGATGGTGAAAACTGTTTTACTAATTCAAACAAACTAAGCTTCAGTTTCAAACATTAAAGGTTTACGACATCAGATTGAAAATATTTGAAGAGAAAAAAATTAAAGGTTTTTATTATAGAAACCAAAACAATCAACAATTTAGAAAAGTTTAATTCTAAGACTGTAAAGGAAAAATGAAAGGGTGGGTGCATAGGCTTTAGCTCTTGATCGTAACCCATGAAAGTTATTTCTGATATTCTTGTCTCGAGAAATGATATAAAACTGTGTCAAATTTAAACGAAAATTTATATATATATATATATATACAATTTTTTAAACAGATCATATTCAGCAAATATGCAACCAAACTGAAGACGAAGATATCCCAGAGAAACCTAGTAGTAGCTTAGGTTTTCTCCAATTATTATTTTATAATTTTTATTTTACTTTTAATAGATATATATAATTGATAATATTATTTATGTCCATATTTCGTCACAAGAACACTGACCGACGAGAACAAACAGGAACATCAGATATAACTTTTATGGGTCGCGATCAAGAGCTAAAGTGGTTCTTTACAGTAATATTTCCTCTACTTATTTTTTAGTTGTTTTCTGTGGTTATTATTAATCCTTGACATCAATATGAAAGGACACATAAACCTACCTATATATAATAATATAAAATATATATATAGTCGAAGGTTAGATTAATATCTGAAAAAAATGTATGAATCTGTGAGCGTAATGACCCTCCATACAACGACGGCAATGTCCAATTAACAACGGTGCCCTTAAAAGAATGTTTTCTGATAAAATAAGTATTAGCTGGCAATGCTTATAATTTTGAAACCTGACTGCTTTCAAATTTGGTTTCTCTACAAAAGTGAATTGCGCACAACTAGTGAAGGATAACGTCAGAATTTAGACCTTTCAAACCTAAATAACGGCAATATCTTTCTTGAAAAGGTTTGCACTTGAAATTAAGCGTACAGCTACTTTAAGAACATCCTAAGTATTTTGCAGTAGTTGAAATGGAAATAAAATAATCAACAAAATGCTTTATACTCGTCTTTCCTTTCAGTGGCATAAAACTTTAAATTAATATCATAAAAAAAAATATATTTTCCATATCGTTTTTGCCTGAAGAGGAGCTTAGATGAGTCGTAAAATGTGTTGTATTATAATTAGCCTTCAGACGAGACATAATAAACCAAAAGACAATAAAACGCAGGCTTCTGAAAAAGCTATATAATGTATTCATGTCTACCTCGAAGAGGATAATGGTGTTACATGGTTACTTAATGAAAAATATCTGAAACAAAAAAAGCTTCTATCGATAAAGTCTTTGTACTTTTACTAATCACAAATATATGAGCAACACGATATTTTTGTGCACAAATATTCTCATTAAAGCTGTTTATTTGTATAGAGAATTCAATCTATGGCAAAATGATAAACCAATGAAATTAAAATTCTTATAATGTTATCCTTCTTATCCATTTCTCTTATAATGGTATCCTTATCATCCATTTCTCTTATAATGTTATCCTTATCATCCATTTCTCTTATAATGTTATCCTTATCATCCATTTCTCTTATAATGTTATCCTTATCATCCATTTCTCTTGCCGCAATAAAATTGTTTTTACAACATAATTTCTCAGTATGAGAATGTATGAAAAATATTACAAAAAAAATAAATATTCACGAGCTAGGACTGGGCAAAGTTCCGTTACCGTAACGGAGTTTTTTTTTTGAAAATTAACGGACGATTCTGTTAACGAACGGCAAAAATCGTCAATTTTATATCTTTGACTGACGGAAATAGTCGTTCTTTTAAGATGTATTTTTAAAGAAACGGGAGTTTTAAAAAAACTTTCGTTCTTTTTTCTGTTTAAATTAGCATGGAACTTGCAGAAAATGAAAAGTAATTATTTTCTGTATTTTGATGTTTTTAATTGTTTTCCTCCGCTTATTTGTTGAATTATAGAATTTTATGCATTTTGATGTTTTATACGTTTTTTTGTTTTTTTTAATGTTTTGTCAAACTTGCCCGGCTATTTTTAAATGAAATAATCGTTAACGGCTAGTTAACCGTTGCCATCCTTAACAAACTACCGTTAAACAAAGGTTCCGTTTTAAGCTAAAAAACTATCTTACCATAAATAAAATTAACGGTTTTAACTTAAACGGAACGGCTGAAATAAAACGCAGAACGTGCCCAGCCCCCCCCCATCATCACCACACAGATAAATTTATGAAATTATGACAAGTATCATCAATTTAATCAGAAATGTTTATGTATCTTTTATTTTATCTAACCTACATGATGTTTGATATTTATAACGAAAATAATAAACATTGTTATGTCGTCTTTTTTCAGACAAAATATAATCCACTATTTTAAATTCTTTTCCAAGGTTTTCTAAAATTGAACAAGAAGTGCAATGTTTAGGAAGTCGTATACTAAACTCTCGAATTGAATTGCCCATCAAAAATTAGTTTGATCCCAGAATAGTATATTTTTACTTTATAATAGCAAAAAAACGATGTACATGTAAAGTACATAGACATACAGTACATAGACATACAAAGATGACTTGCCAACTACAATTTGTCTAATAAAACGGCATGTAAACAATATACATTAAAAGTTTTGCAATCTCCAGTGAAGCAAGATCACTGAATCAGCAGATTAGTTTTGAACAAATCATAAATCTGCGAAAGTTTCCGCGAATAAATAGGATGATGGAGCATTGAGATTACAAAGTTTGTTTGAGGTTCTGTTATATATATATATAACTTATTTTTAATAAAACTTTAAACATTTTTTTGAGTATTTTCATAGTTCTTCACAGTAGTAGTCCTGTTTAGTCCGAATCTGAATCTGAGTCCTTTGCCGCGTCGTTTTCTGGAAAATCTTCGTATTCGCGCATTTCTTCCGTGGTTTCCTCTGGTTGGGGTGGAGGGGGAGCAGCTGTAGCTCCCCTGTATGCGTCCTGCTCCTTTCCTTCACGGAAATTTATTCCAACCTTGTATTCATGACGAGCCAGATACTTGACAAACTTCTCCGGGGGCTCACCTATATAACACGACTTTTATCATTATTCATCAACCAATGTTTCTAAAACATTTTTTTGATTGAACTAATTTAGATTTAAAAAAAAACTTGAGATTTTAAATTGTTGACCACTTTAAAAAAGCACAAAATACAATAATTAGTTTTGATATTTACCAACCTTTCAAACAGCATGGATATACAATACACATAAACATTGAAACAAATAGAAGCTGCCCATTTTAACAGCTTCTTTTTATTTTACTTGTGACCTCTTATTTGAAAAAAGTCTGTTAGAAATCAAAACTTAAATCGAAAAGTCGTCTTCATTGTATTGATATTAACGACTACCACTAAAGAATAAATTAAATTTTTTTAGATTATTTTTGACAACCAGTTTTAAACAGGAAAATTGATTAGTTGGTTGTCTTATTCCTATAATGGGATTCTATTTGTAATAAAAGTGAACAATCCCTTTAATTTTATTGTATTTACCTGATCCAGTGAACAATTCCTTTAATTTTATTGTATTTACCTGATCCAGTGAACAATCCCTTTAATTTTATTGTATTTACCTGATCCAGTGAACAATCCCTTTAATTTTATTGTATTTACCTGATCCTTCTGAAACAGAGACTGATCTGAGAACAGTATAGCTCTCAGCTGTAGCTGGCTGGGTGAACTCTAGGTAGCAAAACTTCTCAAAATTTTCCGGCATCTGATCGAAACTGGTCAATGTAAGACGACATACGAACTCATGGTTAGTGTAGGAACCTTGGCCCTGTTTGGGGAGACGTGGAACCCGCCAAACAATAGCTTTGTGTTGATGTTCATACTTGGCTGTACCTGGAACAAAGATTAATTAATACAGTGCAAAGAGGGGGAGGGTACTGCGTCCAATCCTAATTTCTTATTGTGACAAAGAACTGCAATTTCATGTGTATTTGATGTTGTTATAAAGCAAACCGTTTCACTTAAACAAAAAAAACTTAATAAGAAACTTGGGTCTGTTTACACTGCACAATGGTGTGTTTATGTTCTAAAGGATTGTTGAAATGTGGCAAAATTGGCAATTATAATAAGTTCTATCATTATTATGTAATATATAATGTCTAGGTCTTGACTCTTGTACAACCAAATCTAGCTCTGAGTCTAACAGTCATTTCACTATTCCACATTTGTCTGTACCCCACTGTATGATGCAGTGTATGTACACTGTATGATGCAGTGTATGTACACTGTATGATGCAGTGTATGTACACTGTATGATGTAGTGTATGTACACTGTATGATGTGGTGTATGTACACTGTATGATGCAGTGTCTATACACTGTATCGTATGATTTTGTGTATGTACACTTATGATGCAGTGTATGTACACTGTATGATGTAGTGTAAATACACTGTATGATTCAGTGTATGTACAGTGTACACTGTATGATGCAGTGTATGTATGTCTAAAGACTAAAGAGTGCACCAGGGTTGGTTCAAGTTGAGTGGAATTAGTTCCAGTCTTGTTCTGTAATTAGTTTATAAGTCCTAGAAATCTTGGAACTAAAGAAATTTTTTCTAAACTTAAAGGAAAAAACATTTTTTGCGTAATAAATATAAAAATAATAAAAATTAAAATACACGACTTTTCCATTTTTATCTTTTAGTGGAAGTAAGTCTTTAAACACTTTTTTAATTTAAGGGGCTGTAGATGAAATTTTAAGTGACTCTGATTCACTACAGTACCAATAAAAGCTTTGTCTGATCAGGATGTATGATATATCCATTATCTTCTCTTCTTAAGTAATTGATTATTTTAAATTATGATTTCTTTGTAGAATGACTTGCACATATCTGCTTAAGAAACAATGGAGTAAATTATCAGAATTTAACACTTATAAAGCAAGAAAACTTTAAGTTTTTGTTCTGCAAACTTTTTATAAAGATTCGCGTCTTTTCTATTGAAATTTGAATTAAACTTCATTAAATGATTGTAGTGTAAACTTCTGTGATAGCTTTTCATACATTTTTCACCCTATGTATTTCAAACGCTTTGTGTATTTGTCCATTTTGAAAAAACTGTTCATGAAACCCCCTTTTACCCCATTGGAATTCCCTAGAACTCCCTGGATTTTCAAAATGGCCGTTTTACACTTTTTTCTAGTAAATTCCTCTCTATATATTCTATTCTCTATGCTTGGAACCCCCTGGAACTCTTGGAATCCCCTTTACCCCTGGAATTCTCTAAAACTCCCATAAAATCTTGGAATCCCCTAGAACTCTTTGAATCCCGTAAACACATGGAATTTTCTGAAACCCCCATAAACTCTTGGAACCTTTTGGAACCCAATGAAACCATATGGAATGGAACCCTCCTGAAATCCCTGAAACCCCACGGAACCCAATGGAGCCCCCTGGAACCCCATATAACCTCATGATACCCCCTGGAACGTACCTGATGATGTTTCCATGAGTTCCTGGCTAGCTGTCTCTAGTGTTCCCAGAAATCTGTCAATTCCTTTAACTTTGCCAGCTCTTCTATGCGCACTTTTAACCGATCCCATCCGAGTAGCCAGGTTTATGCTTCCGGAGCTTAGAGCATCGCGAACCTAGAATATTTTTAGAAAATTAATCTAAATTAAATCTTATCATATATTTTTATCCTAGATCTGTATAGGATAAACACTAAGAGGTAGACTGTTAAAAAATTCCTGACATTTTGCTTTTAATGTCGAACTACCGAAATCTTTTAAAATTACGAATATTGTGTTTAAACTTATAAACAGGTGGTTTGGAATATTTATTTAATATTAAGATGTCAGGGGTTCTTCTGAAAGTATATTTACAACAATTAACTTAACTTAATTTACTTTAAATTGCAAATTTTGTAGTTAAAAACTAATTCTTGAAACGCTTTAATTGAAATGTTTTTAAGAGAATAGTGTTGCATGCTGCTAGGAACAAGAATAGTTCTGTAGTTTCTAATATTGATTTTTGCCGCGATAAAATGTTATAATCTCGTGTTTTTGTAAATGAATAAAACATTTAAAACAAAATTTTGTCATTTTGAAAACATAATACCCTTTTCGTTACTTTGCAATGTATTATATTTTTACTTTGTTGAACAGATTGGGCCGAAATTTTGTGTGGGACCTCACATGACCCCAAGAATGTTAATGGATGCTCAAAATCACAAACAAAAATTGTCCCCAAAAGTTTTTGTTTTTGTTTTTTAGAAAATGCGCGTAAAAATGTTATTAAATCCGCGAACGTTTTTTTTGTTATTGTTTTGAATTTTACAAAGAGAAGATTACAGATAGAGCCACTATGAAAAGTTGAAAAAGAAGATAGGCACGAAGCGCACATAAAGCCTAGTGAAAACAAAAATTTGATTAGGAAAGAAAATGTGTTTAAATTGAATTTTTACATTTTGCAGTTTCTAATTTTTTCTTCTTTTTATATGTTCTCCTCCAAATCCAGGTTTCTGAATTGTTTAAATAAAGAGAAGAACATGGTTCATTAAAAGCTCTGTAAAACTCTCAACTCTTCTTAGTAAAGTTTTAATTCTTTAAACACACGCCAGAGGAACTTTAAATCTTCTGGAAACTTTCAATAGAAAGATAAAACAAAAGAAAATGCAGAGGCCTACTATACAATAAACATGCAACAAGATAAAAAATAGGGAGAACTTTTTTCTCTAAAAAAAAATAGGGTAGATCAAAAAAAATAGGTTCCTCTTTTATAACCATAGGAAAATATATATATTTGTTGATCCACTACGTTCCAATTTGAGTCAAATTTTTAGTTATGAAAATCCTAAAAACTATTTAACCCGCCAATCTTTTGTTTACTACGGTTACTAGAGATGGGCATAGATTTTGGTTTGTTTTAAAAAGATCAAGGTTTTCTACTTTTTGGAGGCCTCACAAGACTGTGAGATGTGTCTCACAGTCTTTGTGTTCCATGTATTCCATGTTTTTTGTTATTCTGACCGTAAGATATAATGCCACTAAGAAAACAGTATACAAATACTATAATAAAGAATAATAATTGTCTTAAACATTTTTTTAAAAAGTTAATATTTGCTAATTATCTTTTTTCCATCTCATAATCTGAGTTCGATTCCCTTATGTCCATTTGACAGCCAAATTTTTGTTTTAAATCTATTTTGTTTGTTAATTGGTTGTGGTTTTTAACAATTTTTTAAATTTGTTTATCGATTTTGATGGTTATTATCGTTAGAACTGACGAGGGTCAACCCAGACCGAAATATATTTTCAATAAATGTGGAACTAACATCTACTTTTTTTACTCTACAGAGGTTTGGTCCATCACCAACACCGAATTTTAAATATTTCCAACCACATTTGCAAGGGAATTTTACTTTATCTAGTTTCGAGGGTTGTATGTGGTCAATTAAGAAATTAATTCACCAATAAAGTGGTCAACAATTTTACCGTCTTTTGAGAAGAAAATGCGCGATTTTTTTCATGTCAACTTTGCAGAGCGGGTCTTTATTTTACTAAAGTGTCCCAAGGGGCAATAAGTAAGTTATCTTCCCTCTGTTGGTGAAATCATGAGTCAGTAATGTTGGCCAAAAGGGGGTAAAAATATGATAAACATCTCAGATCATGTTGACTATCAAAAAACTACAACTATCTCAAAGAGACTGTAAGCATGATTTCTTGGTACCCTGGAAATCTTTATCTGTGTCCGAATTTAATGAATTTGAGCCACGTCTAAAATCCGCCAAAAACAGGTTTCAATTGAGCGCCGGCTTAAATCTTGAAATAATTAATATGATTTTAAGTTGAATCAACAATATTTAAGTTGAGGCTTAAATTTAAGCCGTAGCTAAAATTCTTTAAATTCGGCCTCTAAACATTGTTGTAGGAGATGTTGCTTTTTTTCTGGGTTTAACGTTTTTTATTCAGATAATTCCGTAGTATAAACCATTGAAACCACCATTGAAATTAATTACTTTTCAAGATTATAAACATTAATATCTAATTCATACTTGATCAGACAAAGTTTTTAAGAGAATGGTTGTAAATCAGGGATTGCAATCTTTGTATGGAGTGTCCTTTCAAGTACCTAGAACCAAATCCCAAAAAATACCTGTGAGAGGGAGAGATTATGCTTCTCTGTCCTGAACTGATATATCCAGCATTCAGGTAGAGGTATACGCATAGCAACATCCTCACAAGGTACCTGACCCCAGGCCTTCGTGGCATGATACGGAACCATTATATCTGCTCGGATCTCCACCTTGTTCCCGTTTATTATAAAATCACATCTAGCCTTCATAGGAAGTTCTCTTGATCTTGGAGGTCGGGTTCTAAACCTCATAACCTCTATATAGCATCCATCTGGAGGCTGAAATTTGATAATGTGGTCTTCAGCCTCAAATGCCTTTGTGTTAACCACATTGTGAAATTCTATGTCTTCATATCTGATCCACTGCTCTGTAGGAACAGGAAGGATGTCATGTCGACCAACTACCTCAAGTCCCATTCTAGTCATATCATTTACACCCACATCCACTTCAGGCATCCCAGACAAAAATGAAAGGAAGAAGACCCTAACCCTGCAGAGATGTTTTGTGATATGACCTTCTGAGTTCTGCTCAACATAAACCTCATCAACTGCTGTCATCTGAACCTCTTCTGTCTTATAGGTAAGAGCCCTGTCTCTATGTACATCAATCTTAAAGAGCCGTTCCTCAATACACACTGAAAACTGTTTCATATCCTCATAGCTGATGCTTGCCAGCTTGAGAAGCTCTGATATTTGTGGAGCATGCTCCAGTGGAACACCAAGCTTCTTCATATCACTAGCAAACTCTTTAACCCCTTGGTAATCTGCATCTTCCACTGCCTTGGCTAGAAATCCAATTTTATCTGTTAGTTTCTGCATTTTCGAAACTTGTCCAGGTCTAATACCAGCTCTCTCTTTGTAAAATATATACTGTAATTTGATAGTGAACACTTTACTATACTGATCAAAGACCTGATGTGAGATATCTGACAGAGAGTAGGCAGCTTGCAATGGAAGTTCTTGAAAAGGATCCTTTGAATCTTTGGCATCAAACAGAAGTATGGCTGGATTTTCTCCTTGGTTTACAATTCTTACAAAAACCTTCTTCCAGAACCTTTGTGCTGTGATCTTCTTCTTGGGTGGATGTCTGATATACATTTCCCAAACATCAGTATCTGAATGCAGACGAGGGAATGGCTCTAAAGGTTTGGAAACATCAGAGTCAAACAATGGAGACTCAACTTCGTCTCCATTTTTATCTCCTGGTCCTGGCATTCCAGATTGTTCAGCTAGGAATGGATTGTTCATATCTGCAGCAACTGGAAGCATTCCAAAACTATCTCCAAAGGCTGGGTCTTCTCCAAATGTTGGGGGAGCTGCATATCCAAAGGCAGCAGCACCCTGACCAAAGCCACCTCCAAAAGCATCTGCAGGAGCAGCAACAGCTTGCATTTCTGCTTTTTCAAACATTTTATCAAAATTTTCATCCCAGCCACTCATCTCCCCGTGACAAGGCTTGCTTGGTTCAGGAGCTACTATGTCAAACAGAGCAGCACCTGTTGAACCTGCAGCACTTTCATCACTAAGACCAAATATTGCTGCTCCAGTGGACTTTATGTCAGGAACACTGGGCATGTCAGAGAAAAGAGCATCACCAGTGCTAACGCCAGGTGCATACCCATTAACTGGAAGGTCATCAAATAGACCAGCAGCTGTGCCTCCAGTTTGGTAAACTGGTTTGACTTCTTCTACTACTTCTTCTTCTGTTTCTTCTTGTGGTTCTGCCAAAGCTGGTTCTTCCTTATCCTCTTCTTGGACATTAAACTCTTCTTTAGAATCTGCTGTCTCAGAGTAAAGGTCAACATGACTTGTGGCAGTCTGTATTGTCTCTCCAGTATCATTTAATTCATTTCCAAAAATACCACTAAACCCTGTGGACTCTTTCTCTTCAATAATATTAACCTCATCTTTTGATTCTTCAATATTAATTTCAGGAGTATCACCAATATTAAGATCAGCAGTAGGATTCACATTTTTCTCTACCTCCTCATCTGAATCAGAGTCCTCTATCTGCTTCTCCTCAAGACCAGGAGCCACTGGGGTCTTTGCAATTTCTAACTTTTGAAGCATATCAGAGGTGCTGACTTCAAGTCCACCAACCATTTCAGTGACTAAAGTTTGTGGTCTCTCTGTAAGTAATAATTCAGAAGGTGGATCTGGAAAAGTTTCAGTGTCAACCAATTGGTTTTCATTTAGTTCAACCCCAACTTCTGGTTCCTCCACTTGAGCTTCAACATTATCTGCAAAGGGATTTATTGCTGTTGGAGTGTCAGCTCCCTCTGCGGAAGCAACAGGTGCAATACTTGCAGGAGATTCAGCAATAGTTAAAAATGGATTCGCTTCTGGAGTAGAACTTGCAATAGACATAGCACTAGAGCCTGTAGGTTCAACACCGAATAGAGCAGCTCCAGCTGCATTGCCAAGAGAATAATGCTGGTTTGCGTTTGAAGGCACTGTGCTAGTATCAGTTGTCATATGTGGCATTGATGCAAACTGATCATTGTAATATGGATTTTGCTGTTGAGACCCATAATACATTGAATTGACATTTGGAGCCTCATATCCCATACTGGAATAATCACCAAAAGGATTTGCTTGCTCAGGTTGTGGAACATGAGCCTGTTGTCCATATTGGTTGTAACTAGCATACCCTGCTTGCCCCATCATCTGCTGTTGCATCATGAATGGATTCACTTCAGCCATTCCCTGAGGCGCATCCATGAATGGATTAGCCATTTCAGCAGCAGGAGGACCACCAAATAGAAAAGGGTTTGGATTCGCCATGTTTAAGCTACCAAAACTGAACTTGTGTCAAATGGATCGTCCTCTTCCTCTTCAAGTTCAAACTCGTCTGGTTCTGGAGCTGCTGGTGGAGTTTCTGGTCCTCTTGGGTCAAAATCGTCGTCTGTGAAACTCCTTTTTAAAGGTCCTCCAATATCTCCCAAAAATTCCTCTTCTAGATTCTTTAACTCTTGGTTTTGGGAAGTTGCCCAATTTTCTTCAGTAGACTCCTTGACTTCAGTAAGTGGGGTCAATATCTTTGCTGGAGAACTTGATTCAAACTCGTTTGAGTTTATTGAGAAAGGATCAACAGCAGCTGGCCTTGGTGGGGGTGGCCTTCTTTTCTTCTGGACTTTAAATGTGGTTTCAGGATCAAAGTCGTCGTCTTCAATGGAAACAGTGGACCTCTGACTGACTTTAGGTTTCCTTACTGGAATGACTTTATCTGCAACTGTGGTATCAAAAGGATCAAAGTCTGGATCGTCAATACTTCCCTGCTTGACAAGTTTGGTAAGATGGGTGGTGTCAAAAGGATCACCCTTGTCTGGTAGAACAGCTGCTGCAAACCCAGTATCAAATGGATCAATAGACTCCTCTAGCTCTATATCCTTTTCAAGATCAGCAAGAATATCAAGGTTAGATTTATCTCCTGATTCTCCTGAAGCAGTAGGATCAAGAATTTCTTTTTCTAATAACTGAAGTTCAGTTTTGCTTGGTCCTTCTAGCTTGCACAAGGTTGTGTCAAATGGGTCAACTTCCTTAGCTTTAAGCTCAGCTACAACTCCTTCGTATTCTGTAGTGTCAAAAGGATCAACTTCACCCTTGTGTTCCAATTCAGATGCTTCAATAGCCTCAATATTAGACTTTCTGATCAAAGTCTCAGCTTCAGCAACATTCCAGGATTTAATAGATTCAGAGCTGGGAGCTTTAACAATAACAGATGGAGTGTTTCTTCCAGAGGCGTAGTCAATCTCCACCCTTGGTGCTGATGGTCTAGAGGGTGGAGCAGGTCGGGGTGGAGCTGGTCTAGGAGGCAGCGGGCGAGATGGGCGGGGTTTAACCTCACCAAAAGCTGCCCAGCCCTCGTCTGCACTAGGGCTCTGATTCTGATTAAGCTGCTGATCTATTACATCAAATGGATCGACCCCTACAATAAAAAGATTGGTAGATATTTGTGAATGAAAATATGGGATATCATTTGATTCCAAAGTTTCCCAAATGTTCATAAACCGGAAATATAATCAAATTATTCATGGAAATATCAAAAGAAGAGAAAACTTTATAATACAACTTTAAAAATACTGTGAGTATTTAAGGTGTACAGACATGAACATTAAGAGCATAAAAAGTGTCTAAAATGCAAAACCTTAGAAAAATTTTTTTTATAATTTTTATAATTGTGACTTAGTTGATCAGATAAGATTTTCGTAAATGTAAAAGAAAAATTAATTAAATTTTTATTGAGTGCAGGGGTTGACTTTTGCAGTTTGCTTGAGAAGAATTTGTGAATGTAAAGCCTTTCCAAACTATTTCTTGCTGTTACATTTTAGTCGATCTAAAATATCGTCTTCTTTTGATCCTTATTCCAGACTTGAGAGAAATTGTTATGAACTTTCTAATATTTGAATAAACAAAACCTGATGTACAAACTTTTAACTGGATTATTTTAATTTCATAGCACATGGGTCTTTTGATACTTTATAAGATGCAAAACAGACAGTAAGAAACTGTATGGTACATAGAAAAAATAAGATTTTGACTTTTCTCTCAAAATGTACAAGGACAAGTTTAAAATGGAAAACAATATTTTATTCTTTAAAGAAAACAAAATTAATATTTTGTTGAAAAAGATCAAATCATTTGTAAAGTGTCATGGATGAGTACACTTCTAAAAAAGATGAGATTTTAGCTTGAAAGAATTAAATATCCCCCACCTCAAAAAAAAGTAGTATTGTTTGTAGAAAGAAAAATAAAAATAAACTAGATAATCCATAAAATATTATTTTTATACCTATATCTCCAGTTCCTCCAATAGTCTCGTGAGGATCTCTTTTAGCAAGCTGTTCAAACTCAAGATCTTCCTCGTGATCCTTCGTCAGATGTTCGTATTCAGTTGTATCAAACGGATCTTTATCGTCGAATGTATCAAACTCAACCTCAACCTCCTGCTTGTTTACAACAGCGGTGAGAGAAGCAAGACGAAGAACTTCGTCAGCTTTTGAAGTGTCAAAAAGATCGTCGTTGTAGAGATCACTTTCTATCTCCTCAAGAGTCTTCTTGTTGATCGATTCCTTGGCAAGTTGATCAAATGCTTCGTCAAAAGGATCAGCTTCTTCTACTTCAGCTTCAGCAAATTCAGCAGCAAGGATTGCAAAATTGCTGGTAAGTGCAACCTCTTCTCCTTGAACAACGTCAAATTCTTTAAGATCTTCAGAGAGCCTCTGCTCTGTGTGGGTTGAAAGATCAAGATCTAGAAGCTCCTGTGTTGCTACTGGACCTGGAGAAGGTGTGCTACACAAAAGATCTCCAACTGGGACTTCTAACCCGTCTTCTGCTGAGAATACGTCTAGTTTATCAACTTTGTCAGCTCGGTCTAGGTCAACACCTTCGATTTCATCAAGTGCGGTCACATCATCGATATCCTCAGCAATAAGATTGATGCGATTTGCTCGCCTTCTTTTCTTCTTTACAGTGTGCTCAACTGCACTCTTATCTACTTTCTTAGCCTTTCCTGGGAATAACAATAATAAGAATCCTTTGTAATATTGATATTGGTAAAGTAATAAAAATGTATGGTCTATTAATATATTAAAACATTTTATAAGTACAATATTTAATATTGATTTACATTAGTGTGTGAAAATTAATCTTAAAAATAACATTTACCCCTTCTGATAAACTAATTTTTAAAACAAATTGAAAAATGATGTTATAGAAATAGAACTTTTAATGACAATATAACTAAAAAAGTATGAAATATTGAAAAACGATAATGAAATTGAAATTTAAGACAGAAAGTTATAATTATAAAAAAATAATATGATAGTTAATTTTGAAGGTGCACTGTCAACGTAGTTTCAAGTCACCCTCAATCCCAAGCGTTTCAAGCCTGATTTTCAGCTGTACTTTTATATGGGAAAATAATACAGTTTGAACAGTTTCATTCTTGTCTCTTCTGCATAACTTCCCAACCCGTTATGATAGAGATAAATATTTATCTTCAGATTGAAAAACAAGGAAATATCAGATAAAGGTTTACAGCCTTACAGGGTAGAGTTTTGAATCTATCATTAATCCTTTAATTAATTGTGGTTCACTTCAAATTACGTATATAGTCCCTTTATGAGCAGTGTAATGAAACCAATGTACTACCTGAAAGAACATCTGCAGCTGCAGCGATACAACCAAACTTGACTTTATTACTCTCAACCCTCTCTTTAACCTTCTTCTCCTGCTGATGTTTCTCAACTATATCTTGAGCAAACTTTGTGTCAAATGGATCGTCTTCGTCAATAGGTTCAGGACTGTCTGGGATAACAGCTAGCTTAAGATCTCCACTGATGATAGCATCAGCAAACCCTGTGTTGAATAGATTGTCTTCGTCTTCAAGATCTACAGGTTCATCGTCAGGAATATCAATATATCCAGCAGGTTTATCGTCTTCCTCCTTCTCCTCCTCCTTAGCAGGTTCCTCCTCCTCTACTGCCTCCTCAACAGGTTCCTCTACAGGTTTTTCCTCCTCTTCAGGTTCGGAATCAGAGAGTTCCTCTCCTCCCTCTTCTTCCTCGAACCCGTCTTTATCAAGATCAACCCACTTCTTCTTCCTTTTCCCAACTAGATTAGTAGGACGGGCAACCTTGGAGTCTTCAAGGATCTCAACCTTAATATTACTATCATAATTATAATTACTTTACCTGAGTTTTCTTCCTCTGATAATAGCTGTCAACTTTGATTTCTTCAAGTTTACTTGTTTTTTCTTTTAAAACTTGATCTATCCCTGAAGTTAATTCTTGGAATTTCTTCCATCCCTCTGAATCCTCCTTGGGTGTCCTCCCAGGGGCCTCCTTGTCCTGTTTGTCCTCAGGACTGCCGGCCTCAACAGATCCAAAGTCTGGGCTGGCCTGATTGCTCCAGTCTCCAGTAGTTGATGTCTCTTTAAGATCTAGTTTAAGATCTCCTTTCTCCGGTTTCTCCTCGGTATTCTCCTTCTCCTCGTTCTCTTCTTCTACAATTAAATTAGTTTTATCTAAAGATCAATCATTAAAAGACATATGCAAAAATTTTGTGAGAATTTTCCCAATCATTTTTTAAAACAAAAGCTAGGAAAAATGTTCTATAGGTTTTAAATAGAGTTTAAGTATAAATGAGTTAGTCAGGTAAAATTAACGTTGAAAAACTACAAAATCAATTCAGTCTTAAAAATAGATTCAACTTTGCATGTTCATGTTCAATGTACCATGTAAATATCAGTGGTTAGAAAGGGATGATTCATTCAGAGTATTTATCGAAATAGTACTGTACTATTGCTTAAGTTGCTTAAAAATAGATTCAACTTTGCATGTTCATGTTCAATGTACCATGTAAATATCAGTGGATAGAAAGGGATGATTCATTCAGAGTATTTATCTAGATAGTACTGTACTATTGCTTTAGTTGCTTAAAAGTCGGTCTGATGGTTTACCTAACCATAGTTTACAGTGACCCTCCCCCCTTCCCTGTTTTACAACAAGCTATAATATTTTGTATTAATTCTGACACGCTTATGTTTGTTTTAAAAAGTTTGATTTCCTTAAAACTTAAACTCTTTAACATAAAATAAAAAAAGAACTGTAAAAAGCTAAATACATTTTTGTTTAAATTGAAGACTGAAATTATAAAAATCTAATTATTCCATAAAAAAATGTTTTCAGAAAATGATTACTTCTGAATGGTTGGTCAGCTTTCATTAGAGAATAAAAATAAAAATTTCAACAGCAACACAATTTAGAAAATACATTTTAGAACATCTTTTCCATAATTTGGTTTATTTTAGGAATTTTAGATTATGTTTAGTGATGCATAAAGGAGGGGGGGGGAGGTAAGAAAAATTAAAATTAAACTTTCTCTCTGACCTGCTAACTTTCTCTTTTCTTCTAATTCTTTTCTGTACTTTTCAAGATTCTTCGGATCAAAAAGATCTTCTTCTTTGATTCCTTTTCTTTTCTTCTCTTTCTTTGCTTTCTTTGCAGCTTTTTCTTTTGCTTTGACCGCTTTCCGCAGGTCTTTCCCGGGATCTGTGTAGCCTGGAGAGAAAAAAGAAAATTTAAAAATGAAAATACTCCTGGAAACATGTAAATATGTAAATATATATATATATATGTTGAGAGAATATAGTTGATAAGTAAGTAAATATTTAGTTAATAATCATGTAAACAAGTAAATATGTAAATATATATATATGTTGAGAGAATAAAGTTGATAAGTAAGTAAATATTTAGTTAATAATCATGTAATCATGTAAACATGTAAATATATATATATGTTGAGAGAATATAGTTGATAAGTAAGTAAATATTTAGTTTATAATCATATGTAAGCATGTAAATATGTAAATATATATGTGCTGACAGAATATAGTTGAAAGTAAGTAAACATGTCAATTACAAATAAGGAGACATAAATATGAAAATGCATCAACACGTTTTATATTAACTCTTTCAGGTGTATAACATTTGGATTTTTTAGAAAATAATTGTTTAAAGATTCATTTATTACTTTTCAAAGATTCATTTATTACTTTTCGAATGCGGTTGGTTCTCAATAATAACTTTAAATTAGTTTTAAAGGATCTAAGTTTGTCACAAACTAAAATTTTCATATTCCTTTAGCGTTGCAACCTAATGGCTTAAACCTTTAATGTTTCAAATGTAGATTATTTTATGTAACAGAATTCAGAGTTTGAAATATTAAAGGTCTCCGACATTGAGTTGCAAATGCAAAGTAATTAGAAAATCTGAGTTTGTGTCAAACAAAAAGTTCCTTGTTTTATTGTAAAATGTTTCAGAAATTTTTGTTTTTTCTCGATGTAGTACTTTTCGATTTTTGAATCATTAAAGAGAGAATTTGAGTATTAAGACATTTTCTGTAATCATTTTTATTTGTATCCACATTTAGTTTGTTTGTATCCAATAATTGTCAAGGTCTACTTTTTTGTAGTAACTCACTTTTCCCAAGGTTAAAATTAGAAATGTTGCTCAAAATCTAGAATTTTTTTTGTGGGGGGGGGGGGAATTCGCTAATGAACATTTAAGCACCCTGCACCCTGTAAACCTAGTGTTTATATAAGTACCTAGTATTATACAAGTTAATGATATACAATACAGAGTATACAGACTTCAGTTAATGAGAATAAATTATACAGAACTACAGCAAGGGAATAAAGTAAGACATTTATTTGTTAGACAAACTTGCATTTTGTTAATTGAGATAGGCCTAAATATATTTATATTGTTTATCTCTAAATACAGGATTTCCCACAAAAAATGATCTTTTGATAACTTTTTCTTACAAAATTCTAACAAGAAACGAATATGGCTGCTCCTGACTGGATGGGGGTGTATCTCCCTGAATATCCTCTAGATAATACCTAGATAATCCTCTCCGAAAGCTCCGTAATGTTTAACTTTATGCGCTACTTCTTTAGTTCTCTCCTTGTACTCAGAAGCATTAGATTCCTGCGCCTAAACATTTATATTTAAAGGGAGTGTTCGCGAAAAATGAAAGTGGGTATAGGCTTAATGCGATAAAAAAGCGCTTTTGATCGCTACTAATCCTACTTCTATCTGTTGCGTCTATAAGGAGAAAATTGTTAAATACGTCTCATACAGAATAACATGGCTTCCATACAAATTGAGAAAATTGCAACATACGACTTTGACCGTAAAAAATCAATTTAATTTCAAATAAATCATTCCGATATTACAACCTATAGTCATCGATTATCTTTCGCCACATTTGTATATATTTGATATTTCATACTAGTTTTGATTTTGTTTTTTAAAATAATATTTAGCTTACAACTTGTTTTGGAACATTCCTGGAAAATATGAAAATGTCGTCTTCATTACCAAAAATCCACGAAACAGGAATAAATGTTTTTACAAGTAACTCTCAGATCATAACAATTAAAACATATTATGAAATATCAAATATATACAAATGTGGCGAAAGATAATCGATGACTATATGTGGTAATATCTGAATGATTTGTTTGAAATTAAATTGATTTTTTTACTGTCTAAGTCGTATGTTGCAATTTTCTCAATTTGTATGGTTGCTACGTTCTTCGGTATAAGACGTCTTTCACAATTTTCTCCTAATAGACGCAACAGATAGAAGTAAGATTAGTAGCGATCAAAAGCGCTTTTTTATCGCATTAAGCCTATATCCCCTTTCATTTTTCGCGAACACTCCCTTTAAGAAATTTTTCAACAACCTTATGGTCAGGGTGTTTTTTTTAATTATGTAATTCTGCTAAATATACCAAACGTCCATATGCGCAGACAACCTTTATTCTTTTTAAATGTAATCCTTTATGATTTTTCTTAAAAGAACTAAAATATTTTTCTAAATTCTAGATCTCGTATTTCCAAAACGAAAATTGTGTTTTTACTTTTTACAAAAAAGTGTCTTATCTAAAAAAAAATTACTCGCCCCCTCCCCCCTCCCTCGGGTCATCATTTCCGTTTTTTACCTATATTTAACCCACCAAATAAACTCTCAATGTAGGTTCGATTGACCCAAAATTAAAATCCTTTTTGCCAGAAATGTAAATCATCAATTTTCTGATGGAAAAAAAAACAAGATTAAGGTGTATAACTTTTTAGATTAAGGTTTCTTGAAATTTTGGAAACGGTCCCTTTAAAGCTGACAAAAATACCTTTTCTGCTCCCTCCGATACAAGTTGAACTCCTCCTTGTAAAGTTTTCTTCGCACCGTCCGCAAATTTATCCTGACAATAGAAAAAAAAATTTTAAAAATTCTTTTTTCTCGATGCGCGTCCTCATTATTTGTGCATGCGTCCTCTTTAGCCTAAGAATATTGGTAAAAATATTGGCAGCTAATATGAAAAAATATATATATGTATTCATCATACTAAATTTCAATTTAAAAACAACTACAGTGCTACCCAAAAACCGTGAAAAATGAAAACATCTGTTAAAATCAAGTTATGAATTCAAAAAGTTCTATGAACATGAACAGCAAATGTGCAGTATACACAGACCCAACTCACCTCACTTCATAAGTTGATTTTTATACTAAATTGTTTGCTATATAAAAACTTTCATTATATATAAGAATTTCTTAAATATTGTATTCTTATTTTTACAGTTTTTTTAAACATTACATCGAAATCATTAAAATTGATCAAACATATAGACGACATTTATTTAATATAAGAACCATACTAACCTTAAGATCTACAGAATCACCGACGACCTTTCCAGCAAGGTTAGTTCCTTGGGAGGCAATACAATTAATCGTAATGAAACAGAAAATCAAAAATTGAATTCCAAATCAAAAATAAATTTTGGGGTCAGTAAAAAAGGATAAATAGTTGGCTAAATTATTGTTTACTAAACGAAAATATGATTGATCTACATGATTAATTGATTGAATGATTGATTGATTGAATATTGCCACCTTCCTTGCTCTGTAACAGTACTAATTCCTCCTTTCACTGCTTTCTTGAACCCTTTGAACATGTTCCGGGGTCATAGCCAGCTCATTCAGCTGTACACCTACACATTACTGTACAGTTCTAGAACAGGATATTGCAAGCTCATTCAACTGTACAACTGCACATTACAGTAGAGTACAAGAACTATACAACACAGTCATTTTAGCTGTACAACAGAGTACACTCAAGCACCGTACAGTGCAGTACAGTACAGAACAGAACAGAAGAGTACAGCACAATATAGAACAATACAGTTAAATGTAGTACACTGTACAGTAAAGTGAATTAAATTAGATTTTAGAATAATATATTACAGTACAGTAGTACTGTACAATAATTTGCAGTATAATAAAATAAAACACCGCTTAGTACGCTGTTGTATTTGCAGTACAGTTATTTCGTTCTTACTTCGACAATTTGTTTTTAACCCTATCCCCGCTGGGGTACTTGAAAACCAGGATACGCTGAGGGTTGGGTCAATTTGACCCCCCCCCCCTCTAAATCCCATGTTTTATGTCCAAATATGAGAAATGATACATCATTAGAAAGCTCTTTTGCTCTACTTTTAGAATCTGCAAAATAATTTGCAAATTTGCGAAAATTGAATTTTTTATCGCAAAATCCAGTTTTATAGTAAAAATGTTTGCAAAAAAATTTGTCCAAAAAATGACAAATTATACATTTTTGAAAAGCCCTTGACCATGCCATTTCAAATATGCAAAAATTTTTGCAAAATTTTAAATAACCTGATTTTTAATCAAGAAAAACTAAAAATGTGCAAATTTCCTTTGACAGGTTGTTTGCAAAAAATTTGCAATTTTTTTTTCGCAAAACTTGCGCAATCCGTTTCCTTATGTCATAGGCTTTCCAAAAAGCTAAATTTTATCAAAATCTGACAAGTGAAAGTGGGTCAAAACAAAGATTTAGTTTGCTACAGGCAAAAGCAGTCATTCAGGCAGTGTGCCTGAGGACTCAGGCAGTTAGTATTAAAGCACGGTTTTAGGCCTAAAGGGAGGGCTTTGGGTATGTAAGAAAAGTCAGAAAATTTCAACAGCCTCAGACCAATACTTTTTGAGTTATGTAAAAAAAACTACAGGGGGGGGTCAAATTGACCCCCCCCCCCCAGCGGGAATAGGGTTAAATTCTCCGGTAGAATTGTAAACAGAAAAAAGCAGACCACATTTTGGAAATGCCAGGACTAGAAGAATTTTTGTGAATAATGGTTGCGCGGGACACCCTGTATTAGAACGTTAGATGGGATACCCTCTAGTCCTCCATTAGAACGGTACAGCAATTTTAGACACCTTGTATTAGAACGTTACAGTAAGGTGGGACACCCTGTATTATAACGTTACAGTAAGGTTGGACACCCTGTATTATAACGTTACAGCAAGGTGGGACACCCTGTATTAGAACGTTACAGTAAGGTGGGACACCCTGTATAAGAACGTTACAGCAAGGTGGGAAGCCCTGTATAAGATCGTTACTGCAAGGTGGGAAGCCCTGTATTAGAACGTTAGATGGGATACCCTCTAGTCCTCCATTAGAACGGTACAGCAATTTTAGACACCTTGTATTAGAACGTTACAGCAAGGTGGGACACCCTGTTTTAGAACGTTACAGTAAGGTGGGACACCCTGTATAAGAACGTTACAGCAAGGTGGGAAGCCCTGTATAAGAACGTTACAGCAAGGTGGGAAGCCCTGTATTAGAACGTTACAGAAAGTTAACTAAAGAACAGACAAGCCCGCAAATATATAAACACAATTCGTTCCCACGACGCAATCCTGTAACAGTTCTACTGTCTTGTCTTGTGCTAAATGATATCCGTGATTATCTTAAACATGTAAATTACTTTAAATTTCGCGTTGTAGATTCAAAACTTTAAAACAGGTGACTATAAAAAGAAATTGAATATTAAGGTTACGATGAAACCATCTAAATGATCGAAACGAATGTTTAGTTTTAGCCAAACTCTAAATTTTCAATGAATATAAATGAATGACTTGAATATCTGATGAAACTAAAGATCCTAATAAACTTAATTCTAAACAGTAATCAAAGAAAATAAGTATATTATGTTACTAAAACCTGGTTTTTCTTATTCTGCAGTAGAAAACTCTGTTCTCCCCCTACTCGGAAGAACGGAGTAAGGTTTGAATTGCCTAGGACGAAACTGCTCCGGGTAGGAAGAACTGCTCGGAGGATCAATATGGTGGAATCACGAGGGCTTCCAAACCTCGGAGAGTCAGCTGAACCACACCAAGCCTGGAGAAAGGAGGAAGAGAAAGATCCTAGATAGATAGATAAATATACAGATAGATGGATAGATAGATAAATGGTTAGATAGATAGATAGACAGATAAATAGATGTTTAGTTATATAGATAAACAGATAAAAAATGAATATATACTCACACTTTGAATATTATTGATAAAACTTATAATTGCTTTTTTTGCTAATCTCATTCTCTCTCTTGCTTAATCTTTAGCATATAAGTCAGCATAAATTCAGTGCAAAATTTTATATTTTCTAGATTACGATATTTTGAGAGATACATAAAAGTATTTTGAGCTTGATATTAATTTCATTTATACCAGAATACATATATATATATTTGTAATAAGAACAATTCGATTTATCGATAGGTTTTCAGTTATCGATTAGACATTTAGCGCTTTCATTTGGTTTTTCATATTTAGAAATAAGGATACATACCCTTATGTAGCGTGATACAGGATACATTTTACTAGAAATATAGATACAATACAGAGAGAGATAGATAAAATACAGGATATATTTTACTATAGATATAGATACAATACAGGATATATTTTACTAGAGATATAGATACAATACAGGATATATTTTACTAGAGATATAGATACAATACAGGATATTTTTTACTAGAGATATAGATACAATACAGGATATATTTTACTAGAGATATAGATAAAATACAGGATATATTTTACTAGAGATATAGATAAAATACAGGATATATTTTACTAGAGATATAGATACAATACAGGATATTTTTTACTGAAAATATAGATACATTGCAGGATACATTTTACTAAAGATAGATACAATACAGGATACATTTTTCTAGAGATATAGATAAAATAGATGATACATCTAAATAAAGATACATACAATACAAAATACATTGTACGAAAATTTCGCTGAAGAATAATGCGAAAATTTCGCGAAAAAAATAAAATTATGCAAAAACTGAAAAATAAGCAAAAAATTCGAAAATTTCGCAACAAAATTTTAAAAACAAATGCCGAATTTTAGCTAAAAAGTTTCGAAAATTCATCAAGAAAGACTAAATTTTGAAAATAAAAGACTCATTTTCAAATCGGGATTTATCTGCGAGCCCAATTGATGGATTAACACAAAATAAAATTATAGATTTAAGGAGACATCAGACAATTCATAGATTTACTTGAAAAAACTTTCTCGAACTTTAAGATTTTTCTTCTTAAAATACCAAATTAAATCTACTGCGGGAAAAACCAAAATAATTCGGAATAATTTAAATTCACCCTGCTTTATTAATATCCATACTTCCAAGATATGTTTTTGCTTTTTACACACATTTAAACGCATTACGCGAAATTTTCACAATTTCGCGCAAAGTTTGCGTTATGCGACCAAAAATTTTCGCATTTTTTTCGTGAAACATTTCGTTCGCTGGAAACCCTATTTTAACCTCAGAATTACAGAATTAAAATTAAATCCGATAAAAGTAAATATTTTCCAGACTAAAATGGCGCCCAAGAAGAAGAAAGGAGATGGTGAGGGTGGAGGAGGTAAAGCTAAGTCAAGTAAGTTGACCAGGATGAATGAGATGGACAGGGTCAAGTACCTGGAGAGAAGGATGGCGGAGGAGGAGGAGGGAAGGAAGAGGAAGGAGGAGATGGTGGCTGGATATCTAGGGTAATCTACAGATAATGTTTTTAGTCGGATTTTTTTAAACTTTCAATATTTCAAAACTCTATTCTGTTAAAGTTTGCTACTTTTAAATGTTTAAATATTTTATCCTCAAAAATGGAAACGATCAAAATGCGATCACTATCGTTTTCGGTTCGATTTTTGCAAATAAAAATTTGACATTGTGTAATAAAAGCATAGAAAACATTTGCTTTTCTAACACTGTGACAAATTTTTGATTTATTGATAATGAATTTTTCTTATGTTTTGATTTTTATTGATTTGTGATATTAGTCTCAAGATAAAAACAAAACACTTTGATTTGATTAAATGATTGCTTAAGGAGCCTTAGTCTTTTTTCAGTTTGAAGCTAAAACATGAAGAGAGAAGCGTAACAGTTAACAAAGCCAAGATCACAGAACAATGGAGGAGCATTCTTAGAAGAGCAAAAACAGTTGATCTTAGGAGGGATGTAGGAACTCTCAAGGTAGAATAATATACACGAGGAACTCTCAAGGTAGAATAATATACAATAGAAACTCTCAAGGTAGGAAAATATACACTAGGAACTCTCAAAGTAAAAAAAATATACAATAGCTCAAGGTGACATTATTTACACTAGGAACTCTCAAGGTTGGATAATATACACTAAAAACCCTCATGGTAGGAATATATACGCTAGGAACTCTCAAGGTAGGAAAATATCACAAGGAACTCTCAAGGCAGAATTTAATATACACAAGGAACTCTCAAGATAGAAGAATATACACTAGGAACTCTAAAGGTAGAATAATATACACTAGGAACTCTCAAGGTAGAATAATATACACTAAGAACTCTCAAGGTAAAATGATATACTCTAGGAACTCTAAAGGTAGAATAATTTACACTAGGAACTCTCAAGGTAAAATAATATACACTAGGAACTCTCAAGGTAAAATAATATATACTAGGAAATATCAAGGTAAAATTATATACACTAGGAATTTTCAAGGTAGAATAATATACTCTAGGAACTCTAAAGGTAGAATAATTTAAACTAGGAACTCTCAAGGTAAAATAATATACACTAGGAACTCTCAAGGTAAAATAATATACACTAAGAACTCTCAAGGTAGAATAATATACACTAGCAACTCTAAAGGTAGAATAATATACACTAGGAACATTAAAGGTAGAAAAATAAACACGAGGAACTCTCAAGGTAAAAAAATATATACTAGGAAATATCAAGGTAAAATTATATACACTAGGAACTCTCAAGGTAGAATAATATACACTAAGAACTCTCAAGGTAAAATTATATACACTAGGTACTCTCAAGGTAGAATAATATACACTAGGAACTCCAAAGGTAGAATAATATACACTAGGAACTCTAAAGGTAGAATAATATTCACGAGGAACTCTCAACCTAGGAATATACACTAAAACTCTTAAAGTAGATTAATGTCCACTAGGAACTCTAAAGGTAGAATAATATACTCTAGAGGAACTCTTATGGTAGAATAATATACACTAGGAATTCTCAAGGTAGGATAATATACAATAGAAACTCTCAATGTAGAATATTATACACTAGGAACTCTCAAGGTAGAATAATAATCACTAGGAACTCTCAAGGTAGAATAATATACACTAGGATCTCTCAAGGTAGAATAATATACACTAGAAACTCTCAAGGTAGAATAATTTACACTAGGAACTCTCAAGGTGAAATTATATATATAGAGAATTTGTAGAGAATTTGTTTAGTAATCATTGAGACCTATCAGACGTTTTTACGGTGCATAGTCGTTCAGCAAGAGCGCAAATTCAATCTTTGAAATTCTCATAGATTGTCATTTTTGAGGGATTATTTTGAGAATTGGTTTTTAATAATTATTCAATAACGACAACGAAAAATGTGGAAAAAAATCTACAGTAAACTAATTAAATGTTTAGAAACAGGTTGAGAAAATAAAAATTAACTATTATCATCAAAAATAAGTGATATTATTGAGTTATTTGTTTCTGTAATATCTTATTGTTTACAAACATTTTCTCTAGATTTCCCAGGATTTTTTTTTGAAAGACGACATTTGAAATATTTGAACAAATCTGCGAACAAACTCATAAAGAATAAGAAATTTAATGGTGTATTGAGAAAACTTCAATTTAGAAATATGTTCCTAAACATCCAATTAGTTAAATATAAATTTTTTTATAATTTTTGTCGTCACTGTTTAATAATTTAAAAAAAGTCAATTCTCAAAACGTAACCACCCTAATGAATAATTTTGCGCTCAAACTCAGCAACTATGCATCATTAAAACGTTTTTCGTGTCTCAACTGAATCCCAAAAAAATTCTCTACAATACTACATTCTCAGTTCAACTACCAGACATTGCCAGTCACTCCCTTTAATTTAGGATATTGTAAACTAGGAACTCTCAATGAGATTGGATGTTTTTTAATTATAATGTTTATCAAAAATAATATAAATATTTTTAAAGGATGCATTCCAAAGAGCTCTCGAAAAGAAGACGACATTTATCGACGGTCTGCTTTTAGAAATAGAACAGGCAATGAAACAATTAAATGCTACAAAAAAAATCTTGTTTCAATTCAAAAAATCAAATTATTACCAACAAACATTTTTCTCTTTAAAAAATTATATCATTTAGAAAAAAACAATTATCGTTTTCTTAAAAAGAAAATAATTCCTTGAAAGTTAAAATGCGGTAAAAAAAAAACCTTGAAACAGAATGTATTTTTTAGTCCAAAAAAAACAATTTTATTCTAAAAAATGTCGGTTCCTAAACAGTGAAGAACAGGAAGTGAAAGAAGGGAAACAAAACATCAAATCAAAAATCAAAAACTTGTTTTTATTGTTTTATTATTTTTATAGTCTGAGGAGCAGTACTCGATGGTTTTCAGGTAAAAATCTGAATTAATTAGTATTTATCTAATACAGAATTAATTAGTATTTAACTAATACAGAATTAATTAGTATTTAACTAATACAGAATTAATTAGTATTTATTCAATACAGAATTAATTAGTATTTATCTAATACAGAAATAATTAGTATTTATCTAATACAGAATTAATCAGTATTTATCTAATACAAAATTAATTAGTATTTATCTAAAACAGAATTAATTAGTATTTATCAAATACAGAATTAATAAGTATTTATCTAATACAGAATTAGTTAGTATTTATCTAATACAGAATTAATTATTATTTATCTAATACAGAATTAATTAGTATTTATCTAATACAGAATTAATTTGTATTTATCTAATACAGAATTAATTAGTATTTATCTAATACAGATTAGTATTTATCTAATACAGAATTAATTTGTATTTATCTAATACAGAATTAATTAGTATTTATCTAATACAGAATTAATTAGTATTTATCTAATAAAGAATTAATTGGTATTTATCTAATACAGAATTAATTAGTATTTATCAAATACAAAATTAATTGGTATTTATCTAATACAGAATTAATTAGTATTTATCAAATACAAAATTAATTAGTATTTATCAAATACAAAATTAGTTAGTAGTTATCTAATACAGAATTAATTAGTATTATCAAATACAGGATTAATTAGTATTTATCTAATACAGAATTATCATGAAAGGATGAGACTTCAGAGAAGATTGCACAATATTTGATCAATACGTTTTTCTAAAATTCATGGATCCTTACAGCTGTAAACTGGTTCCGTTCTTTAATTTAATTTATCATGCTAAATGACATTATTTACGTCAAGAGCCCAATTTCAACCCTTAGATTGTTTGATTTAAAGATTGTTAGGTCTTCATTTAACTCTGATACTTAAATCAGGCTAAAAGTTTTATCCGGGTTACCCTATTGTAAGAAGTAAAGAAACTTGACAGATTTCTTATTTTCTTCAATGCTACTCGTTTAAATTATCATCTGTGGTCTAAACCAGGTCTAAATCTCAAACCCAAATTTTCTAATGGCAATGTCTCTGTAACCTAATGGTGTAAAAAAATCTACAGTTTAATTTTAAATCATTTATCAAACAGAATTCATAGTTTTTGATAAATCAATTTCTTTGTTTTTAATTTGTTAAGATGTTATACATGAGTATACATAGTGAGCCCCATATTGAGTTAAGTATGTTAAGATGTTATACATGAGTAAACATAGTGAGCCCCATATTGAGTTAAGTATGTTAAGATGTTATATTTAAGCCTGAAAGAATTAGAAAATCTCATTAACTTGAATAGGTGGAGATTTAATTTTGATTACAGCAGACGGTACTTTTATATAGAACAAACAATTTAGAACATTTGAATTTTTAGAAAATAATTAAGATTATATTGAAAAAAAATAATAACAATAATAGCAATAATAAAAAAAATATTAATGATGCTAATTAGCTAAAGTGTCTGGTGTTGCCCGTGAAATAAAAAATGATTTTCTGTTTACAACTGTTGGTATTTTCATGAAACCCCAACCTTAAGATTATGACATATTTAGAGCTGAGATGGAAAGTGTTGAGCACATGGTGAATATCCAGGAACAGAGGTTGACCGGTCTCTTGGCTGCATTTAATCAGCAGAAGGAAAACCTACTACAAACCAGTCGCAGGGATAAAGGTAGGGATATATTTTAGACAAGGGGTGGTTTCTAGGGCTGCGTATTGTTAACAAAGAACATTTTTTAGGTCTCCTTAAAGGGACTGTAGAGGAAAAATGAATGGGGGTACAGGATAAAACCTGAGAGTCTCAGGTTTTGAACAATACAATACTTGTGTTCTTATGTTACATATGACATATGACATATGACATATGACATATGACATTTGACATATAACATTTGACATTTGACATATGACATTTGACATTTGACATTTGACATATGACATTTGACATTTGACATTTGACATATGACATTTGACATATACTCTGTTTTGAGAAATTTACATAAAACTTTATGTTTTATCCTATACCCCCTTTCATTTTTCCTTAACAGTCCCTTTAAAACATTTTATGAAACTACACCCATTCCCCCCCCGCCCCCCCCCCCCCACACATTATCTTAGAAGGAAACTTTCGTTCTGTATAGTTCCCTTTATCCCTACTTGATCAGACAGAATTCATAATTTTAAATATCTAATTTCTACGACATTGGGTTGCATTGATTTAGTGGTTAGAAAATCAGAGTCTGCGGCAAACTTAATTCATTTCAAACTGATCCTTTATTTTTTTCAATAAAAAATAACTTATTTCACAAATAAATTTATAATCTACATTTTTAACACTTTAACCATCTTTTTTATGAATTTGTAATGTTTGGTTAAGAATTAATATTTTCTTTAATTGAGAATTTTTTTGAGAATTCATATTGATTTTACAAAACTCAACATTGTTTTATAATTCAAACTGTTCTCCGAATTTTTTACTTTCTTCATTAATTAGATCAATGAAACGCGTGTTTATAGGGTACAAAAGTGATTTTCTTCTACATATATATACTTTGCTTGTGAATTTGTTTGACCTTTAGTCTGTATATTTTACTTGTGTATTTGATTGACCTTTAGAATGTTAAAAAAGTCAAAACCGTAAAAATTAAAAAATTTTGAAAATGCACCAATTTATACAAAAAAAACCGTGAAAAGGAATTGAGTTTTTGCCACAAACTCTGATTTTCTAATCCCTATACCTTTACAACCCAATATTGTAGACATTTGATATTTCAAACTTTGAATTCTGTTGGATCAAATAATATAAGTTTAAAATATTAAAGGTTTTAACCATCAGGTTGCAAAGATATAGAAAGTTAACAATTTGAGTTTGTTGCAAAAACTCAGTTCCTTTGATAACAATCTACAAAAATTGCGGCTGCAAGAGCAACAGTTAAATTCTAAAATTGTCAATAACGCCTAGATGTACAACATAATTTTCAATTATCCCCTAGATACTTGAATTTTGCAATATTCTTTTACGTTAGATGAGATGAAGTTGACTCAGCAGAGTGATGAAGCGTATCTGAATGATATTCAGATTGCTCTCGAGCAAAAACATAGTGAGCTAGAGACAATTCTTAGGTATAGAGTTATACTACTAAAAGTACCAACCATAAGCAAAACTTGTTCATGCTAAATCGCCTTCTCGATAAGTTTGCTCTTATTAGTAGTAACTAGCAAGACGGCTTTGATATTTGTAATAATTTTCGCCATTTAATTGTAAACTTGATTTTGGAAAAGTTATTCGATGTAGAGTTAAAAATCGCAGAATAACCCAGATCCTGGCCATTCCAAAAGGTGGTCTGTCTTTTTTTGTGCTTTTTATATTAGATATTACGACTTCTTTTCATATTTCTACAGATTTGGTCTTATTTAATTCACTGAAAGGAATTGACTCTTTGCCACAAAATCTGATTTTCTAATCCCAAAATCTTTGGAACCCAATGTCATAAACCTTTGCTATTTCAAACTTATATTTTTTGATCTAACAAAAGTCATAGTTTGAAATTTCAAAGGTTTACGACATTGGAATCCAAAGATATAGGGATTATAAAATCAGAGTTTGTTGCAAAAAGTCAATTCCTTTAAACGAAATTCTCAATATCTATTATAACAGGACATAAAAGCTAAAAAACGCATTTTGGAAATGAAAATTTTTTCATTATTGAGATAAGGTAAAATGCTGGAATTAAAATAAAGTTTTCAGTGATCCCTTAAAAGCTTTTCAAGTTCTAAATACTTTAGGGAAAAAGGAATCTTTTTATATTTTCATTTAATTATAATTTAATCTAATAATAAAACAGTTTCTATGCTATGCTCCATTGATCTTTTCAGATTTCAAACATTTCAAATTTTCAAATTTTTATTTTGTTTTAACTGACTTTTTCTAGGTCTGAGTTTCAAAGCAGAAAAGATGAAGTAAGGAATAGAAACTTGGAGGAACTTACAACCCTTAAGGTAATTTATGATTATGATGATGATGATGATGTAGATGATGATTTTGATGATTATGATGATGACGATGATGATGATGATGATTATAATGATGATGATGATGATGATGATGATGATGATGATGATGATGATGATGATGATGACGATGATGATGATGATGTTGATGATGATGAAGATGATGATGATGATGATTATGATAATCGTGATGATGATTGGATTATCATCATGATCATGCTGATGATGATGAGCATGATGATCATAATGGTAATCATGATGATCAAGCTCATCATGATGATGATCTTGCTGTTCATGATCATGATTACGATTATAATCGTGAACATAATAATGATCATAATCATTATCATGATTTTAGAATAGCATGGAGGAAACCATGGACAGTCTTTGGTCTCAACTTCGCCATCAGATAAAAAACTACAGGTTAAAAAACAAACATTAATTTTAATCCACTTTTTCTTGTTTTTTCCTTAAAGTTTGTAATCCTTCCAATATCCGGTATTAAGAACAACTTAATACTTGTACACAGGAAATTATCCTGGAAATGAAAAATGCAGAAATCATTTAAAGTAAATGCAAAACATCTACGCAAGAGTCTATGAAAGGGAAATTTTTTAAGTAACATGTTTTTAGGGATTCCACAGCTGACAAGCGACGAACCTACACAGATCTGCTACAGAAAGATAAGAAGGGAGTAATGGAACTCCAGAATAATAATATCAAAATACAAAAATTACAGGTAAAAATGTACTTGAACATCACATCTCAAAGAAACTTTTAATAGTGCTTAGAGCTGCAGTAAACAAACATGTTACATTGGCATTCACTGAAATCTTGATTTTTATGTATGAATCTAAATCACAAGACAAATTGGATGGATCTGAAAAATAATAGTTTCTGAAATGTTGTGCTTTTACTGAAATCTTGAAATATAGCCAATCATGGAGCAAAATCTATGTAATAAAACAAGACATTTGTAATATATGTTGCCTATTGCTGGCCAAACGGCTTGACCTAATGGGCTGAATATTTTTGTGGACACTCAGGGGTGGCCGGGGAGTGTTTCTAAATAATTTTTTTCACGGGCAACGCCGGGTCCTTTAGGTTGGGTCAGTTCACTCACTACATGGGAGTGATTTTATCCCAGAAATCTTTACAGGATACAGTGCAGCAGAAAATTTTGATATTCTTTTAAAAACTAATCAGCTTGAAGTTCCAAAAACCTTTGCTTGTATATATTTTATTGTAGCCTCGAAATCACTGAGATATAGACAACTCTTAATGTTAGTCATAAAATTAGCCTCGACTTTAAAGTGTCGCAACGCCTTGGCCTTTAGATTTATCTCACTAACTTACCTATACTTCTTTGTAGCCATAGGAAAATTTATTTTAAAACTGTAATGGGATTTTATCTCTAGTAGTTGGTTTTATCTCTAGTAATTGGTTTATCTCTAGCAGATGGTTTATCTCTAGTATTTGGCTTTAGCTCTAGTATTTAGTTTTATCTTTAGAAGTTGGTTTTATCTTTAGTAGTTGGTTTTATCTCTAGTATTTGGTTTTATCTCTGGCAGTTGGTTTATCTCTAGTATTTGGTTTTATCTCTGGCAGTTGGTTTATCTCTAGTATTTGGTTTTATCTCTAGTATTTAGTTTTATCTTTAGAAGTTGGTTTTATCTTTAGTAGTTGGTTTTATCTCTAGTATTTGGTTTAATCTCTAGTATTTGGTTTTATCTTTAGTAGTTGGTTTATCTCTAGTATTTGGTTTTATCTCTGGCAGTTGGTTTATCTCTAGTATTTGGTTTTATATCTAGCAGTTGGTTTTATCTCTAGTAATTGGTTTATCTCTAGCAGTTTGTTTATCTCTAGTATTTGGTTTTATCTTTATAAGTTAGTTTTATTTCTAGTATTTGGTTTTATCTTTATAAGTTGGTTTTATTTCTAGTATTTGGTTTTATCTCTAGTATTTGGTTTTATCTCTAGTATTTGGTTTTATCTCTAGTATTTGGTTTTATTTCTAGTAGTTGGTTTTATCTCTAGTAGTTGGTTTTATCTCTAGTAGTTGGTTTATTTCTAGTAGTTGGTTTATCTACGGTAGTTGATTTTATCTCTAATGTTGGTTTTATCTCTAGTAGTTGGTTTAATCTCTAGTATTTCAAACGCAAATAAACAGTATGCATGCTTAACATGCTATAACTTTATGACGACAAAACTTCGATGAGAATTCTTGAGAATTCTTGTAATTGCTCCAGCTTATAATACAATTATGAACTAATAAATCTTATAACACTTAATTAAAACAGAGAAAAGTGTGTTAGGTACAGATAGATAGATAAGAAACCTTTCTAAAATAGAAACCATAAATACGTTTAAAGATTTAGTTTCAAGAGTATATCAATAACAAGTAATCATGTTCTAAAACACGGTTAATTCATATTCTAAAACACAGTTAATTCATATTCTAAAACAAGGTTGATTCATATTCTAAAACATGGTTAATTCATATTCTAAAACACGGTTAATTCATATTCTAAAACACGGTTAATTCATTTCATGTTCTAAAACACGGTTAATTCATATTCTAAAACACGGTTAATTCATGTTCTAAAATACGGTTAATTCATATTCTATAACATGGTTAATTCATGTTCTAAAATACGGTTAATTCATATTCTAAAACACCGTTAATTCATATTCTAAAATACGCTTAATTCATATTCTAAAAAACGGTTAATTGAGGTACATACTACATATATAGTACATACAGATCTTTCTATGCATGTTATCCATTAAAGAGACTGTAAGCGTAATTGCATGTAACCCTCTATTGATAGATGGTATGCCACATTCACAACGGTACCCTTAAAAGTATGAAATAGATATCAATGTTTATAATTTTGAAAACCGATTATTTTCAATGGTGGTTTCTCTACAAAAGTGGCTTGCGCATTTCTACTGTAGGGATCAAATATGAATTATCAGAATTGAACCTTTTTAAAACGACAATATCGTCCTCATTATTAATCAGACAAAGGTTTCAAGGATGCTGTTGGTAATCAGGCAATACCATTATTCCACGGAGGTCCACTTGAAATAAAATTAAAAATTAAAAAATCAGAGCTTCTCTTTAGAAAATTAATAAATTGCCGGTAATTTAATCAAATTAAGTCTTTAGAATAAAAACATATTGCGTTTTATCTATAGCAAAACACAGTCACTATAATAGTTTCAGTAGAAGTAAATATTTCCATTTACTGATAGCGCCGATTTAAGGATTCATAACTCTAATTTGAGATAGATAGAAAGATAGTTGTTACCGCAATACTATTTATATTGGTTCAGAATAGACAACAAACACATGACGGAACCCTGATGGATCAGGCGCTAATGGACTCGGCATACAGGGGTGTGCAGTTTGAACAGAAAATAAAAGAAAAATTATAACTCCATTTTCAAGGGGCCTTTTGTATCTATTGTTTCATACCATTTGTCGCGTGTCCTATCTTTTTTAAATAGAATTTTCTTTTTTAAGAACTTTGAAAACACAAACAATATTTTGATACAGTCGTCGTTCTATAAATAAATACAATGAAGACGACTTTTGAGTTTATTTTTTATTTATACCAAGCTTTCAAACTGCATGGATACGCATAAAAATTAAAACAAAGAAAAGCTCTCAATTTTACAACTTCTCTTTGTTTATTTTTAAACTCTTCGTCTTCTTTGTTTTTATATAAACGCTGACCTCAGTAGCTCATATACAATAAATCAATTATGAATTCATTTTAATTTTTAGAATGAGATATCTCAATTAAGAAGAAGTGTTAATGATGAAGGAACAGATCCACTGGATGAAACTTCACAACTTAGGTTAATAAATGTAATAATCATGATAATGATAATAATGATTATTATATTAATATTAATGATGATAATGATGATAATGATATATGATCTTGATGAGAATGTGATTTCAATTTTAATTCTCATACAAATTAGAATCTATGGAAATTTAATAATATTTTTATTATAATAATAGCATTGATAAAGATAATGATTATTCATGACACCTTAAAAGGCATACATTCATATTCAGTCTAAAGTGGAATAAAGTCTTTTTCTAGATTTTTAATTAGAAATTTAGATTTTGTAATTTGCTCTTTAGGCTATGTTTCATAGTTTTAACAATTACTAGTAAAATAATAACGTTTCTAGAAAGTATTGTTAAGTTGCAATAAATATTTTAAAGTTTTTAAATCAACAGCTCTAGTTAGAAAAGGAGCTTCTCCATCTCTAATCTATAGAAAACCTATTTTATTTATTTTTTATTTATTTTGTAGAAAAGAGAAGGAAGCCTTATTTTTCAGTTTCAACAGTTTATAAATATTGTATCTTTTATGCCTTCAGAGTAAAACAAAATCTTGAAAATTATTTTAATCTAAATCTTATCAAAAGTATATTTTTTGTTTATTTTATTTTGTAGAAAAGAGAAGGAAACCTGCACCACTCAACTTCATCAGCTGAGGCATAGTGTTTCTGTACTATCCAGGTTAGATGTTAGACTCAGATACAGGGTATCATCGTTACGAAACCCAGTATGAGAAATCCGGTTTCATTAATGGGGGGGGGGGTGGGATTAGGAAATTTAGTAGATTTACAAAACATTTTGGTTTAGACATATTATTCTTTTATATTCTCATAATTTTTTTAGTTTCTTAAATCAAAATACAAATTGAGTAATTTTCGTCCCATATCCTGCCTTCCTACTCTGAGTAAAATTCTTGAAAAAATTGTTGTTTCTCAACTAAATAATTTCCTAAACCTTAATTCTATTATTTATAAGTATCAATTTGGATTTCAATCTAAACTTTCTACTTTACACCCTCTCATGCATATCCTGAAGTTTATAACTGAAGCTCTGAATGAGAACGATTTTGCAGTTGCCATTTTTCTGGATCTACAAAAAGCGTTCGACTTAGTTAATCATGATATTCTGCTTCTAAAACTTGAAAAGTTAGGCATTCGCGAGATCCATATTAAATGAGTTATTTAAAGAACAGGAAGCACGTTGCTATGGTTAACGGGGTTTTCTCTGAATTCTACTGCAGTATTATCATATCTGTTCTTCAAGGTTCAATCCTGGGTCCTATTCTATTTTTACTTTTCATCAATGATATGCCTTTATCTAACTCATTACTCAATATACTGTTCGCAGATGATACAACTGGTTTAGTTAGAGGTCCCAATATTGCTGACCTAGCTTCTGCTATAAACCTTGAATTGCAAAAAATGGGAACCTGGCTTAGAGCTAATAAACTTTCAATTAATGCTTCTAAAACTAAAATAATGATCTTTCATCCAAAGAACAAGTTCGTTCCTGATGTAGATTTTTTCTTTAATAATAATGGCATCGATAAACCTGAAAATCCTGATCTTATTTATCCAATTGAACGTATTCTAAAGTTCCTGCATACAAAGTTCTTGTTGTGTATATTGATGAAAACTTGTCATTTGATTTTCATATCAGCCAATTAATCTCTAAACTTTAACGGTCTCTCTACATGATGCGAAACGCTTAAAACGTTCTCTCTCTCTCAGGTTTAAAATCTTTATACTATGCTCTTTTCCACCCTCACTTGCTTTACTGTCTTCCTGTCTATAGTTGCACAAGTAGCAAGAATCTTAACTTGATCCGTATTAAACAAAAGCAAGCTGTGAGAATTATCTGCAATGCTAAATATAACGCCCATACTCAACCCTTGTTCTTTAAGCTGAATATTCTGCCCCTTGATGATCTAATTCTACAGCAAAATATGATTTTTATGTTTTCTTATCATAGAAATATCTTACCTAATTCCTTCCAGGATTATTTTTACAAAACTCTGAACGAGGGTTGAATCCAGGACTTAGAAATGCTGATGATTATTTTGTACCCGGAGTCAGATCTGAATTTCTTAGATTCCCTTTTGTATCTATTCCTTCCGCATGGAATAATTTTCCTGTTGAAATTAAGCAATCCGAATCTAGAAATATTTTAAAATCTGCCTCTAAAGCCTATCCTATTGATAAATTACAGGGGTTCACTTGTGAAAAGCTATTGTGTCCTTGTTGTTTAAACACTAGATAATTAGATTTTAAAATTCCAACCTTTCATGTATGTGCATCTCTTTCTTCACCTAAACTTAAAAACTTGAATGTCATGTATATTCTGATATACATTATTTAATTATTCTTATTTAAATATTTGTAATGTTTGTTACTGTATTGGTTTGATTGAGCTGAGCATATATATTGTTTATTATCATATTTATTTATATTTTCTGCCACCCCACCTACTCGTCCTTTCGTCTAGGTCACCCTCCCTGTCACTAAGCTATAGGGAAAATTATGAAAACCTGCCCCCCCAGATTAATTTTCCCTCACGAGGATTATACTTTCTATGTGATATTTATATTGTATAAATTTTAATCTTCGTGCAATAATATTTGATTTGATTTGATTTGATTTCACAATTTTAGACCCCAAAATACACACAATATTTAGACCCCAAAATACGCACAATATTTAGACCCCAAAATACACCCAATATTTAGACCCCAAAATACACACAATATTTAGACCCCAAAATACTCACAATATTTAGACCCCAAAATACATATTTAGACCCCAAAATACTCACAATGTTTAGACCCCAAAATACACACAGTATTTAGACCCCAAAATACACACAATATTTAGACCCCAAAATACAATCAATATTTAGACCCCAAAATACAAAATTCGTTCTACGTGCTCTTTTAAATTTCCGGCTTACACTAGAGCACGCAAACTTCTTCAATTTCCAAATTCATGATTAAGAAGACATTTTTTATGTATAGAGTAGTGTAGGGTCAGAGGACATTCAAATAGCTGGTCGGTGACGTTTCAAAAAAATCAAATTGGTTCAAAATTATTTTATTATTCAAGCTACAGATCTACAATATACTTTTTTGGAAAGTGCTTAGAGTAAGAAATTACATGTGTCACTAAAATTAACCCAATTTTTGCTTTTACCGCATTTTGACCAAAATTGCCGACCTATGATTCCCCCCGCCAACAGAGGGACGTTAAGTTACTTAACGTCCCTTGGGACAATAAGTAAAATAACGGCCTGTTATACGAAGTTTTCGTGAAAAAAATTCGCATATTTGCACCTCTAAAGACCATAAAATTGTATACAACTACTTTTTTGGGAAATTAAAAACTGTTCTTAACCATGGGTTCTCTTGCTGCGCTCTTGATGTTTTGTAGGCAAAATTGGACTTGGGAACCCTTGGTAAGGTAAAATATGAATTATATAAAGTATATTTAAGTAAAATATATTTCAAGGAATAAAGAGCATCAGAAACTTAGAAGACTTGCTGTTGAAAGCGATGAAATTTTGTCAGAACTGAAGGTAAGCAAGGGATTGTGGTGCACTGGAGCTTTTTAGAAGTTTATTCTATGCTTCAAATTACGTCTGACTTTAAACTATTTGAAAAATCGTTTAAGGACTTTTAATAAATCCCTATAAATAAGCATTAATAAGTATTTTTTTCCGATTTTTCGTAAAGGAATTGAGTCTTTGACACAAACTCTGAAGTCTGAATTTTTATCCGCCATTATATCTCTGCAACCCAATGTCTTAGACCTTAGACATTTAAAACCATGAATTCTATTACATCAAATAATCAAATTTTAAAATATCAAAGGTTTACCCTATCAGGTCATAAAATATAGGGATCACTAAGTTTGAGTTTGTGGCAAAAAATCAATTTGTTGGTAAAATTTTATTTTCAGAAATGTTTTTTGAAAAGTAGTTTTTGTTGCCCAAAATAACTAAGTCTTTGCCACAAACTCTGATTTTCTAATCTCGTTATCTTTGCAACCCATTCTAGAAGACCTTAGATAATTCAATTCTGTTAGATAAAATAATCTAAGTTTCAAATATAAAAGGTTTATACCATCAGATTGCAGTTATATAAGGATTAGACAATTTTATTTCGTTGTGAAGACTCAATTCCTTTTGTTTCGCGACGACTCGTTATCAGAACTAAAGTTCGTCGATAATAGAATAAAAAACCCTTTTACCTAGAATCCATCCTAGGTGACCGAATATCTGTATCCTATAAGTTCTCTATCTCGTAATAAAGGTTTAAAGCATTCCTCTGTAACTTTTTATTGCAGGATCAAATCTAGTAAAAATGAACTATTTTAGATATAAAAAACACTAAATATATTATCAAACGTAAAAGGATAAACGAAACTGCTCGTCATGAAATCGCGGTATCTAACATGTGAGAATGAGAAAGTTACGGGGCATATTCCTTTTACTGCACAGCGGGAAATTTAAACCAGGGCCGCAGAAACAAATGTCGTACTTACATATGCTGGCGACCTGCGGATAAAAAAAAGGGTTTCTGTCTTACTCAAGCATACAATATCTGAAATAATAAATCTGATGACACAAAGCAAGTGACGGGGCATGTAACATAAGATGTTATCCGATCAAGGCCCGTCTCAAGAATGAGTCTGATTTATCATCTCTCAGGTAGCTTTCAGTAAGGAGAACCAATAATAGACGAGCTTACATATTCTGAGTCTAATAGACCAATCAGAATGCTCCAACACAAGTTTACAGTGAGTCTCATTAAACACTAGTGAATTTGACTATTTTCGAAAGCTCTGAATATACGCGTAACACCTTTATATATTTTCAATGTGACTAATGTGATGTTTAACTTAATTGTAAACATTTATTTCATCATGACAGAAACATTTTTTAAACACTTTTAACTACATACCCTGCTATTCAGCTTTAGTGTACAGTTAAAGACAGTTTACTGATTAGCGTACATCATTACTCTATGTATATATATATATAATACTATATAACCTCGTTGGTTTGAGTGCAATAAACAAAGTTTATCTTTGAACTTGGCAACATTCAATAAAGTTTATTGGCTTTGATCAATATACTTTATTAGTTTATATTACACGACACTTTTATAGAGTGGATTTGCACATTTATCTTTAGAATTTTACTTCTAAAGGAATTGAGCCTTTGCCACAAACTCAAATTTTCGAATTCCTACATCTGTGCCACCTGATGGGGTAACCCTTTAATATTTTAAACTTAGATAATTGGATCTTACAGAATTCATAGTTTGACATATCTATAGTCTACGACATTGGGTTTCAAAGATATAGGGATTAGAAAAACAAAGTTTGTGGCAAAGACTCAATTCATTTTATCAAAAATCAATTACGACGTTAAATTAGTCCATGTCCCCTTGTACTTGAAAATGGGAATGTATGTTATGTTTCAAAAATATAATTTTAAGTATTGATAGTTGATCTGTTCCCATAGTGTGGCTAAGAGAGTGCACTAGAGAAATATTTTAACTAGCAATACTTGGCAGTTAACAATTTGTCACAATTCATTGCATACAATCTCTGCATGATGATTACAATCTATGTAATAAAGCTCTTCGCTCAGATATATATATATATATGCCAGCTATAGTTGGCCAAACGGCTGGACACAATTTTTAATTTCGAATTTTTTTTTAAGTGTTTAGAATTCCATGGGTAAAGCCGGACACTTCAGCTAGTAATAATATATATAATAAATCAGCCATAAATTCGCGGAATTCAAAACCGAGCGAGCCACAGTGATCAAAAGTATGCAAGCTTTCAAAGTCAAGCAAACATCAACGAGAATTTGGTCAATAACTTCTTAAAACTGAAGATGAAATTTATTTAGTTTTTAAATATAAATAGAGTAGCCAGGATCCTTATATAAAGAATATAATGATTCTAGATGTTGAAAACTGAACAGGAGCATCTGATGAAACTACATAAGATGACCCAAAGGCTGGCCACCCAACAGGATATAGCCCTCACATTGACCAATCCACTGGAGAAATATCTTACCCAGGTAATTTCAAATCAAGGGCATTCATATCTTTTATTTTTATTTCATATTAAAGGGAGTGTTTGCGAAAAAAGGGGTAGAAGCTGAATCTGAATCAAAGAAACTGAGTCTTTGCCAAAAAATCGATTATTATAATGCCATATAAATCTTTACAACCTGATGGTATAAACCTTTGACATTTCAAACTTAGAATATTTGATATAACAGAATTCATAGTTTGAATTACGTTTGAATTACCAGAATAAAGTTTAGAATTAATAGATAAATTTGCGATTCAATAGTGATACAGGGTTTCCCACAAAGGATGAGACTGTAAAGACGATTTAAAACTCTTAAAATTCGACAACTCCTAGATTAAATTAAGTCTTCGGCCTTAAGTATAATCTGTTTATGGCTTTTTTATTGACAAGGAAAAGAAAGAAACCAGTTCAAATGAATTGAGTCGTTGCCACAAAATAAAAATTTTTAATTTCAATATCTATACAACCTGATGTTTTAAACCTTTAAAGGGACAGTAAAGGAAAAATGAAAGGGGGTATAGGCTGAAAGCTAATCACTTTAGCTCTCGATCGTGACCCATGAAAGTTTTATCTGATGTTCCTATCTCGAGAAATTGTGTCAAATTTATACGAAAATTAATATATATACAATTTTGTATAAAAGTAGTGGGTTTAAATAGATCAAATTCAGCCAATAAGCAACCAATCTGAAAACGTTAATATCCCCGAGAAAGCTAATTATTACTTAGGTTTACTCCAATTCTAATTTTATATTTGTTATTTCTATTTTTAATAGATTTAATTCATAATATTATTTACACGTCCAAATTGCTTGACCAGAAAATCCACAAATGACAGTGCAGTAAATTTGTCACGTGATACAGGCAGAGACACGTGATCAGTATACTGCTCTGCCATTGGTGATAGTTCTGGTCACGTAAAAACAATATATTTCAACTAATTATAGAACACAGTCCATGAAAAAACAATATATTTCAACTAATTATAGAACACAGTCCATGAAAAAAAAATAATCTAATTGCACGTCCCGAGAAAAAATATTGAGAAAAAAAAGATTTTATTATTTGACGTTAAAATATTTTTCAGTTCAAGTAAAAAATATATATCAGTCAATTTATTAGAATAGATAATATCTTAATTTCATAAATTATCAAAAATTAGATATATTTTTGACGCATTGATTTCCAAGAACTTTCGCTTTCATTTTTAATCATTTCTAATAAAAATTCTAGATTTTATGCATAATGGCCGGACCAATTATTCCAATACTAGTTATTTTATTTACTTTAAAATCAAGTAATAGTAATTTATTGGAACAGTATACTATTTGATATTACAAAATAACTAGAAAATATTCATAAAATTAATAAAATCCATGAATTCATACAAAAGACACCGAATACATCACTGCAATCCCAGAAGGAGAAATACAATTTATGAGATATCACCGGAACGACTTTGTGACCATGAAGCTTCTCTAGTTTTCATTTTACACACGATTGTAAAAAAAAACTAATTTTTCCGATTCCAGTTCTGGATACAGTCTACAGATCAGAATCTTTAATAAAAAAGTTATGATTTAAAACATGTAAGATTTCCATCTTACTAGGCTTTTAGGGCGCTTCGCACCCATCTTCTATTTAAATTGTGAACATGTTCTTTTTGTTTACATTTTAAAACAAAGAAGAAGAAAATTTTTTTACAAAAAATTAAAAACCTTTAAACCACATTTTTTTAATTTATATCATTCATAAACCTTCCCTGTGGTCACGTTATGTCCCACAAAAAAACTGAGCCCGATCGGTTCAGCCGTTTGGACGTTTATTGGATACATACAAACAAACAGACACCCAGACAAGCCAAATTAATATATAGATACAAAAATTTACTTTAGTTTGACGTGAAAATCTGGAAAATATAATTTCTCTCCTTTCTAATACTTTATTTTGTAAAGTTACACAAGGATTTTATGCAAAATGTCTCTTGTGTTTAAATTTATATGCATATCAAAGAAAATGTTTGCGAGGTGTTCAAGATTTAAACTAAATATGCAAATATATTCAACAGAGGTGTACACAGGGGGAATGGCGGGGGCTATTTGGGCTATTGGGGCTATGCCCCCCCCCTGGACTAATTCCTGTTATACATCTTTGATATTCAAAAAAGGAAAAACTAATGAATATTTTTTATGATTTAAAATTCGGTGATGATTATGGACCAAACCTCTGCAAAGTAAAAAAAGTAGGTGTTAGTTCCACATTTATTGAAAATATATTTCGGTCTGGGTTGACCCTCGTCAGTTCTAACGATAATAACCATTAAAATCGATAAAAAAAAAATTTAAAACTGTTAAAAACCACAGAAAATAAACAAACAAAAAAGATTTAAAAACAAAAATTTGGCTGTCAAATGGTCATAAGGGAAACGAACTCAGATTATGAGATGGAAAAAAGATAATTTGCAAATATTCACTTTTAAAAAAGTGGGGGTCGATCTAATTAAAGAACTTTTACGTAAATCAGGGGGAGGGGGGGGGCTTGTTTAAGGAGGGGTATTTAAACCTTTTTAAGAATTGGACATAAACAACTCTTTTTTAAGAATATTTTATAAGATTCTCCTTCGCTTTACATAGTCAAGCTCCTTGCTGGGTTTAGAACAGAATGATAAAAGAGTGTTGGTGCAAATAAATCAATAAATAAAAAAATTGCAATATTTTGGATTTAAAACATAGTAGAACTCTCGTTTTGATCAGAAACATTTTAAACCCTTTTATTGAAATAAAAATGGTATCTACTAATTTTTTATATAAAGTTTTAGTAGCAAAGAAAAAAAAAAGTTGACTCTCTCTCTTTGAAATTTTGTCCAAATATCTCTTCAGCGTTTTGTTTGTTTGAAAATGGAAGAAAAAAAATTGGAAAACATATAAACTATTAAAACCTGGCCCCTTAGCTTCTGCATCAAGAATTTGACCTTAACCCAAATAAAGAACAAGACACCAAAATACTGAAGACTGTAAAACTTGTGTATCTACAAAGGATCAAAATTTCAAATATATATAAATCCTTTTCGGTGGAAAAGAACGGCCTATGGCCACACATTCTGTTTATGTTGACGGATTTTTCTTTATCATAATCTAAATGAACAGGGTAGGCTAAATTATATTTTTAGAAAATATCCTACGTGAAGAATTTATTAAAGATTTGTTTTGAAATTTGTATCCTTTATTTCAAGCAGAGCAAAAGCAGAAAAACTTAAATAAAATTCTTGTTTTGAACTGTTGATAATAAATTATAATAAAAATACGATTCATACTTCAAGAGTACATCAATTATCTTTTTTTTCTATAAAAAGGGGATTAATATTTAGTTTGAAAAACATTAACAATATTTAGCTAAAGGTTTGTATATGGTAATAGTAGGAATCATACAATAATTGAAGATTGTTTAGCAGGCATATGTTTCATGTTTATAAGAAACTGCAAGACTCAATTTCAAATAAATCTTGCATTGTTATCATGCACGGAGGGTTACTTGAAATTACGCTTAAATTCCCTTCAAAGAACGGGTTAAACAAGTCCTACATTCACGTGTATTTAACGGTTCTGTCAATATTTCAGAAAGTTGCGACTTTAAATCCCAATTTTACCCCTTATACAGAATCTTTTAGCCCTTTTGATCAAATACTTTCTTGTAGACATATACGTTTTGAATGAATAAGTACAAAACAAACAAATCCATAAGTTTAAAGATGATTGATTTATATACAAAAACACGTTTAATTTCAAATAAAAGTAACCGAATGCTTCTCACTCTGGTTAGTCCTGGGTGCATTGTGCAATGCATGCAGCAAGTTTCTTTCTTAAAAAACATAATCAAATATTTTCTCTGTTTACAATTACATTGTTGTGTTTTCTAGAAAGTTATTTCATTAAGAACTTTTCTACTTTCTACATTAACTCTATTAACTTTGACTGAAAAGTTTTCAACTTTTTTTAAGCAAACATAAAGAATATAAAAAATTGTTAATATTGATTTAGTTTTTTTTAACATGCACACAACCAGCCCTTAAATGATGCACAAAATATTTTCGTCAAAAAATCTGGGAAACATAAGAACCTTGAAATTCACGAAAAATAGTCTTAAATCCCTAAACAAGACAAGGCACCCACAGAAACCCCTCAGATAATTTTTTATTTTTCTTATTTCCCGTTGTTTATTTGGAATAACTGATTACTTTTAGAGTTAATTATACGAGATGAGTATTTATTTTTAACCTTTTTAACTTTAAGAAACTTTTTGAATTCTCAAAATTTTGAACTTTTGTTTTGGGAATTTCTGGATCAAGTATTGATCTCCATTATATTTAATCCTTCGGATTAATTTCATACCTTTTCGATATCCTGTGCTGGTCTTTTGTGACCATGAAGCTTCTCTANCAACTTCCAAAATGGACAATTTCCCAAAAGCAGCTTACAAAATGGACCATTTCTAAAAGCAACTTTCAAAAAGGACAATTTCCCAGAAGCAACTTCCAAAATGGACAATTTCCCAAAAGCAACTTCCAAAATGGACAATTTCCCAAAAGCAGCTTACAAAATGGACCATTTCTAAAAGCAACTTTCAAAAAGGACAATTTCCCAGAAGCAACTTCCAAAATTGACAATTTCCCAAAAGCAACTTCCAAAATGGACAATTTCCCAAAAGCAGCTTACAAAATGGACCATTTCTAAAAGCAACTTTCAAAAAGGACAATTTCCCAGAAGCAACTTCCAAAAAGACAATTTCTCAATTATCAAAGTTTTCTCTATTGCTTGTTTTTATCATGTTCAAGCATTTAAGGCAATTTAAGGCATTTAGGATAGGCTGGGGGAACCAACAATCCAAAAACAAAATAATTATATTTTATATTTTTCAAAGAATTCAAATAATTCAAATTTTGGTATATCAACTTCTTAAATAAGTTCGAAATATCAAAAGTTTACACCATTAGGTTGCAATGATTTATAGGTTAGAAAATTAAGTTTGAGTTAATCTATCAGTTCTTTAACCATTAATAAATTGCTTGAGGTAGCTAAAATTACACATTTTCCCATAAGTCGGAAAAAAAGTGTTCTACAGAAGAAAAATTTATAAGAGTAAAGGATTAATTTTTTTACAATTTTAAAACTTTGAACTTTGAAGTTTTGGTTATAGTTTGCAATTTCTACAATTCTTGGTGAGAATTGAGTATTTAATTAATAAAGTTTGTTAGACGAATTTCATTTTTAATACTTGGTACGACCGAGAGACAACAAATTTGCACACAATAAAAAATACTTTTATTTCCTTATAACAAATATTAAAAAATACGTTATTTACATTTGATAAAGGAGAGAGTGTTTACTTATTTGAAAGTAGGCATACACAAATACAATTTTAAGAATTTGGAGCACAATCTTAAAAATATAATAATTAATACTTTGATCATCAAAATTATTGTATTTAGTTTGCCACATAATCTCTAATTCCACTAATTCTAACTTTCAAATCCTTATATTTTTGCATCATGTTGATTTAAACCTTTGATATTTCAATTTGTAGACTGTAAATACTTGATCTGACAGAATTAAAAGTTTAAAGTGCTCACCATCAGATATACAAAATCTATGGATCAGAAAATCAAAGTTTGTGGCGAGTAATTAGTAATGTTATTAGTAAAATCTTTTTTGGCTCGTTTTTTGCCTATATTTTCATTCGCGTGGGTTCAAATTTGGTATAGTGTAAAAAAATTGAATTGTTTAAACATTTGCTTTCCTTAAACTATGCCAAATTTTTATTCTGAAAGGAAAAATAGGCAAAAACAAATCAAAAACGGCCCAAAGCGATTAAAAGACGAATTATGTATTAAAAAAATTGTTTTTGGGTCGTTTTAAGTAAAAAAATATTGCAAAGTTTAATAAAAGCAAAATTTGATTTAAAGCAGTTTTGACATCTTTGAAGTTTTATTCGAAAAGCTTCAAGAAAATTAACCTAAACTATTTACAGTTGTTTTCTTTGATCCAGGATGAAAAGACTGAGTTGGCTGATATAGAAGAGAAGATCTGGGATCCAACCCTGGAGATTCCGGTCAAACTCAGGAACCTGGAACCTATCTGGAGAAAACTAAACAAGGTACAGTGGACCCAGTGGCGGTTTGATGGGGTGGAGGAAAGGGGGGCATCACCCTCCCCCTCCCTACCAAAATAACTTTATAAAATTTCTGGGGTAGGGGGGATAACAATTTTGCGATCTCTGGTGGGACTCATAAAACTGTGGAATGGGAAATAGGACTCATAAAACTGCGGAAGACGACTGTTAGATTTTAGTTATGATTGAAAATAGTCTCCAATGAACGTAATAATAGCAATTGCACAGTGTACAGTGTAAACAAATCCAATATTTTCACTTTAAAAAAAGACATTGAGTATTTGCCACAAACTCAAATTTTCTAATCCCTATGTCTTTCCAACCTAATGGTGTATCCTTTTTTTTATTAAAAACTTAGATTATTTAAAGGGGTGACCGGCAATGTATCATGTATGGTACTTGAACGGAGTTGTGGAAAAAAAAAATTTAGGATTCATTGAGACATACAAAACGTTTTAATGATGTATAATTACTGAGTTTGAGCGCAAAGTCGACGATCAAAATCATTTATTTGGGTTGTTACGTTATTAAATTTGGCTAATTTTATTATAAAGTTTTGTTGTGTAGGCTGAACTAGATTATACTGCAATACAACGGGAGAATAGAAGTCTTGAACTAGAAAACAAGAATCTTAAATCTTATCTCAGAAACTATATAGATCTCGCATCCATTCAGGTCCAATTATGTTCTTCACATTTGTCAGTACTTCTTCAAAAGTTTGGAATTGTTTTTCCCTTTCTTTGAATTCGAACGGTTGATAGTTGATAAAGGAACTGAATTTTTGCCACAAACTCAAATATAAAAATCTCTATATCTTTTCAACTTGGTGGTTTAAACCTTTGATATTTCAAACTTATACCATTTGACAGAATTTAGAGTTTGAAATGTCTAGTACATCAGGTTGCGAAGAGATATAGGGATTAGAAAATCAGAGATTGTGGCAAAAACTCAATTCCTTTAATCTTTATTCGATGTCCCGTGAAAAGCTTTCCATGCCAGTGAATTTTTCTGTTCCATATTGCACAGTTAATGCTGCTAGGCACTGCTACTGTTCTTTGCAAATTACCGCGATTTTCGACCCGTCTAGCCCGACGCCTATTGCCAGTCTTCCCCATCACAGGGAAATAGAGGGTGTTTTCTGCTGCAACTAACCTTTTTGCTGTACGATTCCTTAGAGATGAAAAGTCCCAAACCCTAACTGTATTGTCAACACTGCAAGATATCAAAATATCTCTGAAAAAAAATCATTTTTGATCAAACATCATAATAATAAATAGAACTTAATTCCAAGCATGCTAAAACAAAGCCGATCAAATAATTTTTCTGATCCATTAAATCTTTCTAGATATTGTATTTTGAGTTGTACTTTGGCCAATTTGAATACATGAGGATTGAGGGGGTCTTAATTTTTAGAGAAATCTTAATGAAATTTTCCATATGGGCAATGGGCATCATTTAGCAAACTAAAATAAAAAGGGAAAACACTATTTCTCCCTCCCCCCCCCCCACTTCAACTCTTTTTCGCCCCCCTTCTGTTATAGCCCTTTAGTTTTTAACTGCTGTTTTTCAAGTCTCTATTTTTCATCGTATTTTGAAATAAAAAATGGTGACAGAATTTTCTGTTTTCAAAAGTATTTACATTTTTTCAATTTCGACATTTTTTCCAGGGAACAGTTTTCAATTTCGACCTTTCCTTGGGGTTATGTTGCCACATAAATTGTCGAAGAATTGAGAATAATAATAAAAAATATGAGCCTAAAAAATAATTTGTGAAGAAGGGGGGGGAGGGTGAAAAATAGTAAAGTTCAACAAAATATATACCCCTAATAAATGGTTAAGCTTAGACTAGAGAATATCTAGATGTTAACCAACCTTTCGTAATGAATATCTATGTCTGTAACCCAGTGAATATGTCCGGTAACAGTACATAAGCTATCACGTGACATCCAATTCCAAAACCTAGAAATTATGTAACATTTGCAGTACTGTTATGTATCAGACATTTAAGGTTCAATAAAGAAAAATTTAGAAAATTACTAATTAGACTAAATAGACAATAGACAATAGACATTAGATATTCTTAATTTTCAGAAAGGAATTGAGTCAAAAACTCTGATTTTTCTAATTCCAGTATCATGGCAACCCGAGGTCACGAATTATAAATTCTGTTAGATTAAATAAACAAAGTTTTAATTATCAAAAGTTTACACCATCAAGTTGTAGAGATAAAAGGGATTAGAAACTTTAAGTTTGTGTCAATTACTTTGTTATGTCCACATTAAATTTAAAAAAAAAAATTTTTTGCGATTACCTAATTGTTGAATCATCACTGCAAGAAATCACCCAGGGATACCTAAATAAATACAATGTTTGAGTTATTAAATTATTAAAATAATTTAAATATGTTTAACTTACACTTTATGAAAGATGACTTTTCGTACATAATCTAAATGTCCTTTGAATACAACAGTACACCGCTGTGTTTCATAATTCCATACCTAAATAATAAACAGATTTTGGAGCTCAATTACATTTTTGATGATTTAACGTTTTTCGGTTGTGTCTTTTAAACCCTTCATATGTGACTCTGACTATTTTTCAGCTGAAAACCGCAAGATGAAAAAAGTTTAAGTTGTGCGGAATAAACTAAAATGGCATTGAACTTAGATTGAAAGAACAGAGAAGAAGTGGATATCCAAAATACCAATGAAAGAACAGAGAAGAAGTATACTAAAGGGTGATAAAAAAATAAATAAAAAACATTTCACACTTTTTTCTCTCAGAGGGTTAACTATTGACTGATCTTAATGTCTCTAGGATGGTAGGACTATTAAAAAAACAACGTCAACTTTGTTCAATTATCCCGACTAAGTTGATAAGGAGGGTCACTTAAAATTTTGTTGATAGTCCCTTTAACTCGTGATTTATCATAATTTAACTCGTGATTTATCAAACTTTAACTCGTGATTTATCATACTTTAACTCGTGATTTTTCCCTTTAAATCGTGATTTATCATACTTTAACTCGTGATTTATCCCTTTAACTCGTGATTTGTCCCTTTAACTCGTGATTTATCCCTTTAACTCGTGATTTATCCCTTTAACTCGTGATTTATCATACTTTAACTGTACAGTCATCAGATCCAGTGAGAAACAATGAGAGAGTAGGGTGGAAACTGATGCTTCGAACAGGACCTGTAAAAAAACCGATTTTTTAGTATTTAAGTATGTATTTTTAAGTATCAAGTTTAAAGAAAAATTCAGTTTGGTATACATTTTATAGATATTTGGAAGAAGAAAGGTATGGTAGACCAATTGTGTAACAAGGCAAATTAAGAAAAAGTGATATACCATAATTTAGTTGTATAATGAACACTGAACAGGTACATTTTTCATCAATCTATTTAAAGTTTTGGTGATTTAGATTTCAATGTACTCCACGACCCCGATATAAATGTATGTTCAAAATTGTTCTATCTTTGCAGCACAGCCATAAACAATCAAAGGGTATATTCTAAATTATCTGAATAAAAACAATAGAAATTGAACAAAAGAAAAAATGAATCAAAATTTAAAATTTTATAACCCTATACTTTTCATTTCTAGCCCCTGCAATTTTGCATCCTGTAGCCCCTGTAACTTTTCATTCGACAGCCCGTGTAATTTTTCTTTCTGTAGCCACTGTAATTTTTATATTCTGTAGCCCCTGTAGTTTGTGAAACGATAGCCCCTGTATTTTTTCATCCTTTGGTCCATGTAATTTTCATTTGATAGCCCGCGTAATTTTTCATTTAATAGCCGCTGCAATTTTTTATTCGACAGCCCCTGTAAATTTTCATTCCATAGCCCGTGTTATTTTTCATTTGTTAGCCCTGTAATTTTTATTTCTGTAGCTCCTGTAGTTTGTCAAACGATTTTTCATCACTTAGTCCCTGTAAATTTTCATCCTTTGGTCCCTGCAATTTTTCTTTCTGTAGCCCTGAAGTTTGTCAAACGAAAGCCCCTGTAATTTTCATTCTTATAGTCCATGTATTTTTACATCCTTTAATCCATAGTCCCTAGAATTTTTCATTCTGTAGTCCTTGTAATTTTTCATCCTTTAATCCATAGTCCCTGTAATTTATATTCTTAAGTCCCAGTAATTTTAATCCTTAAGTCCCTGTAATTTTTCATCCTGAAGCCTCTGTTTTTCATCATTTAGCCCCTGTAATATTATCGAAAAAAAACTTTACAAAAAACAGTCACCAAATTTACCTGCATGAGTTTTTAAATCCAGCCTTTTTTCTTGTGTTTCATAATCGTTTATACTAGCATACCCACTTCTACAGATTACAATTTAATTACAACAGGAAATAACTTGAATTATAAAAAGACACGTGGATTTCTACTTTTGTAAATTTTTAAGAATATTTGTCGAACCAAATTTGATTACAATACAAGTTTTGCACAAAATAACGTTTAATTTTTATGCATAATTGATTCTTTATTGCTGAATTTAAATTTAAAAAAAGGTGAATTCGTTAAAAACCAATACATATAACTACAGGTTTACCCACAAAAACCAATACATATAACTACAGGTTTACCCACAAAGGATGAGATTATAAAGACGACCGTAAACTCTTAAAATGAGACGAAACCAAGGTTAAATTATATTTTTAACCATAAAAATCGTCTCTGAAGTCTCATCCTTTGTGGTTAACCCTGTAAAATGTGTATTAGTATCTCATAATAACCATGAATTTTTGTACCAAAAAATCATTCTCAAATTTTCGCCGATTTTTCTTTAGAAATTGGTGCATTTTTTTCCGGGCAACTTTGCTAATATTGGGCCAGATCGGGTTTGCCGATTTGGCGTTGATTGGATGCCAACGAACAAAGACAGAGACAAGCCGAATATATAAAGATGAGTATAAGTGCATAGTTTAATGAATTGCATCCCTAAATCCGACTAAAATCCAAGGTCTGGTAGAATGAATATCATTACACAGTACACCACTTTCTTCCAAACTATACTTCCAGTACATTTTGGATCTGAAAATTAGTTACAGATAAATAATTTTAAAAAAATATCTACTTCTACCAATAAAATAAAATCAGCCTCAAATCATATTTCTAAATAGTGTTCTTCCTGTTTATGAAGCTGTACAGACCACGTGCTTGATTGGTTCCAATTACAGTCGCTAATTCCGCCTCACTTGCTCCCGCCACACCGCGCACACTTCCAAACCGGGTTAGCAAACTTCTCGCCGATTTTTCTTTTACATTTGGAAGATTTATGAGCGCCAGTAGCATCTCCTTTTCTACCTGGAGCCCACTCAATTTATCGGTTTTTAAAGGGTTCTTGAGTCGAGTTGAGACCTTAAATCTTTCTAGAATTTGTGGAATTTGATCCAAACTGTCGATCGGAATTATCGGAATACTAAATTCCAGAACAGACAAGCTTTGGACTTGGTCGAAGTATGGTTGGGAGAGATCGCTTGAGTGAAAGAGTAGTGTGGGGATAAGACCCAAAGTCGGGTTATTGTTCACCAACTTGTAGAACCTAGCCAGCATCTTCTGCACGTTGTCCACCCCAAGCACAATGTCAGCCTCGCCCAAGTACATTACTGAAACCAATACACATTACACAGGTATTTAATTTCTGTATACTTATAGTGAACAATGTACAATGTACATTGTACATCCATTAGCAGGCCCATATCTAGATGTGTTTGTAGTAAAAATTTCTGTATACTTATAGTGTACAATGAACAATGTACATTGTACATCCATTAGCAGGCCCATATCTAGATGTGTTTGTAGTAAAAAAGAACTTATTTAACATTTAATTTATTTCAACGCCCCCTTTCTGCCCTTACGGCATTGTATATTCTAAAGAATATTTCTTAACGAACATGATACATACCTTTATTTAACTCAACGAGGGAGGGAACCCCCGGACGCCATGAGTTTCTGCTATGCAGACAAGAGCCTCACAGATTTGCTAGGCAGACCAAGCCTGCGCTGTGCAAAACAGCTTTTTTAAATTTGGTTTTATGTGTAATGCAAAATGGTAACACATTTTGGCATAAGAATTTTACAAAGATTAGATTTATTTATTGATTGTCATGATTAGAAACAAATATAGACTCGTGTAAAACTTTAAACATTTCTTATGCAGAAAGGAAGATATTTAAATAAATATTTCTGGATTAAACTTAGTTTGTTTTGTTGTAATCTTTGATTTAAACAATACCTTTTTTTTGGAAAATGTTAAATTTAAAAAAATTATACAAATTTTCTAGATTTAATTTGAACTACAAAAAAAGGTATTGCTTAAATCAAAGATTATAAAAGATGAAATGAAATTCAATTCAAATTTTTTCTCTAAATATTCTTATTTTCATGTAAAGAATGTTTAAAGTTTTATATACCACTTTATTAGTTATAATTAGGAACTATTTAAGATAATTGATAAATATTGCTCATCTTTGAGAAACCTCTCATGCCACTGTGTCAACAAAAAATTTGTTAGCATTTTTCATTACACATAAAAATCAAGATGTAAAAAAGCTGTTCTGGATGGTGGAGGCTCGTTCACTGCATAGCTAAGGCTTGGTCTGCATGCGAAGGCATGGTCTGCTAAGTGGAGGCTCGGTCTGCCTAGAAAATCTAGGAGGCTCGTGTCTGCATAGCAGAGGCTCATGGCGTCCGGGGGTTCCCTACCCTGAACAACCCAGTGGCTGCTTTTTATGGTGGGGTGGGGGCATCCTTTGACAAGTTTAAAGGTCATCCTCTCCCTTGAAACTTTAGAAAACTCTCCCACCCCCGGGAAAAAACATGACCAAATTTATCCTTGCGTTACATACGAGATCCATGTACAAAATTGATAGGAGGGAGGGGGGGCCGGGGTCCAAAATCGTGTACTAGGGAATAATGATTTTTCTCCCAAATCATCAAAAATTCTGAAAAATATTCACCCCGGCATTGAAGTATAAATATCCTGCCTCTGTGGAATGTAGATGGTTGAAAATCAACGTTTTCCTCGGTATAATGAACTTGGAAATATTTTTGAAGATCGGCAGACACCTTACTTGATCTCCATTTTACATTTACTTGAAAATCGAGCTTTGTTAAAATTTCAAAATTAAAAAGATAGGTGAAGAAAAAGCAATTGAGAATAAACTATTAAGAAAGTTTCAGATGAGTGGTTTATTTTCGAACCGATGATCTGCGGATTAGATTAACTCATGTCCAGCTCAAGCGTTGTAGATAAGCACTATTTCGCACAAAAGTTTTAACCTCAAAACAAAAACTGTAATTTTTTCCAAATTTGAGCTCTAATTTCCTATACACTGTCCATATGGTAGAGTTGGGGCACCAGCTCCTGCAGGCTGAAAATCCTCGGAACTTTTAGAACTGGTTTTGGCCATGTGTGAAGATTCTGGTTTAGCGCCAAAATTCGCCATTTTGATTTGACAAACCTGTACTGTCCTGGATCAAGTTAGGGAGTTTCTGACTGAATTTCACTTTTAAGCATTGCTGTTTACATTCTTGTCTGAAAACTTACTAAATCAATAACGACATGTATTCTATTCATATTGAAAATATATTACAAAATTTAATGTAACGGATAAATTAGGATAATAAAATAATAAACTGGTACTAGAATATATTTTTTATATTAATACTGAACTTAAATTAAGGCACAATTCGAAGATTTTCGCAGATTGTGAAAATTTAACCTACTGTTACAATATCAGGTTGAAATCGAGCATAGTAAAACTTGTAAATGGAAAAGTTGACGTACAAGTAAAAATCTTTCTACTCACTTTATAATACAAATAATAACAACTTATCATATCATATTTAATACTAATACAAAGTTACAAAATAAATTTAACTCATAAAATTGTGAAATTCAAAATACAGTTCAATTAAGGGCGTATACAGGATTTACATTATATTTCCTAGAAAATTACCCCCATATATATTTTATACGCCATTGAAATAATTACTTTATACGCCTAAATTTATGTAAATTTATGAATAGTTGTGTGATCAAAATGCTTCTCAATGTTGTCCAAGTTTTTCCACCACAATGGAAGAAGGTTCTAAAAAATATCAATAAAAATTGGATAAACAAATGAATTATTAAACTATCAATAAGAAAAGTCCTAACCAATATTTGCTATTAATTGACATTCACACAATCACAAGACGAACATTCTTTTTTTAAACATTTATCTCGAGTACAACAGACAGCTTCCAGTTTGTATTCTTAATTCCTCGTTATTTTTATGCATGAATGTCAAAACTGATCGTGCAACTTTTTTTTCTGTTTTAGTGTTAAAAAGCTTTTTTGAAATAAAAGTTTACAAGTGATTATAGAAAAGATTTTTTAATCGACAACTTTTCTTATTTCAAATTTTTGTGTGCATTTATGCTGTTTAAAAGCTTAATATAAATCAAAATTGAAATCAAAAGGCGTCTTCATTATATTTATATAATCGCCTACCACCGTATAACCTATATGAATAAAATATATTTTTATGCTATGGTTGCAGACTTTAAAATACCTGTGTGATAAGACGGAACCAAGGTGTAATTTCTCCCCCTGTATTCTCAACATGGTTCAAGAACTCAGGGAGTTTATCTCTTGACACCCATTCTATCTCACTGACCTTGGTTAAATATACAAGGTTATTCAATAATAATAAGCTATTAAAGGATTGTTGTTGTAAAGTCAGTAGAAAAAAGGGCATGTCGATTCACAACGTACCCCTTTAAATCTGTGTGTGATCAATAAAGAGGAGGAAATATAGCCTTGAAAGTGTTGGGTTCTGAAATTAAAATCTGCTGCAATTCACCTTTAAGGTGAAATCAAAAATGAAACCGTACCACTGTGCGTCGGTTTCTCATATTTTCTTGGTCAGACGCTTAGGATCCATTTAATTTTAATGCGGATCCTGGATCCGCACTGGAAAAAAATGGATCCAGGTCATTTTAAGATTTACTGTATTTTTTTAACAAAAAATAATTTTAAAATTTTTTTAAAATTTTTTTTCGCTTGTTTTTATCCTGAAACTTAATGAATCATTCAGAAATGAGGAAATTTTATAATCTCTCTTTTTTCAAAAGTTCAGATTTGGGGTTTAGGAGTAAAAAAGTTTTTATTAGCAGTTTTTGGTTGATATCTTACCCCTTGGATCCGGATTCGTGGATCCGCATATTTTTGCAGATCCGGATCCAGAAAGCCAAAATCTTGGGATCCAATGGATCCTAAGCACTGGCGTTAGACGAAGCCGTATTCTTATGGATACCGAAGTGAATCGGAGGATCACTTATAATTAAGTCATTAGTCCCTTAATTAAAGTCTCTTTCAGAGTGAATAATGAAACGATGCATCTTAAATCCATATCATTGTCATAATTTCTGTTTTTTTCAAGAAAGTAAGAAGCTGCAGAAAACCATCAATATACGGGAAAAGATTGAATAACATATAGAATTTTAGTTAGTGCATAGCTTATTCATCCATTTTATTTTGAATCGGATCTCTGGATCCAGGTCCTGCACATTGTAACAATATTTACTGATTTTTTTTAAAAGTTAAATTTTTTTCTGTTTTCCCGCTTATTTTGCTGTTAAAACTTAATGGATCTATTCATTGCACATGTTATGCTAAGTGTTAATCCAGAATTTGCAAGATGGATTAGTGGGAGGAGTAAATTCCTGGGAAGCATTAGTGTTACAAGGCAGTCATAATAAATAAATAATTAAATTCAGAGATAAAGAAGTTTTTGTTAATCTCTCATTAATTTACAATTGAGATTTGGGTTTTGAGAACAACGTTTTTTAGCAGGCTTTGGTTTATTTTTTACTATTGGACCAGAATGCGTGGATCCGCATGTTTGCGGATCCAGAACCAGTGCAGGGTGTCAAAATATTGCGGAGTTTTCTTGATGTACTTGACATATGTTACCTCCTCAGGGTTTGGTATAGTAAGGACATCTCCTCTGTGTAGTAGAATATAATCTAGTTCATGTTCTCCCCAGTCTCCGCTAGATGGTGCTGAATACAGGATCCTTCACAATACCAAAACCTCATTTAAAACAAATGTTTTAACCAGTAAGCGTAACTTTAAGTGACCTTACATTCAAAGAGAGGTATCCCCGATTCACATCGGTATCTTTGTCTGATCAAGCATGAATTAGATGTTTTGGTTTCTTTTTACTGTTAATTTTCATTTGCGATTAAGCGATGCGAATCAACCAAAAAATCAAAGTAGGCTACTATATTTCAATATTGCACTATACATTAACTACTTTTACCTAGTTTCCTAAAAGCCTCAAGTAAACTGTTTATTAAAGGGACTGTAAGCGTAATTTTAGAGAGAATCAATAACATTTAGCTAACTATTGCATGGGGGTTTTATCAATGATGTCGTAATCTAAAATTGTGATAAAAAATCAGGGTTTTACCTTTTGTTTCCGGTTTTATTCGCGAATTGTAAGAAAATTAATTTTTGGCCGAAAGAAGTCAGTAAATTTTTTTCCCCAGGGCATAGACAAACTTCGCGATAAAACCATTGTCTTTGGGTAAAGTAAAAATGTTTAAAACATGGATAATTTAAAGTTTAATCTTTCTAAACTTTTTGATTTTGTTTCCTGGTTAAATACTGAATGTTTTCCGGGAGCACTTCGCTTTCAGCAATTCCTGAAAAAGTTTCAATTCTATTTATTATTTATAAAAATCAGTGTTGTATATTTTCTTGAAATNAACCCCCCCCCAACCATCTTTCTGAAAATCATATTTTATCCGCAGATGTTGGGTATTTGTATGTGAAACGAATTATTCATTAACTTTTTTTAGCTGAATTCAAAGAACACGAAAGGAAGAGAGTAAATCTATCTAACAATAGTTTTAAATTGCTACGTATGAAGGTTCAATACCTAAAACGTTGTTGCAAATAAACCAATTAACTCCAGGATCTTTCAAACATAGTAAGAGATAATAATAAACATAACATTAAAGGAAATAAAATGTGCTAAATAGCAGAAACAAAATGAACTAAAAAAATTGTATTAATTACAAAACAGAAACAAATGCGTTAAATAACAGAAACAAATTAAAAAAATGCAATATATGATAGAAACAAATTGCATTAAATAGCATAAAAAATTGTATCAAAAAAACAGAAAAAAATTTTACTAAAGTACAGAAGCTAAGTGCGCTGAATAATATAAATGTACTGACCTAACTCTGAGTTGACCTTCCTCTGGGCGGCTAACCTGACCCCCCAGGCGTTCTCCTCCTTCATCTCATCCCCCATCACCAGAGGGTGGGAACAGCACGTGTTCGTCCACATATTCGGAAATGTTATCTTAAAACAAAAAAATTATACTTTCTTTTCACAATCGAAGGTTTTACTTCCGGAATATGTCTGCAATATAAACTTAAAATGTTTTTATTATTTAGAAAAAAATAATTATTTTTTAGAGTGAAAGTAACAAGATTTTAATATCTTCATTAAATTGAGGGCACTGAGTACTTAAAATCTAATTTTCTAATCCCTATATCTAAGAAATCTGATTGTGTAAACCTTGGATATTTTTCAAACTATGAATTCTCCTAGATAGAGATGTATAAAATTCAAAGGTGTACGCAGACAGCTAAAATATGGATTAAAAAATTAGAGTTTGTGGCAAGTAATAAGATCCTTAAAAAAAGCCTAATTAAAAAGTTTCAAAAGGTGCCTAATCCTATACCTTCTCTTAATGGCACTCTTAATGGCACTCCGCTTTTCTTGGGAGTATAAGATCCACCTTACCTTGGTGTCACTCCCTCTTGTAGGAGTAGGCCCCCTTTACCTTGGTGGCACTCCCGTTTATAGGAGTAGGGTAGGTACCCCTTTACCTTGGTAGCACTCCCTCTTGTAGGAGTAGGTACCCCTTTACCTTGGTGGCACTCCGCTTTTGTAGGAGTAGGTCCCCCTTGTTGTTGAATATGAATAAAGAGAATGCACGATGTAGAAGAGAACCTCCCTCAACCATTCTGTGGCAGTCCTTTTTACTCGCCTACAACAATCGTGTTAGTTCGTTTAATAGAAATATTTAATAAAACTTAGAAGATTTCAAAACTGTATTCTGTTCAAGTTTAAATTTGTTTAACTTTTCAATATTTGTATCCTACTACATGATTATATCACTAGTACAACATACAGGGGATATATATATATATATATTGAAAATAATCCCCCCCCGCCCATATGTGAGAGACAAGTTTTAGGATTTTTAATCTGAGAAAATAAATTACTTTTAAGAACTGTACTATAGACCATCAAGAAGTAAACGTTCATTTTAATATTTGTGTATTTTTTTATTATTACTGAATATATGGATTTTACGCAATTCTCTACCATTTTTGTTGAAATAAAAGTTTGAAAGAGGAAAGTAATCGTTCATTTATAGTAACATTTCCAATTCTCCGTGGTACCCTTTTAACCTTTTTCTATGTAAAAAATAATAATTTATCATCCTTTTCTGGCCAAAGTATGCGGATTTAGTTTGCAGAAACAATGACAAAAATTATGTAAGCAGACAAGAATTTTTTCCCTTAGATAAAGATTTGCAGGGTACCGTTGAAAATCGGACATTCCGCTTTAAAAATGTAGGTGACTTAACAATGAATGTACATGATTAAAAGTATCAAACATGGTAAACAGGAGGGACTTGGCTGTTGATACTATTTTTTTCATTTTCTTCCCAAAATTAACCATTTGATGATGGGTTTAAATATGTTTACAGACCCAGATCCAAATTTGTTTACAAACCCGGATCCAAATATGTTTTGAACCGGATCAAATATGTTCACAGAACCGGATCCTAATTTGTTTACGGAACCGGTTCTGACTTACCTGTCCAATTGCTCTGTCTTGTTCATCGACAAGTATGCAGGGTTCAGAGAGTAATGCTTCTTGAACTGGATCTAAACATTTTTAATTGTGGTTTCTCAACAATCTACAAAAGTAACTCCCGCATAATTATAATGTGAATCAAACACTTTTACACCAAGAAAAACGAAAATATCTTCCAAATAATTGAAAAGATAAAGAAACGTAATGAGCATTGCCATCTTTGCATGAACTTCCTTTACAGTTTATTCAATCATTAAAAAAGCTAAATTTGAAACCATATTCTGTGGGAAGAGGAAGGGGACTCTTAGGCAAGTTATAATTAAGATATGCCAAGACTCTTAGTCAAGTTATAATTAAGATATGCCAAGACTCTTTGTCAAGTTATAATTAAGATATGCCAAGACTCTTTGTCAAGTTATAATTAAGATATGCCAAGATTCTTAGTCAAGTTATAATTAAGATATGCCAAGACTCTTTGTCAAGTTATAATTAAGATATGCCAAGACTCTTTGTCAAGTTTTAATTAAGATATGCCAAGACTCTTAGTCAAGTTATGATTAAAATATGCCAAAACTCTTAGTCAAGTTATAATTAAGATATGCAAAGACTCTTACACAAGTTATGATTAAGATATGACAAGACTCTTAGTCAAGTTATGATTAAGATGTTCCAAGACTCTTAGTCAAGTTTTGATTAAGATATGCAAAGACTCTTACACAAGTTATGATTAAGATATGCCAAGACTCTTAGACAAGTTATGATTAAGATATCCCAAGACTCTTAGTCAAGTTATGATTAAGATATGCCAAGACTCTTAGTCAAGTTAAGGTTAAGATATGCCAAGACTCTTAGACAAGTTATGATTAAGATATGCCAAGACTCTTAGTCAAGTTAAGGTTAAGATATGCCAATACTCTTAGTCAAGTTATGATTAAGATATGCCAAGACTCTTAGTCAAGTTAAGGTTAAGATATGCCAATACTCTTAGTCAAGTTATGATTAAGATATGCCAAGACTCTTAGTCAAGTTAAGGTTAAGATATGCCAATACTCTTAGTCAAGTTATGATTAAGATATGCCAAGACTCTAAGGTAAGTTATGATTAAGATATTCCAATAAACATGTTTATTGTAATATTTTGCTCAAAAGCTTATTTTTTTAAAAATTCAAAATATGCTTCCTTATAATAAAAATATCAGGGAATATCACATTCTGAATTTTCAACGTTTTTCCCTTTAAGTGTCAAAATAAAATGTGAATTTAGTGGAATCTGATTGATGAATAGGGGGGGGGGGGGCAATGTTTTCAAAGAATTTCCATCTAAAAAATAAAAAACTCTGACAGGTTCATTCTAAGCCATACAATCAACTAACCTATGGCTGGTTTGGATTTAGTTCCTATATTTCTACCGGAAACCACGAGGTCTGACGGCCATCTTGTATTCGGCCATTTTAGTTTCATCTGCAATATTTCACTTCTCAAGTATTAAAGCAAGATAAGAAGGATTGACGAAAAGGACATTTTGTATTTCCGTTTTATTTTAAAAATAATAAAAAGTTTTCGAGATCGATGTTTATTGTTAGTTTTTGTCCTTCTCGTAAACATCCTTTAAAAAGATGACATCAAAAAAGTCCAAAAATGTTTATCAGATCATTTCTTTTCCTTCCTCTTCTTGACGTCCCAATTATACAACCGTGCCATTGTTACCTAAATAAATAGAGACAAATTATTAAAAAGATATTTTTTCAAAAATAATGTTGCCATTGTATTCCTCTCTTAGGACTACGACATTTTTACTGAGGTCATTTTTGTATACGTCGTTTTTATTTGAGGATTTTTACGCTATGGGAAAAAAATACCCAAGCTTCCATTTGGCTGACCCTAATAATTTAAAAGGAAAACTTTTTTGCGTAGAAAAATGGCTTAAAACAAAATTTTCTGGTTTTACTCTTTAGGGATTAGTTGGAAACAGAAAATATTGCATTGCAAATTCTATTATGAACATCGCTTAGAGATTTCTATTTTGAAACAAATCCCCGAAAATTTGCGTTTTACTTTTCCCTTCAGTTCAGTCTAATCCTATGTGATGAAGTCATTCCCCCCAATCCCTCTTCTGTTGCGAGTACAAAAAAATTGTATTCGCTGAATTTGGGAGGAAATTCACGTTTTTCGGTAAACAGTATGAAAAAGGACGAAAAAAGGATAACACAGTTTATAATTTCTTTTTCAAACTATACCTAACTAAACCCTTCAAAATTCCTACGGTCCTTTTTTCACGAACGCGTTATTTTGTGGGTAACTTTTAATAAGAAGAGTAGAGACTAGAGAGCCTCATTTAGTCCTTATATATAATCAATTATAAATACGTTGAATCATCACATGCATAATAATGTAATGTATAATATTAAACTAAAAACATTATTACAACTGCCCTTTTTAAATTATAAATATTAGAATTTTAAATTTTGGTAATTACCCAAAATCTTATGTCTTGAGCTTAAGGATATGATTGCATTTTTTCTTGAATGAGTAGACTGTTACAACGAATTTGTGTAAACCCTCTAGCGGACTAGTTTGAAACTAACGCCAGGATCAATACTCGTTAGCGCAGTCTACTTGCTATTTCCGTAGTGGAAGGGAATGGGGTCATCACTGTGTTGCACATTTTCTCAATTTTCTTTCTGAAACAAAACGACTTGGTAAGTGGAACTATACTAAACGTGATTGTGAATATACAAACTGTGTTCAACCAAAGTTTGAGGTTGAAGTAAATTATATTTTGTCTGTATTTCCAATATAAAGGAGTGTTAAGACAAGCTAGGTATTAGTATGAAGTGGTCTTGCTCTGTCGCTCTTTCCCGAGTCTAAATACAACCAGTTTTATTTTCAAGTTTACTCAACAATCAAACCTCGGTTATCTTTGAAACCTTGCAATCATCTTAATCTGGACCCGAGACATAGTTTCCTTGCGTCTCGAGTCTATTCAATTGATATTTTCTGAGATATTTGGTTGAAAAGTTAGTAAGGTTGGGTGATACTAGTGTGTGTCCAAGGTCTCCAATATGGAGTTTAGTTGTACTACTACCTGCCTTATCCGCTGTCACTACACCACCACACACAACTTATATAAACATTTTTATTCGTTTACACCATTTACCCATCTTTTTTTGGTGTTGGTAATTAGTTAAATAAGCGCTAAAACTGTAATTTCTTGGCATTCACAAGAAAAAATGGCGGAAAAAATAAACAAATTCTCAGAGTTTAGCTTTCCTTGCGTTTAGTGCAAGAGTGTTCCTTCTTATCTTGGTTAAATCTTATTTCGCAATTCATAACTGGAAATTTTTGTTCGAATTACTTGTTAAAACTGTGAAAACTATATATTATAAACTTTATTATGTGTTTGGTTGTTTGTGTTTTAATAACATATACAAATTTTTAACTTTATTTTTTCAAACATTTTATATTTATGAATATAAATACAAATCTATTTGTCTAAAGATTAAACATATAAAACTCTATCAGTATTCCTTTTCTGTATTTGTTTATTTTTCTTTCGTTTGTTTTTAATTTAATTTAAATGTTCAAATACGTTATTTTCATTTGTCCTTTTCCGCCTCCTATTTCCTTCTCCGTCATCTTTATTGTTGAGTTCGTTTTTATTTTTAAAACTACAATTTCTCTTTTCATCGTGTAATCCTTCTCGTCATCTTTCCTTTCTTCCCATTTTCTTTTTTCAATCATATCATTCTCTAAAGTCTAAACATTCTATTTCCAATTTTTTTTTTGTTCCGCTCCCTAATTTTTTCCTATTCTTGTTTATTTGCATCTTTCAACCTTCTTCTTTCCATGTTTTTCTCTGTTCTAATCTTTCCTTCGTTTATCATCCTCCCTCCTCTCCTCATCCTTCCTCTCCTCAACCTTCCTCTCCTCAACCTTCCTCTCCTCAACCTTCCTCTCCTCAACCTTCCTCTCCTCAACCTTCCTCTCTCTCTTCTCATCCCTCCTCTTCTCATCCCTCCTCTTCTCATCCCTCCTGTTCTCATCCCCCCTCTTCTCATCCTTCTTCTCCTCATCCCTCCTCTTCCAATCCCTTCTCTTCTAATTCTTTCTCTTTTCATCCCTTCTCTTCGCATCCCTTCTCTTCTAATCCCTTCTCTTCTAATCCCTTCTCTTCTAATCCCTTCTCTTCTAATCACTTCTCTTCTAATCCCTTCTCTTCTCATCCCTTCTCTTCTAATTCCTTCTCTTCTAATCCCTTCTCTTCTAATCCCTTCTCTTCTAATCCTTTCTCTTCTCATCCTTTCTCTTCTCATCCTTTCTCTTCTCATCCCTTCTCTTCTCATCCCTTCTCTTCTCATCCCTTCTCTTCTAATCCTTTCTCTTCTCACCCCTTCTCTTATCATCCCTTCTCTTCTCATCCCTTCTCTTCTCAACTCTCCTCTTTTCATCCCTTCTCTTCTCATCTCTTCTCTTTTCATCCCTTCTCTTCTCATGCCTTCTCTTCTCATACTCATCCCTTCTCTTCCCTTTCTTTTTTCATCCCTTCTCTTCTCATCCCTTCTCTTTTCATCCCTTCTCTTCTCATCCTTTCTCTTCTTATCCCTCCTCTTTATCTCCGCATCCTTCCTTTTATCATCTCTCTGTTTTTTATTCCGCCTCTTCCCTATTCTTCTTATCCCTCTTCTTCTCATCCCTCCTTTTTCATCCTTCCTCTTTTCATCCCACCTCTTTTTATCCCACCTCTTTCCATCCCACCTCTTTCCATCCCACCTCTTATCAACTCTCATCTTCTCATCCCTTCTCTCCTCATCCCTTCTCTTCTCATCCCTTCTCTTCTCATCCCTCCTCTGATTATCCCTTCTCTCCTCGTCTATCTTTTTCCAATCCCTCCTCTTTCTAGATCATACTTTTTTTCCTTCTCCTTTCTTTCTTTATTTATATTCTCCTCCATCTTTTTTCCCCTCATTATTCCCAGTCTTATCATTTATCTCGTTATACCTCCTGTTCTTATCCATCTTTAAGAATATTTTCTAATGTTTTAATTTATTTCAGAAGTGTTGAGTAGTATCGAGATGTTCACTAGAGTAGAGTTTCCACATGATGGAGTCAAGTAGATATAGTCAACCTGTACCAGGTATACTTAGAAAACACTTTGACTAATATATTGCCCTTTATCAATTTTTCTTCATCAAATTCATCTTTGGAGATATTTTTATATTTTTTTTACATTGTTATTTACAAAACATGAGACTGTTCATGATTCTCTTCAGCTGTTTTTTTTCGCAAATCATTTAATACATTCTTAAAAACTTTTCAATTCAAAACATTAGTCGAAGTTAAACCCTTACGTACAAGATATTTTTAAAAACTTTATATACTCTAATTTTAATTTACTCTAATTTTAATTTACTCTCTTTTTTCTAGATGTTTCTGATAAAACGGAGGATATAGAAATATTATCAGTCCCGTCTCCTCCTCTCCTGGGAGTGAGAACCTTGTTGAGAGATAAATCTCCGTCCCAGGTGGAGAAATCTAGATCCGTCAGATCCAACTCAGATGTTTGTCTAGAGGATATAGAATCAAAGTCAGGTACAGATCAAGGGATTATATTTGATTAGAAAAATCCACGCAACGGTTTTTAGAATAATTTTTTATTCCAATTGCAATTATTTTTTTAAAAGCTTTGTTTAGTTATGTTTTATTGCACCAACTCTTTTTATATTTTTAATCAATGTTTCAGGAGAGATATTCTTAAAGGACGAAATACTAGCCTCCAGGTCCCCCTGGAGAATACTAGAGAAGGAAAACAGTCCTGAAGTTAAGGAACCTCCTCTCCGCTCCTCCGGGTTCTCCTCGGAGTTTGCTAAATTCTTAAAAAATAATACAGAGGGTAAAACCAAGCCTGTGAAGGATTTTGTAACCCGTAAGTGCAGTGTACGGTTGGTTCATCTTGATATAGATGTAAATTCAATTCCAGAAATGGAAACTAAGAGCGTGTCTCCGTGTATAGAGGTTGTAGGAACCAGGGAACCCGTGAAGCGGGATAATGACAGTCCTGTTGGAGACGGACCTCTGAACAAAAAACCTAAAAGTGACGATGTGATAATTCTGGAGTCTGATACCTCTAATAAATCCAGTCCAGATATATCTATAGTTAAACTAACGAAGAATCCCACAAAGGAGAATAAAAATGGTTCCTGTGAGAAGAAAAATGAACCAAAGACACCAGAAAATAGAATTAAGACGGACAAGTTAGGACAATTAAAACCAATTTCCATTGAAACCGGGAAGAAACCCGATCTTCCTGTTCCGAAATCCAGTAAGTCTCTCCCTATAAACTCTTTGGATAAAACAGATCGAACCTCGCTTCAGTGTTTAGAACAGAAGCTTCTTGATCTTAAAAAATCCGCGAAAGATCAGCAGAAAACAAAATCTCATGATAATCATCAGAAATTTAAATCTATGAGCCCGTCGGGGACCAAAACCAGCAAAGATAATCATCATCGAAGAAATGACACCTTCATGTTGGAGCGAAAGAAAACAGTATCTTCTCCAGTAAAGAAGATTCACAAGAAACCATACAGTGCTCCGGCTACTCCTAAAGAGAATAAGCTCGGTGGATTATTCTGTCCCACTACTGACGCCAAAGTTACAATTCTGCCGTGTAAAACTGTTCCTAAGGAAGAAACTAAACCTCTAGCTGCAGGATCTAATTCTGTAACAATAACTAAAGTATCGTCTGGAGACACTCTCAGTGTTACTCCAAAGGACATAAAAAAGGTATTTTCTCCTAAATCTGAGAATAAACTAAAACTCTCTCCGAGCTCGACCTTGAAACCAGAGAAAACGTCTCCAAAACCTTTCATGAAATCTGACAAGTTTAAAACTGGAGACAAATTTCACAAGGAACACCGACACAAAGACAAAGAATATAAGAGTCGAGAATCCTCTAAGGAAAGACGAGAAAAGGGAGAGAGAAGGGAGCGGGTAGGGAGCTTAAAAATAATCCGCTGTTCGAAGTGCAGGGAGGTGTTCTCCACAAAAGAGGCAAAGAAGCTCCATACTTGTAATTCTATCCTTGACGCTAGATATTTAATTGATGGCGGAGATAGGCAGAAAACCTCTCCTGTCTCTAGCACGAGTAGCAGTGATCGGTCGGAGAGTACAAGTGCGTCCTTATCTAGGTCCAGCTCTAGATCATCTTCTCCGGGTATGACAGTTTCTAGTGTTAAAAAGTCCGGAGACGGATTAAAACTAAAACCTCGTAAACTTGAAGAAGATAAGGTGAAGGTTAAGATCTCTCTGGCCAAGGTTAAACAGGACGAAGATGAGAGGAAGAAGTATGAGAAGGGGGTGAAAAAGGATCCAATGAGAGAGAAGTGGGTTGAGAACAAGCTCGGAGGAAAACTGGATCGAGGAGACTTGGATCTAGAGGAGAATATGAAGCATAGGCACCAGGGACTCGTCATTGAAGCAATAAACTCCTCAGACGGACACCAGTCCTCTTCAATGGAAATGATGAAGAAGGATGATCATTTCTCCGGAGATGGTCTCTTCTCCTTCTCCGGGAAGAGAACCTACTCCCCTAGTATGAGTGAGAGTACACAGAATGATGGGAAAGGTAAGAATTTATATAGTTTAAGAGAGAAAAGTAAAGGGTGACATCGCAAATGAATTTCATTCATTCACTTCATGTAAAAGTTATTTGCATATAATTTTAAAAATTTCCCTCGAATTTCACAAATGATTTGTTTTCTTATCTAAAGATTGTAATGAATATTATTACCTTACCAATGTAAATACTAAATATGACTAAAGTTTTAGAAGGGTGGGCAAAAGAATGTTGACATAATTTTTTATTTAATTGATAAAAATCGGATTCAGGGGGGTGGGGATGGCTTCGAATCGATTCTATTTCGATAAAATCATAACGATTCAGAAAAATGAAATTAATAAATCTCAGATTTTTTTATTTATTTACTAGCTAAAGTGCCTGGCGTTCCCCGTGGAATTATAAACAAATTTCGATTTTGAATTTTTTTTTTTTTTTTGAGGAAAAAAATTCGACTTATAGCCTTTGTTACCCCCGGGATACCCGTGGGTTTCCTAAAAAAAATCGGTCAATTTGGTTCAGCCGTTTGGCTTACTTTAGCTGACATATAAATACTTATTACTTATATGTACGAAAAGCTTTATTATTATTCATAAATTTAAGGTTCACCTCGAGAAACCAACAGCAAGGACTCGCCAGCAAGTCAGGCGGACTCTGGAGTATTTTCTATCGCGAGCAGTGCGAGTCCAAGTAAACTAGACGGAGGAATAAATTCTGATGTCCGGAGTCCAGACAGTCCAAGAACAATAGAGTCCTTAAAGTCAGAACACTCACAATGTAAGTTTTAATCACATTTTACCAATCTTTAACTACAGCCTACGTATCATGATGTAATGATTGGATTTAATAGACAGAGGATAAATGCATTTTAGTCTAAACTTCAATTTATATATATTTATATATTTTATACATACATTTTTGAATAAATATTGTATACTTCACATTTAAAAATAACTAATTAGTTCACATGATCTAAAACCGTTAAAATTTGTTAATGTTTTAGGGAAGCTAGGGATGGGAGTATCCATGAGCGCTAGTTCAGGGGATCCTAAACACTTAAGTACTATGAAGAACCCTGGATATCCCAGGAAGACGGATGGTCCAGGGAATGGGTTCCCTCAAGGTATCTCCCTCCCACTTAACACTAGCATCACACGTGTTTTACCTCAACCCAACAGCTCTAGCTACTCAACCAATATGAATCCAAACAAGAGCATGGGGATCAGCACCTCCACATGGATGACCAGCCAGCAGATGAGCAGCTACTACCTAGATGAAAACTCTAAGAAGAAAAGAGGGAGACCAAGAAAAAATGGTGATCCCATCTTCTCCGGAAAGTTTAAAAATCCGAAACCTAAGATGTCGGACGACGACAAAGACATGTATGACTTTGAGATGGAGGAGGATGAGACTAAACCAATGCAGCCACTAAGACCCCGGAGACAAAACGCGCAGCCTGTAACCTACAAAGATCCAGACTCGGATGAGGATGCCAAAGGGAGACAGCCCCAAGTTCCTTTGATCCAAGCAACTCTAGGCTACAAAGACATACACGAAAAAGCTCTAGGTCTTCAGACAGACAATTATGATGGTGATTTTAACTCAAGTGATAATGTGTTGGATGATCATGGAGAAATGGATGGAGATGATGAAGAGAAGGATAGGGATGGAGAAGACGAGAAGGAGAGGGATGAAGAGGAAGATGAGAGGGAAAAGAACATATCTTGGTGTAGTATGATAGAAGAAACACCAAAAGGCGGTATCAAATTAAAGCTGAAGATAAAGAAACCTGTATCCCCAGCAGCTCAGGATCCAGAACCCCCATTAAAGAAAACCAAACTGGATTCTTCAGATGATTCTGACGAATATCAGAAACCCGAACCGTCCATGATCAATGAAGTGCAGAGAATGGCAAAAGCTCTGGAACCAAAGAGTGAACCTGAAACTAAAGTTAATTCTAAACCTGTCATATCTCAGGAAACCCCTGTTATTAGCTCTGTCCAGGTTAGTAGTAAACAAACGAGTATGATGACTCCAGGGTTAGCTGGAGGAATGCAACCCAAAGTTTCTACTCCACCCCAAACTTCCCAGGGAGTTGCACCTCCAGTGAGATCTTACGGCTCCAACAACAATCCGTTAGGAATACCTCCAGTATCAACAGGACAAGAGGACGGTTTAAAAGGCCCATCTCCTCCAAAGGTTCAAAACCCCTACGCCATCCAAAAGCAGACCTATCCCCCAGCTGGCAACCCAAATCAAACAAGTTATGAAATGCAACAAAACTATCCTACAACTTCTAATTACGCGGATTTCCCTAACTACAATCCTTCCTACAGCAGTTACATGGAGCAACAACAGCAACAACAACAGCATCAGCACAGTCAGATGTATTCTAGCAATCAATATCAACAGCACATGGCCAGTTTTAGGCCAGGAGTGCGCCCTGGGAGTCCTATGATGCAGAGGCCTCAGCCAGCAGGGTTCATGGGAGGAAGGATTATGGATCCTAGGTTTCCTCACCTGCAGAACCCAATGTCAGATGTGGAGGCAATGCACGGAGGAATGAATACTCACATGGGAGGTATGCCAATGGGAATGGGTTCTCATATGGGACCTGGAATGTCGTGTCATCCCGCTATGATGGGAGGGATGATGCCTGGTTTAAGCTCTTCTAGTATTTCAATGGGATCCTATCCTAGTTCTCCGATGAATGTTCCAAGTAGTATGAACCAGAACCCAATGTCTGTATCTATGGGTTCTGCAGGGATTCACAAAGGTCCGATGATGAACTCTCCTGTGATGAGCCCAATATCCGGGCATGGTGGAATGATACCTCGATCAATGAGTCCGCAGTCCCTGGGTGAGCGTACTCTTGTGGGTCCGCCTTCAATAAGTCCCCAATCTATTCCTGGTTGTGAGCGAAGTATATTTCCTCCTGGTCAATACAGACTCTCCTCTCCTCAATACAGTCCTGCACATCAGGGTCCAGTCCAACCTAGTTACAGTCATTCTCCTACATATAGTGGAGCACAGGGATATCCTCAACCTAATTTATCTCACATGTATAAACCTCCCACACCTCAAACCTACCCTAAACCTCCAACTCCACAGAGCTATCACCAGCCTTCAACTCCTCAAGGGTATCCAAATCCTCCAACTCCTCAGAGTTATCCGAAACCTCCCACTCCTCAGAACCCAAATACTCCAGGATCTTATCCTAATCCCTCAACACCTGGAGCTTATCAGAATCCAACAACTCCTCTCTCCCAACAGAATCCTCTTACACCTCAATCCTATGATCCTCCAACTCCACAAGCTTCGCAGCACAACAATAGTTTTGAAAGCTCAATAACCCAGCCTGTGATTCAACAGAACCCCCTGGTATCAGCAATATCTACTCCTGCCACCAGCTCTTTCATCCTTCCTAAAACCGAGAGTGTAATCCAGTCCCCTGTGCATAATGTGTTCAAGGATAGTTCAAAGATTACTACCCCTATGTTGTCTCCGCCTTCAACAACCAGCAGTCTGAGAAAGATTCGCAGACCAAGTAAGTCAGTAACACCGGGCACTGTGAGTCCGAACCAGAAAAATCTGAGCCCGAACCAATCTCAAATAACTGTAAAAATGGAAAATGATTCTGTAATTGTACCTAAACTTGAACCCCTCCAGAATTCTCCTCCTATAAGTGTTAAGAGTGAACCTGTTCCGTTTATCAAGAAGGAGCCTGATTTGTCTCCTAAACCTGATGTAAAGAGAGAGCTAGTCCTAGAGGAGGAACCCAAACCTTCATCTCCTCCTCCTAGAACTCGAACACCGGATCCCCCTAAGGAGGAGAAGTGGGGAGAGGACGGAGAATTTGGAATGCCAGAAAAAGCATTAGAATTGATATTTTCTTATGTTTGCCACACGGAAGGCTGTCTCCCATTTCTACCTAGCGCAATGCGTGTTTGTAAACTGTGGAATAAGGTTGCAATGAATCCAGCATTGTGGACCCATGCCAACCTAGGACTGGCTGTGAAGGAAAAGTCTAGGACGGAGAAGAAGTTGGAATGGATTTTAAAGAACAAGTTTCCAAATGCTATTCATGTTGATGTAACAAGCTGGAAGGCTGTTATGAGTACACCAGCGCTCAAGATAATCGCTGCCAACTGTCCTAAAATTACAGGACTTGGTCTGTCCAACTGTGTGAAACTCAATTTTGAAGATATTAGAATCGTTCCTAGTCTTTTTCCTCTACTGGAGCGGATTGATCTCAGTTTAGTTTCGGTAAATATCATATTTGTATACTTAAAGGATTTGTTTTGAATATATTAAATGTGGGATGGGTTAGCAATTCAACGACTCTTTGCTGATAAATAATTTTTCTCTTTTTAGCCCTCTACAGCGAGTTCTCGGAGTGCAGTATCTAGTAGCGCCTTGTCAGATCTGATTACAGCTCTCGGAGATAAGCTGACACACTTCAACATGTCCAGCAACAAGATGGCTGGGCTTCCTTTCGTGTTTAAGGCCCTCTCGGTAAGTTTTACTAATGATGAGATTTAACAATTATCCATTCGAAAAACAGAGAATTATACAATCCTAAGGATGTAATTGTTGGGTAAAACACTTGTATTTCCTCAATTTAACCGATCTTTATTTTCAGCAACATTCTAAGAACCTGAAGTTCCTGGATGTTTCCAACATATCCACCACATCCAGGGATACCATCCTCATCAACATTGAGAAACTACAAAAGGGCTGTCCCAAGCTCCGAACCTTTAGAACCACAAACACAATGCTGGGTCTAAACGAGGTTCCAGTCCGGGATCAGGTCGCAGCTCCAGGGTTTCCATACCTAGAGGAGCTAACCATTGGAGTAGATCAGCGAGGATACTTCGACGGGATGGATGACGGGCAGATAGAGAGAATCCTGAAGAAATCCAATAAGTTAAAGTTGCTGGATATCCGAGGTTGCAAGGGTATCTCTGACTCTACCCTAGTCCGTCTACCCTGCTGGGATATTGAATACATGTATGTGGCTGGTTGTAGTGTCACCAGTAGTAGTCGGGACGGGTTGGAACTCTTGGTAAAGAAATGGTGTGCAACATTGATAGAGCTTGATATTGGTCTCACCCCGGATTCTAGAACTGTTGACTGGGCAGTAATGGCTCTGGTGGAAAATGAGGATAAACTGAAACTAAGGTAACCATTATTTCTTAAATTCTGTTTATTTTCATATTCATTAGAATTATCCGCTAAACCCTGAGCAGAGGTTTCCTTTGAAACCGGTTTGAGGGTTTAGTTACTATACATCTGTTTCTATATATTAACTTCTTCAATTATTGCAGGAAACTGAACCTGAACGGAACTGGCGTGAACTTGAAACCTTTGACTAAACTATTGAACTGCTGTAATACCCTGGAGTCGTTGAACCTGAGCGCCTGCAGGGCGTTGCCGAGAGGGATGAAGAGAATGTATCACTCCAGAGATGATATTGAGAGCTTACGGAAGGATATTGAGGAAGGAAAGTTTAATGCTCGAGATACTGGAAGCGACGGAGACGATTAAACTAATCCTCGGTGCTTAAATCTGGATTTATATATTTGAGTGAAATTATACAATTATTAGTTGTCTATTTATTGTCTGGGATTATTAAGGACTAAACTATCTAATTAATTAATTAATTGTACATTGAGTGGAAACCGTTACTTATCTGATATATAAATATTTGTTATTTCTGTTGTTAACTTTATAAGTTCTGCTCGATCTGTGAGAGTCTGAACCTAAAATATGCATTTTAAGGCATAAAATGAACTGCTAGAGTTAGCTAATACTGCTCTAGGAGTAGAGAATGTCTAGTATGCTCCAGTCCTCCTGGTCAGGGTTGATATATGAAGAGATCCCTTGAGAAACTGAACCTATGGAAGATATTTAATATGATTAATCTCAACGTATTTCAACCCAGTGTAGGACGGAGCAGGACAAAACCCTGAACACTAGTCTCTACTCTTCTACCATCATATTCTACTGGTATATGAATATATAAAATGTATCTTCCATCCTGTAGAAATAATATAAATAAATAGAAAAAAATTAACAAGACTCTTAATATAGAAAGACTATTAGTGTAAACAGAGTATTTTTTGGTAAAAGGAAAGTAAGAAAATTAATTCTTATTAAGCAATATTTGCTGAGAAATTAGATTATAAGTCATTTATAATAAATAAATTCTGGCATATTATCTTCTGTTGCATTTTAAACCTCCCAAAAAATAGTCTTCCTTTGAATCCATAACCTGAACCCAGAGATAACCTTTCTTCCTTGAACATATTCTGAACCTTCCTTGGCCATACTCTTAACCCAGATATCATTCCTCATATTGTTGTATCCTGAACCCTAGATATCATTCCTTCCCTGGTTTATCTTGAACTGAGACATTTTTCCTACTTCAACTCTAAAACATCCTAAGGCAAGATATTATTCTTACTTTGATTATATCCTGAACCCTAGATATTCTTTCTGACTTGGTTATACCCTGAACCCAGATATGCTTCATACCTTGGTTATATTTGGAACCCGATATCTTTCCTACTTTGGTCATGTTCTGACCCAAGATATCCGCACTACCTTTGGTTTATCCTGAACTCAGATATCCCTCCTACCCTGGATTTATCCTGAACCTAAATATTCTTCTTACCTTGGTCAATGGTTATATATAGAACCCGGACATCCTTCCTACCTTAATTATATCCTGAACCCTTATATTCTGTCTATCTTGGTCATATCTGGAACTCGGATATCCTTCCTACCTTAATTATATCTTGAACCCTTATATTCTGCCTTTCTTGGTCATATCTGGAACTCGGATATCCTTCCTACCTTAATTATATCCTGAACCCTTATATTCTGCCTATCTTGGTCATATCTGGAACTCGGATATCCTTCCCTGAATCCAGATATCCTTCCTTCCACAGTTATATCCTGAACCCAGGTATCCTTCCTTCCACGGTTATATCCTGAATCCAGACATCCTTCCTTCCACGGTTATATCCTGAATCCAGATATCCTTCCTTCCACGGTTATATCCTAAACCCAGATATCCTTCCTTCCACGGTTATTTCCTAAATCCAGACATCCTTCCTTCCACGGTTATGTCCTGAATCCAGATATCCTTCCTTCCCCGATTATGTCCTGAATCAAGATATCCTTCCTTCACGGTTATATCCTGAACCCCGATATCCTTCACACCTTGTTAAATCGTTTACACGTGTATCCTGCCGTTTATATTTGGCACTCATTCCTTTTTCTTCCTTTTTGTTTTGGATTGAGTGCTGTCGAGATTTCAGTAAAAAATGCAAATTTTTCTGAATGATTTACAGATGTTTACAAAAAGTTGTATTTGTAGAATGAAAAAAAGTCTGAACAATAGCCCTAAACTGTAAATTGATGTCGCCTGTTTTGTCCTTTCAAATGATGCCATAATCACTTTACAATATTTATCCATTCAATAATAATATTAAAAATTTTATTTTACACGATTTCAATACACTAACATTTGTCCTTGTTCTTACAGTATATTTGAACCGTATCAGAATTAATTTTTCTAAGAGAACATTTGAAAAAATTATTTACAATTTAACTAAATAAGTGCACATGACTTCATTGATACAAAGTAGCGTTTCTTTCTTCAGACCGGAGAAATTTTCTGTGAACCCGTCCTTCAGGATCAAAAGTAATCTCAACTTCTCCAGGATCCTCTTGGACCTCATAGAAGTTAACCTGTCTCCTTGTCGTTTTGGAACTAGGAGCTTCTTCCGTCCTTGAACTAAGACTGCCTCTATCTCCCTTATCTGAACCTTGAAGGGTTCCTTCTCCGTCTGAAGTGTCTGGGTTTTGGTTCTCATAAACACTTAAACGTTCTTCAATCCTGCAAATAAAAATAAAAATATTGTTATTTTCAAGTTTAGCTGTCAAATCTAAGTTTTTTTACCAGAAAGTGGTTTTGTTTTTTTTCAAACCTACCTAGATCTTTTCTGTTCTTTTTGTTTCTCTTGAGTTTCCAGATTCGATCTTGTTAAATCTGAACCACGATGTTTTCTCTCCTTGTCAACAAGGATATGAGAGGGTGGGAGCTCTTCATAAGTCTGTGGACAACTTACATCTTTACAACTTAAATATGTAGCAGCCAAGTTATCATTCCAGCTCTTCTCCGTCCTTGGAAGCGATCTGATCTCGGAGCTTGAATTGTACTTATCCGTCCTTGATGAAACATCTACTTTTTTTCCTTTTCTTCCCATTGTTAAACTCTTTCCTATCTCGTATTCCGAAGTAGATCCTAACTTTTCAAATTTATCTACTGCCTTTCTCCATGTAGGGTTTTCCTCGTTTTCTACAAGTTCGCCGTTGAACCCTGTTCTCCTGGTCTCCTCATGACCTACCGATGTGTTCAAAGATATATTTCCAGGATCAGGTCTGGAACGCATCTTCTCCGTGTTCAGGCGTACATTATAACTTCCTGATTTCTTCCCAAAGTCGGTAGTATCTGTGGTAGAAGAGAGCTTTTGCGTTCCCACGTATTCTTTTCTTGGTTTGGAGGACTTTATATTTTTACCAGATGATAATGTACTGGTACTCCCATTTTTTGATTCAAAATATTCAGTTTTCCGTTTAGAGGACTTGTCCTCAGTTTTAGAGGACTCGCTATCTTGTTTTGAGGATTCTGTATCTAGTTTAGTGGTTTGGTTCCGCACCGTTTTAGAGGTTTTATGTCCTGCCCGGTCCAGTCTTTGATTTGACAGAAACGGGATTGAATCAGTTCTGGAATGTCCTGACTCTGTTTTGTTAGCGAACTCATTTTTCCTCCATTCCTCTGTTTTCTCAAAGTTTGAGGTAAACGTGGATTTCTGGACTGTATTTCTATCCCGTGTGGTGACTCCAGGCGGAACCTTGGCTCCAGTAGCACAGATAGTTTCTCTGTTCAATCCTTTCCGCGATATTTCTCCGTCCCTCTCTCTGCCAGACCTGTTGATCGTTACTATAAACGAGGTTGCTCTATGAGGCCCCGAGGGTCGGAGGATTGTATTGTCGGGTGGGGTAGGAGCAGAGGCTGCAATATGAACCTCCTCTGAGAACCTATTAATCATCTCACAGATACTGGAACGTTCTGTCTCATTCTTCTCACTAACCTAAATTATTCGCATTATTGTTCTTGGTCTTAAATTGAAACAGAAACCAGAAGAATTTATTTTGATAAATAGGATAATTTTACATGAATGCGTTTTCTACGTCTTTATACTTTTTTTTACAAGAATATATGTATACTGTATAGATAAAGATACGATATGTAAAGATGGTTTTAATAAAAAATTTTAGACTTGAAGTGAAGTCGTACAAATTGAATTTCTGAGAATAAGATATATTTTTGCTTTAAATTTTTACCTTTTTAACATTTTCATTGTTTAGTTCTTCTAATTCAACCTCCTCCACGGTCGTTTCTAGCTTAGGATTCTCCTTCCTTCTCCCGACATATCCACACCCTGAACATATAGACACTCTATACTTTTAATACTATCCTGGTCATAGAGATATCCTGACATATCCATATACTGAACATATAGATACTCTATACTTTTTAATATTATCCTGGACATATAGATATCCTGATATATCCACACCCTGGATATATAGATACTCTATACTTTTAATATTATCCTGGACATAGAGATATCCTGACATATCCATACCCTGAACATATAGATACTCTGTACTTTTAATACTATCCTGGTCATAGAGATATCCTGATATATCCATAACCTAGACATATAGATATCCTCGGTATATCCACACTGTGGACATATAGATACTCTATACTTTTAATACTATCCTGGTCATAGAGATATCCTGATATATCCATACCCTGGATATATAGATACTCTGTACTTTTAATATTATCCTGGCCATATAGATATCCTGATATATCCACACCCTGAACATATAGATACTCTATACTTTTAATATTATCCTGGTCATAGAGATATCCTGATATATCCACACCCTGAACATATAGATATCCTGATATATCCACACTGTGGACATATAGATACTCTATACTTTTAATACTATCCTGGTCATAGAGATATCCTGATATATCCATACCCTGAACATATAGACATTCTATACTTTTAATATTATCCTGGCCATATAGATATCCTGATCCACACCCTGGATATATAGATACTCTATACTTTTAATATTATCCTGGACATAGAGATATCCTGACATATCCATACCCTGAACATATAGATACTCTATACTTTTAATATTATCCTGGCCATATAGATATCCTGATATATCCATAACCTAGACATATAGATATCCTAATATACCCTTACTTTGAATATATAGATATTCTGATATACCCATACCCTGATATATATCCTAATTTACCCAAACCCTGAACATATAAATATCCTGATACATCCATAAGCCTATATTGATATCCTTATATCCACACCCTCAAACTTTAGATATCCTGATATATCCATATCCTGAACCTAGATATCCTAATATACCCATACCAGTAACATATAGATATCCTGATATATCCACACACATGAATATATAGATATCCTGATATATACATACCCTAAACATAAAGATATCCTAATATACCCATACCCTGAACGTAAAGATACCCAATATACCCATACCCTGATAAATATCCTAATATACCCATACCCTGAACGTAAAGATACCCAATATACCCATACCCTGATAAATATCCTGATATACCCATACCCTGAATATATAAATATCCTGATATATCCATATCCTGAACATATAGATATCCTGATATATCCACACCCTAAACATATAAATATCCTGATATATACACACCCTAAACTTATAGATATCCTGATATATCCACACGTTAAACATATGTATAAATATACTGTTCTACTCATGATAAAGGAAAGGAGTCTCTTTCACAAATCCAAAATTTCCAATCCCTATATATTTGCAACCTGATTGTGTTAACATGTGATATCTAAAAATTAGGTTATTTGATCTAACAGAATTCATAACTTGAAATATCAAAGGTCTACAACAATAGGTTGCAAAGGTATAGGAATTAGAAAATCAGACTCATTTCCTTTGTTTTATTTGTTCAAGATTTAGATTTATTTGCTCATTATTGATGCTTGTACTGTTAAACAGAAAAGCGGAGAAAGCTTGAAAGAGAAAACTGATATCTTTAGTTTGTTTAATTTAGAGCTGATAGTTATCTAACCTGTCATGCATCTACAGAGAAGAAAGCAGAGAAGGAGAAGTAAAATCAATCCTAGGATTCCAAGAATCAACCAGAGAGGAGTAAAATAGTTGTTCGGACTAAATCCAGATTCATCCAGAGCCAGAGTATCTGGAGACGCAGCTCTTGTCTTTGTGCGAGGATTAATTGATAAACAATTATTAACATTAGATACTGTTCCAAAGAAAACTTCCCAAATAACTGATTCCGAAATACATACATATATATATATTTTCCTGATTTTCAATTATAGTTTGAGCTAGGTTTAGAAATTCTCTGTGCAGTCGCTACGGCTAGGATATGCTAGAGAGACGGCGAACATGGCGACTAGAACATCAGAAAAATTGCCGCTACAAAATATTTTTTATTGGTATTTGTGAAAATGCCTTAGGAAAGTACCTAACATAATGTGTTACTAGCTGAAGGGCCCGGCGACCGGCGTTGCCCGTGAAAAAAAAACAGTTTTCCGATTTTTTTTTGATTTTTTTCGATTTTGTAGCCTATAACACGGCCACCCTTAGTGTCCACAAAAAAACTTCGGCCCAATCGGTCTAGCCGTTTGGCTGGCTATCCGCAACATTTATATATATATGTATATATATACTAGAAATTCAAGGCGCTTCGCGCCCTTCTGTCTAGGCTTTTGGGGCGCTTCGCGCCCATCTTCTATTTAAATTGTGAACATGTTCTTTTTGTTTACATTAAAAAACAAAGAAGAAGAAAAATTTTGCGGATTTTTTTTTTGAAAATTCACGGATTTTCAAGAATTTAATTTTTTTTACAAAATTAAAAGCCTTTAAAATACATTTTTTTTATCATTCATAAACCTTCCCTGGGATAACGCGAGGTGCCACAAAAAATTTGGGCCCGATCCGTTTAGCCGTTTTGACGTTTATTGGATACAAACAAACAGACAGACAAGCCAAATTTATATATAGATTTATAGATAATTTCTTCAATTAACAGTCGTTGTAATTTCAAGCGACTCCTGGTTTAAAGAGATCATATTACCTTTAAATCCAATCGTTGTATTGACCAGTGTGAATCAGACATGTCACTTTAGACATTTTTATCAAAGTACGTCTATGCAGTCATTTTAAGTTTAAGATTTATCTTTAAGTCAGTATTTCTGATCTAAACATATCAGAGGCTAAAACGAATTCGTTAAACCTCGAAACCTCGATTAAAAAGAATAACAATGCATATATTTGATCAATCCTAACATTCCTCGTTTCTGGTTTGAGTACAGTGGCTTCCTCCGACCTGTCCAGATATCCTTCTCTCAACTCCAACCTCTTCATCTCCTAAACCATCCCTAGAGAGAACAAGCACGTCAGAGAGCTGGGACCACTCCGACCATGATCCCCAGCTGCAACACTCTTTCTGGGAGCAATCCTCTCGAGATGTTCGATCTCCAAGACAATCTTTACCTTCTCCTTGTCTCTCTCTGAGAACGTTTCTGGTTCCTAACCTTTCTCCGGGTCCGCAGGTTGTACTGCACCCGCTCCATGTCCAACTACTCCACTCACAATCTACGGGGCACAGTTCTAAGCTGCAAACTTCATTGAGCTGAACGGATTCTCCAATACAATCTGTCCCTCCGTAATCAGCTATCCTTATCCTATCCCTTGTTCTCACCCTTCTCCCTACACCACAGGATACAGAACAGGGCCCAGACATCCATTCTCCCCAGATACAGTTGATAGGACAAGGAGGAGCAGAACACCATCTCGTGGATACAGAGGATACTGGACAACTAGTTCCACCTCGTATTAAACTCCTGGTTCCCTGCTGGATCCCTTCTCCACAGGTAGTTGTACAGGGTCCCCAACTCCAGGTTGACCAGATACAGGGTTCAGGTTGAGAACAGGTTCCACAGCTTAAGCTACAGCTTGGACAGTAAGAGGAATAAGTTGAACTAACTAAACAGAAATAAAAATATAAATACAGAAATGATGAATTAGTAAGGTAAGTAGATAAATGATAATATAAATAGATAGATAGATGAATAGTATATAGATAAATTGCTATGAAGGATAAATGTAAGATAGATAAATAAATAAATAATAAAGTAGATAAGTTAAATAAGTTTTTGGATTCTACAAAAAATTAACGGAATTCGATTGTTACCTAATGAACATTTTCCGTAAAAAGGCAAAACAATATTTGAATAAAAGTTGAATTAGGAAGGTTAAGTTTCATATTAAGTACAACTAACATTATACCGTGAATGTTTATCATGTTTATCATGTTTATCATGTTTATCATGTTTATCATGTTTATCACGTCAAACTAAAGTAGATTGCACGTAAGATTAAAATCTTTAATCAAATCTTATCTTATTGAAGAGAGATTGAGAAAACAAACATGTTTTGAATTCATTTAACTGGATAATATTTCTATCTTCATACGTCAGAATTAAAGTTTGAGGGACTACTAAAAGGTCACAGAGTCGTACCAGTTATATCTTATAAATTTGATCTTCTTCCTCTATCCAGTTTTTCTTGTCAATATCTTAAAACCCAAATTTTTTAAAAGAATACTTCAAAACAAATCAAAGAATTAATCCCAACGAAATATGTAATATGCATAATGCACCCCACCCCATCTATCCGCTCATCCGGTCTAAAGGAAACTGACCCAAATGTTTTCTGACCTAAAATTGTATTAGATCTTGAAATAGGTTACGTTAGGTTAGATTAAGCTGGGCAGGTGGATTGGATAAATTGGATTGTGATTTGACGTGTCATATCGATATTTTCGATTGTGATTTGACGTGTCATATCGATATTTTCGATTGTGATTTGACGTGTCATATCGATATTTTCGATTGTGATTCGACGTGTCATATCGATATTTTCTTTCAAACTATAGTTATAAATACTCGATAATTAGGTCGGCTACCCTTTAGGTCGGATTCCTAAAAGTCTGTTTCCATGGCACCCCTGCTTTTGCTAGTAATGTGTAAAAAATGCTATTGCCCCCCCCCCTTTTCTCTCGATGCCCTTACTGTGATTTTGAAAGCAACTTACTGAATAAAGAACTGAGCAGAACATAAAACATGATTGACAAGGTCCTGGCTTAAACTGCTTCAAGGATTGGTCAGACCAATACAAATCTTTATCTTCTTATCAAATCTTTTTGTCAACGCCAACACCTTTAACAACAACCTGACGAATTTACTCCAAAATTTAACCGGAAGCAGTGCATCCTGAGAGCTAGGAACTCTTGTATTGCTGATATCGAGATCAAGGCTTGATCTAGATCTTTTGTTAATCTGCAGATTAATTTAATCTTTATTCGATATCCCTCATTGTAATCGAACTCAGTCTTTTATATATCATCAAAATAAAAGTGTCCACATTGGATATCGTGATCAAGCGTCCGGGATTACCAGTATTCGACATAAAAGTTCCCAGCTCAGGCTATATTTGAAATTCCGGAGCTGGAACTCTTGAAACTAACGGGTTTTCATGTAAATCAGTCATCAGAATTTCTACTCCTCCCCATCTTGGACAAGAACTTTTGTGTGGGTAATCTCTGGACTAAGCAGTAATCTGTATATTTTGTCGTCCAAACGAGGATTAAATCCATTCCTCATGGATATTCGTGGTCGAAACTCAACAAGAATAACAAAAATTTTAAAGTTGCCATCGTGGATATCAAAATCATTAGTTATTGTTTTGAACTATCTCATTCCAAAGTGGAGACCTCTTAAATTATTATGCCCAATCTATTATTATTTCAGAATCACTATTCCATTTCAGAATCACTATTCCATTTCAGAATCCTCGCAAGCTAACCCCCCCCCCTCAACAATATAAACAAATTAAATCTGTCGGAAATAATTTTGTTTTTTACTTTACATGAAGAAACGTTACAGAAGCGAAGTTATTGTAAAGTCGTCCTCCAAGCTTTTCATTTTTAAAACGTGACGGAGTGTGAAACCAAAAAAGCATGGACGGATACAGGGGGCGGCGGCATGACCTTTGCACCCCCTGACGGATTCTGGGGGGCGTAGTCCCCCCTGAGATTTCATAATAGCTTCTCAATAGCATTAAGGGAAAGAAAGCCTAGTGCAAAACAGAAAAAATATCTACCTTAAAAAAATTTGGTTCCTAAATCTGGATTTTTTTGTTCCGAAATAAATCTAGCACCCCCCTCACATAACTCCTGTATCCGCCCCTGCAAAAAAGGGATTTTATTTACTTACTTGACTTATCTATTGTTTAGAATGAATAATGCCTAGAGTTAAGATAATACTAGGAACAAATATCATGTCAAGGTTTCAGAGTGAGAAATAGTTTAAACAGTGCAATCAGCCAGTAAAACAAATACTAAAAAGATACTCAATAGTTGTCTGTTGCAGGCTTGCAACTGAATTTTTTGTCATCTTTTGTAAAGTATTTTTTCTCTTTTTTGTCATTTTTTTGCTCCGATTACTGTAGAAATTCACAAATCATTTTAAAACTGTTGATATTTCAGTTGGAAAAATGTATATATCGCCAAATCCTTCTTCTTTCAAACCTCTCAGTTTTTCACCTTTTATCCAATTTATCTGTCTCCACTCTTCAATTTCCTCCTTTCAGTCTTCACCTTACAGTCTCCAGTCTCCAATCCATGCACCCTCTAGTCTTCATTTTACAGTCTATACTCTCCAATTCCCTGCCTCCAGTCTTCACCTTACAGTTTCCACTCTGACCTCACAGTCTTCACTCTCCAATCCCCTCCCTTTCAGTCTTTACCTTACAGTTTCCACTCTCCAATCCCCGCCATTCAGTCTTCACCTTACAGTCTCCACTCTCCAATCCCCTCCCTCCAGTCTACCGTCTCTACCCCCATTCTCCTTCCTCTAATCTCCAGTCGCTAGTCTCCACTCTCTAGTCTCCACCCTCTAGTCTTCACTTTCTAGTCTCCACTCTCTAGTCTATCCTCTCTAGTCTCCACTCTCTAGACTCCACCCTCTAGTCTCCACTCTCTAATGTCCACCCTACAGTCTCCGCATTCTAGTATCCACCTTTTAGTCTCCACTTTCTAGTCTCCATCCACTAGTCTCCACATTCTAGTCTCTACTCTCTAATCCCAAGTCTCCACTCTCAAGTCTCCACTCTCAAGTCTCCACTCTCTAGTATCCACCCTCTAGTGTTTACCCGCTAGTCTCCACTCTCTAGTCTCCAGCCTCTAGTCTCCACACTCTAGTTTCAACCCTCTAGTCCCTATCTTCTAGTCTCCACTCTCTAGTCTTCACTCTCTAGTTTCCACTCTCTAGTCTCCAACCTCTAGTCTCCACCCTCTAGTCTCTATTCTCTAGTCTCCATCCTCTAGTCTCTACCCTCCAGTCTCCGCTCTAAAGTCTCCACTCTCTAGTCTCCAACCTCCAGTCTCTGCACTCTAGTCTCCACCCACTAATCTCCACTTTCTAGTCTCCATACTCTAGTCTCTACTCTCTAGTCTCCACCCTCTAGTCTCCGCATTCTAGTCTCCATCCTCTAGTCTCCACTCTCTAATCTACACTCTCTAGTTTCCACCCTCTAGTCTCCATCCTCTAGTCTCCACCCTCCAGACTCTGCACTCTAGTCTCCACCCTCTAGTCTCCACTCTCTAGTCTCCACCCTCCAGCCTCCGCACTCTAGTCTCTATCATCTAGTCTCCACTCTCTAGTCTCCACCCTCTAGTCTCAACCCTCTAGTCTCCATCCTCCAGTCTCCGCACTCTATTCTCCACCCTCTAGTCTCCACTCTCTAGTCTACACTCTCTAGTTTCCACTCTCTAGTCTCCATCCTCTAGTCTCCACTCTCTAGTCTCCATCCTCTAGTCTCCACCCTCCAGTCTCCTTACTCAAGTCTCCACTCTCTAGTCTCCACCCCCCAGTCTCCGCAATCTAGTCTCCACCCACTAGTCTCCACTCTCTAGTCTCCATCCTCTAGTCTCCACTCTCTAGTCTACATAGTCTAGTCTCCACTCTCTAGTCTACACTCTCTAGTTTCCACTCTCTAGTCTACACTCTCTAGTTTCCACTCTCTAGTCTCCAACCTTTAGTCTCTACCCTCTAGTCTCAACCCTCTAGTCTCCATCCTCCAGTCTCCGCACTCTATTCTCCACCCTCTAGTCTCCACTCTCTAGTCTATACTATCTAGTTTTCACTCTGTAGTCTCCAACCTTTAGTCTCCACCCTTTAGTCTCCACCCTCTAGTCTCCACCCTCTAGTCTCCATCCTCCAGTCTCCGCACTCTATTCTCCACTCTCTAGTCTCCACTCTCTAGTCTCCAGACCTCCAGTCTCCGCACTCTAGTCTCCACCATATAGTCTCCACTCTCTAGTCTCCAATCTCTAGTCTCCATGCCTCTAGTCTCCACTCTATAGTCTCCACTCTCTAGTTTCCACTCTCTAGTCTCCACTCTTTACTCTATACTTTCTAGTCTCCACCCTCTAGTCTCCACTTTCTAGTCTCCAATCTCCAGTCTCCGCTCTCTAGTCTCCACCCTCCAGTCTCCGCACTCTAGTCTCCATCCTCTAGTCTCCACCCTCCATAGTCTCCACTCTCTAGTCTCCAATCTCTAGTCTCCATGCCTCTAGTCTCCACTCTATAGTCTCCACTCTCTAGTTTCCACTCTCTAGTCTCCACTTTCTACTCTATACTTTCTAGTCTCCACTCTCTAGTCTCCACTTTCTAGTCTCCAATCTCTAGTCTCCATCCTCTAGTCTCCACCCTCCAGTCTCCGCACTCAAGTCTCCACCCTCTAGTCTCCACTCTCTAATCTCCATCCTATAGTCTCCACTATCTAGTCATTCATTGGCATTCCCATGATGAATCCGTGTTTACATTAAACATTAAAGTGGTTTCACGTTTTTAATTTTTAATGATTCCATGTAAGTCGTAAGATTAGGGAAGTAATAATGATAAATAGACATTAGAATATTGGAGTGTTAATTTAGTGGAATTTTTCCGCTGTATATCCTATAGAGTCGAGTGTAAATGATTCAACGTGTTTAGCTCAATTAGTGTTTAATATTCTTCAACGTATATGCACAGTTAGTTATGGAGAAGAAAATAACAGAATCACGTGAATAATATTTATTTGCTTTGAAATATATGTTAGTAACAACATGTCTCTAGTTTATTGATATTTACAAAAAGTCATGAATGGTAAAAAATCTTCATTCATTCCATCTCAATTTCATCTTGGAATGAAATTTAAAGGTTAAGAGAACTATACTATGAATAGTTTGCATATTTATTTTCTAACCTAATTTTACAAAAGCGCAATATTTTACAAAAAAAAGCAATCACAAATAACCTAAATTTCATGGTAAACTAAATAGCCTATTAGCTATTCGTCTTACTTCTCAAAGATATCTATAACCGGAGAAAAAGCCGATTTATCGTTCAGAATTCCAGCGGATTAAGGTATGATACCGCTGCATAGTGCATATATATAGACAATATTTAAACGTTTTTTATTAACAACAGCCCAATAAAATCTAAAATTATCATATTTCAATGACATCACGTGTCAGCCATCTTTAATAAAATATAAAATCTTTTGGTTTAGAATTAGCAAGAATTTAAGGTTTTTCGTGTTCTAGTATGATCTAACAAATTAACACGTTTATACAAAGACGATTTCTCTTTCAGACAAACTCCAACTCTTCAATAAATCACGAGGATTCTTTGGGAAGTAGAGAAAACGTATGAAACCGTTAAATGTTTAAAATAAGTTATATTTTGAAAATAGACAATTTTAAAATAATTTTGAAAACAATTAAAGATCTCTACAATTAACTTTTAAACACTGCAATTTAATTTAATATTAGAAATTTTTTTTAAATCCATAACTATGACAAAAAGCATCAAATAATGAAAATACAAAGGTATCATACCTTAGCGCTGGAATTCTGAACGATAAATCGGCTTTTTCTCAGGCCACAGTTGTCTTTGAAAAGTAAAACTAATGCCAATGAATAGCCAATAGGGTATTTAGTACTCTCAAATTAACCAAATAAGTGAACGGTCCCTTTAAGTAAACGAAATAAAGAAATCATTAATATCTCCGTTCAACTTTAAAGCACAAAAAAGGCAGACCACCTTTTCGGAATGTATGGACTGGGGGTATTTTGTAATTCTCGTTTCATAAATCATATTTGTTAATTAGTTAGACAAATGAATGCCGCAAACTAGTTCAAAGATTAAAGACGATTGTCAAGTTGTTCCATTAACTGTCAATCATTCCTCTTCTTTGTCTATATCTCTGTATAAGGATATGTTGTCTCTGTTTTCAATTTATTTTCTGACCAATTTATTTACTCAAAAATAAAGTTTGTGCAAAACAAAGACATTTAAATGAAAATAAATCTTTAAAATAAAAATACCAGAAAAAGTCTAAAGTTCGCTTAATTTGATTAAAACAAACTTTTAGACATTGTTCTGGATATTATAGTGCAACCGTCATTAAAATCACGGGAAAAAAACCATAATAAGAAATATTAAAAGCCTCAAAATTATTAAAAATTTTGGTGCGCTTTAAAATTCAATTTAAATTTTTGGTTGCTAGAAATTTGGATTTTTCTAAAATACTTTTTTTATTTTAACTTGATTGAATGTTTCCCATAGTTTTTATGTTTGCAAAAACAATAGTGATATTCAATATACAGCAAAGGATTCAACAGTACTAAAAACAATAGTGATATTCAATATACAGCAAAGGATTCAACAGTACTAAAAAAGTATTTCATATTCATAATATCACAGATGTAATGGTCATAAGCTCATCATTTCTAGATATATAGACAAGCTTATATATCCTCTATCTAGGAAGCCATATATTTAAATATATAGACAAGCTTATATATCCTCTATCTAGGAAGCCAGATATATCTAGATATATAGACAAACTTATATCCTCTATCTAGGAAGCCAGATATATCTAGATATATAGACAAGCTTATATATCCTCTATCTAGGAAGCCAGATATATCTAGATATATAGACAAGCTTATATATCCTCTATCTAGGAAGCCAGATATATCTAGATATATAGACAAACTTATACATCCTCTATCTAGGAAGCCAGATATATTTAAATATATAGACAAGCTTATATATCCTCTATCTAGGAAGCCAGATATATCTAGATATAGACAAGCTTATATATCCTCTATCTAGGAAGCCAGATATATCTAGATATAGACAAGCTTATGTATCCTCTATCTAGGAAGCCAGATATATCTAGATATGTAGACAAGCTTATATATCCTCTATCTAGGAAGCCAGATTTATCTAGATATAGACAAGCTTATAAATCCTCTATTTAGGTAACCAGATATATCTAGATATAGACAAGCTTATATCCTCTATCTAGGTAACAAAATATAGATCCAGATAAAGACAAGCTAATATATCATCTATCTAAATAACCAGATATATCTATATATAGACAAGCTTATATATCCTCTATCTAGGAAGCCAGATATATCTAGATATATAGACAAGCTTATATCCTCTATCTAGGAAGTCATATATTTAAATATATAGACAAGCTTATATATCCTCTATCTAGGTAACCAGATATATCTAGATATAGACAAGCTTATATATCCTCTATCTAGGAAGCCAGATATATCCAGATATATAGACAAGCTTATATCCTATTTAGGTAACAAAATATATATCTAGATAAAGACAAGCTAATATATCATCTATCTAAATAACCAGATATATCTATATATAGACAAACTTATATATCCTCTATCTAGGTAACAAAATATATATCTAGATAAAGGTATATATTCTCTATTTAGGTAATCAGATATATCTAGATTAAAGATAGGTTTAGGTTTCCACTTTAGGTATTCACATATAGACAGTTTTAGTTTTCCTCTATTATAGGTAGCTAGAAATTATCCAGATTTATCCAGATATAGAAAGATATAGAAAGATTTATCCAGATATAGACAGATATAGACAGGTTTAGGGTTCCTGTTTAAAAAAATTTCAGTTACTGCTAGAAGCGGGCATCTAGTTTTATTAAACCCTAGAAATTTTGATACAATTTGAGATCTAGGTAATATATAAAGATCGAATATAAGAATATTAAGAACTAGGTATCTCGGTATATCTTAAACAATACAAAGTTTAAATATACCTAGACAAGTTTAAGTTTTCTGCATCTAGATTGATTTATCCACCAGTTATCAAGGTTTGAATACACCTTCTCCTCTTTATTCACATGCAGGGCTGAGCATAAGGAACAAAATGCCTGAAATAAAACGAGGAAAGTTAAGAATATGGTTTATTGACTTTCATGGTTTAAATATTTTACCTGATTTAAATCTTCTTTTCTATCCCTTACTTCATAGAAATCCTTCCACCAGAAATAGGACGCGTAGAGAGCCGGATCCTCAGACACCTAAACCAGAGATAATAGATCCGGATCCTAGGACACCTAAACCTGAGATAATAGATCCGGATCCTAGGACACCTAAACCAGAGATAATAGAGCCGGATCCTAGGACAACTAAACCAGAGATAATAGATCCGGATCTTAGGACACCTAAACCAGAGATAATATAGCCGGATCCTAGGACACCTAAACCAGAGATAATAGAGCCGGATCCTAGGACACCTAAACCAGAGATAATAGATTCAAGTCCTAGGACACCTAAACCAGAGATAATAGATCCAGGTCCTAGGACACCTAAACCTGAGATAATAGATCCGGATCCTAGGACACCTAAACCAGAGATAATAGATTCAGGTCCTAGGACACCTAAACCAGAGATAATAGATCCAGGTCCTAGGACACCTAAACCAGAGATTCCATTGAAACTGATTGAGACAACACTTTCCTATGGAGAGATTCCATTGAAACATGTACTTAGAACTGATTGAGACAACACCTTGAATCCTTATTCTCACATGTTTAAAGATTTAACGTGCAAGATGCTGCTTAATCATAACTTTATATCTCACACTTACAAAACAGGCGATTAAATATGATTGAAAATAATTGGCTCTTTGAACGTCATGTTTAAAAAATAAAGTTCTACGTCTTAAAATTATATCTTTTACTTAAAAACTAACCTTTTGTAAGTATTGAGCCAACACTGAAACCCCCTTGAAGTCTAAAGTGTTGATGTAGGAGTGATACGGAGCAAACGTATCCATGTCTACTCCGTTGTACGTGACAGGGATTACATTGTACTTGAGGATACGGTAAAATTTCTCCGTAATATAATCCTCACAAACCGAGTTCTCGAATGAGAGATAGAACTTGTAATTCTTCGCCATATCCTTGTAACATTTGTCCTCATTTGTTCGCGGACATTTGAATTTCCCGCATTTTCCGTATATATCGACATCCATATGTTTGTTTAGCTTCTTAGCATATAGTTCTCGTCTTGCCTGGGTAGCACAGTGGGAAACAAACCATGCAGCGGATTTATTTTTCCCTTCAGCAAGATGTTTATTATTCTCTCCGAACTCCTTGATATACCTATCCAGCTCATCCCCCTCAGGATGATCTTTTATCTAAATAGGTTAAGATTAGTTCCATTAATACACAAGGACAGAAAAGGATTACTCCCCGTAATTTTATTTGCAACTTTATGTCGTAGACCTTAGATATATCACAGAATTATTTCTCTGAAAGTTAAATAAGTGAAAGTTTGAAATGTTAAAGGGGTACACCGTCATGTTGTAAAAATATAGAGAATGGAAAATTCGAATTCTAGGTGGAAAATCAGTTTTTTTAGAGACAATCTCAAAACCGTGGTTTTTGTAAGCGTTATATGTAATGCTGCAATAAAAGTTTTATAATTATATTTATTTTGAATTTCCAAAACTTGGTCTGTTTTTTTCTATTTTTAAAATTGTGTATAAAAATTAAGAATAGAAAGAAGGTAGACCTAATTTTGGAAGAAACTTAATATTAATTCCCGTGGTTAATTTATAATTATTTGTAATTGAAAATATATTGTTAACCCTATTCTCCCTCCCTTCTAGTATACGCACATTGATTTCATTTATTTTTACCTTGACTACTCTTCCATAAGGTCTATAGAAGTCTGAGTCTCTTCTGTACGTCATTGTCCAGTTGAAGAAATTGTTCATAGGAGCAATATCCATGTACAGGTACTGAGCTGACTCCATGATAAAGTGCACATACCTAAACAACATACCGTACTGTAGAGTCACAGATTACAGTGATTGAACTGGAACTGGTCCTTCTTTCAGCAAGCTGTGCCTTTCGATCACAATTCGACCAGTTAGACATTTTCCATTTATCTTTTTTACACATTTTGGTCGGCGAATGTGTTTTAATTCTAAAAGTATGCCAAGACAACTATCTAAACTAAGTGTAAAGATTGTTGAATTATAGAACAAAACGCTTTTGAATAAACATTAAAGAAACCGAACACATCTAGCCCTGGTTAGTCCAGGGTTTAATAGGTGAAATTCTTCACATCTGTCACCAACACAAGAAATCTTCCTTTATAATAAGGTTACTACAGTTTTAACAAAGGAATACATTGCTACGACCGAGGAGCATTGAGTTTGCTTACATTGCTTCTAGAAATTGCAGTACACATTTTTTCAAACAGAGATATAGAGGTTTTGTAGGATTTTGTTATTTTTTTAAGTGGATTAATTTCTAAAAATATTTTAGAAATATTTTAGAAATATATTAGTTTAGAAATATATTAGTTTAGAAATATATTAGTTTAGAAATATATTAGTTTAGAAATATATTAGTTTAGAAATATCTTAGTTTAGAAATATCTTAGTTTAGAAATATATTAGTTTATAAATATATTAGTTTAGAAATATATTAGTTTAGAAATATATTAGTTTAGAAATATATTAGTTTAGAAATATATTAGTTTAGAAATATCTTAGTTTCCGCAATTACAAATACTTAGCGACACTTCTTAGTTTGAAGACTGCAGATGAAAGACAGTTTTCTGGTTATTTCTGTAGTTATCGCAAACAAAAATTATTTCACTCGATAGCTAAAACTTTTTCTGCAATCCATGACTTTGTTATTATTAAAAATAATTTACGCCATTAAAGTAAAATTTTCCAAAAATAGGAAGACGACCTGACCCAAATACAATCTTCAAATACAATCTTATAAGATATAATAACAAACTCTCTAGCCATAGATCCAAATCATGTTTACGTGATTTTTTTTCTTTTTAACAATGTTTATATAATTAATTTTTTATAAGTTTTGTAAAATAAAATGGTACGAGGCATAGTTACTAATTTCTTCATATATTTTCGCCTCTCTCCATCTTCATGTCCGCAGTGTATCTTTTCTTGCCTCCCTGTGCCCGTCCAATTATGGCGCTGCTATTAAAAGAATGTTAACGAGTGATTTTGTTTTCAGCAACGGATGAAAGTGATATTTCCGGGAAAGATATTTTTCTGTCAATGTTAAAAAAGTTAAAAATAAAAACTTAATAATAAATCCGTTTACTCCGAAATTAGATATCTAATCACGATAAAAAAACTGTTTGAATAAACACTGACGACCTAATCCTTGGCTTACAAAGAACCTCTTCTACAAAATAACAAATATAAATATAAGTGTACGTAAAATATAAATATAAGTGTACGTAAAATATAAATATAAGTGTACGTAAAATATAAATATAAGTGTACGTAAAATATAAATTTAAGTGTACGAAAAATATTTACTAGGAATCCAACTTTCTTTCCAGTTAACAAGAAATGTAGGTTCCCAAAGATTTTTCTTTATGTAATTTAAGTTTTAAACTTTACATGTCTAGGGTGATAAAAAAAATGAAAGCGAGTTTGTAATGTAAGAGCAGAGGCTAAGGGATTACGAAATTTCAAAGTCGAACCGGTCAAGAAATGTCACATATTTTCTACAGCTCACTAGATCTTTGTTTATATAATATTATGACATGGGAATTCCTGGCGTTTTTTTTCCTTGCCCACGAGATATTTTGTTCCATTATATTACAGTCGGCGTTGTATATAAAACAATGAAGACGACTTTTGATTTCATTTTTTGATTTCTACATAGCTATTAAACAGCATTGATACACATAAACAAAGAAACAGATAGAAGCTGTCTCAGTGTTTAATTGTAAACTTGTAAGCTTAAAAACTTAGTTAGAAAATACGTCTTTATTGTATTTATATAAACGCCAACCACTGTAGGATAAAGATACAACCTTTGAAGAGGACGTCTCTTTTCCCTCTCTGGTATATCCGTCCAGTCTAAAGAACGTTGGTGGAAAACAATTGCATCGAAGTCCTCCAGATTTTTCAGAGACCTGGAGAAATCAGATAAAGTGATTGAGTCTTTGCCACAAATTCCGTTTTCATAATCCTTATATTTTTGCAACTCAATGTCGTATGTCCTTATATATTTTAAATTCTTTTAGATCAAATGATCTTAATTAATAATGTCAAAGGTTTACACGATCAGGTTGCAAAGCTATAAGGAAAATTTTAGTTTGTGAGAGAAACTCAATTCCTTTAAACTTCAGAATGTAATATACACATTACACATTATTTTACAAAATCTGGTTGAATGAAATTATGACATCTTCGAAATGAAGAAAGAAACTACAGGTCACATTGAATAGATATAAAAATGCATTTTTTACCAAAAAAATTTGACCATTCCATAATCTAATGTAATACAGCCCCCCCCCCCTGCAAGGATATATATTTCAAAAAGTAAATAGTAAAATATCAATGAAATTAGTAAAAAAAAATGATTTTGTCTTGGTTTATTAGATTTTTTGGAGGAAAAACGTCATTATGCAGTCGATCCAGACTTGACAAATTAACAAAATCCAGGTTTTCTACATACAGTAAATATTGTAAATCTTAAAAATATTTTCAGTATATTTAAAAATATTTATTAAAACCACAAGATTTACAACAAAAATTTTGGTTTTCTGCTCGTTTGTAATATTGAGAGAAATTATCCGATATTTTTTAAGCGGTAGCATGGTTTCTGGTTTCGAAGATTTTGGTATTATGTATTTTTAATTATCAATAACATTGTTTGGAATGGTAAATAACTAAAGTTAAACCTGTCCTGGGTTGTAACACATCTCGTCTCCGGGCAAAGGCTAGAGTAGAAGGGTTCACGTCCGAACCCGATATCATACTCCTTCCCACCATACGCCTCGTTCCAGTGCAGAATATATTTAAGATCCTTCTCATCGCTATCCCGCTGTCGATCTTTCTCCATGATTAAGTCTATGTTATCTCCAAAATTGTTGATCACTAACTCTTTTGAAACCTAAATTTGAGTTTATCATTTTTAGTAAACTTTAAAATTAATTCAACTCAGATAAACAGATCATTTTTTTCCGAGTTGTGTTTAATACAAACACTGAACTAATCTGCAATAAATTTGAACAATAGCTACTCTCATTTACTAATCTCCTGGAATCAAAAGTTTCATGCCGTTCACTTTTTTGGTTAAGGTCATCAATCTTAACTCTATAAATCAATCATTAGTTCAATTGATATAACACCAGAAATGCGGGAAAATTAAAAATTGGGTTTTCAAAAGTTAAAGACGCATCTATAACCTCTATAAATCAATCTAAAGACTAAATTAGTCTTGAGATTAGCAAAAAGAGAGGATCATCTCGATATCCACCATTTTAGTACTTTCAGCTCTGTTGATAGAATTATAATGATTTTCTTTTTCAATGATAAACATTCATTTTCCTTAAAGTTGGATGATTTTGACGAATCCAGATCATTATCTCCAGATTCATGTTTGATATCAATATCTGGGATTTTCTCTCCCGGAAGTGATTCTCGTGTCGTTAAACTGTCACCGGAAATAATTAAGTCCATATTTCTTGATTCTTCATCTAATGCGCGATATTCAAGTTTATTTTGAGAGGTTTCATGGATAGAATATTTTTGTGGATCGGTATCTCCGTGAAAGGATAAGAGAAAGGAGAGTGATATCAGAAAAACAAGAAAAAAAGGCCATAGATGCCGTGATAGCCTAACCCAATGACGTCTCTGCATGATGTAGTATAATGACAGACGGACGAAACTCACTGCATATTTAGTTTATCTATAATATTTTCATTATTTTTCTATCTGAAAAAAATATTGGTTAGATTACTACAGCTCTGGTAAGTTGGATATTCATAAAATACTCCCCACGTCAGATAATAGAATTATCACGCGTCCAAGAATAAGACGAATTCACGTTTAATGTTTATAAGTAAAACCCACCACTGAATACCTCTGCTGTAGCTACTGAACTGTAAAGTATTTAAGGTGGAATAAAAGTGAAACCAGGTGTTTAGTAAACCATGTATAAAGCTTATGTATAGTGTATACCAAGGAGGCTTGATCTACCTGTGGTATGGTACGGACCCAAGTACGGACCATACGGTTACATTAGATCCCTCCGAACTGTTAATTAAAATCCGAGACGGTCGTGTTGGATACTACAGGGGGTTTTCATAAATATAGCGCACATTTAGAGCAAATGTTACAATGTTTAAAAGTCTGAAACTGTTTCATAAAATATTTAATGTAGATTCCTTTTTTATCTTCTTTGGACATGCTTGTTGGTAACAATAGATGAAACAATTAAAGCTAATCATTTTCAAAATTTTAAAGTTTTTATCTAATTCAGACAAAGAAATTTTACCGTTGTATAGAGGTCATTGTCATCTTTGCTTGGACGGTCAATTGAGATTACGCTTACAGTCCCTCTCAGTAAAATGGGTAAATGTATTGTGTACAATGACATTGTTTTCTTTAATTTTCATTGGAATTTTTAATATTCAAAAATGGGTCTAAAAGTTGAAAGGATAATGATGAAGGGAGTAAGAGAAAGGTTTAAAGGAAAATAGTCAGGTTAAGAGTAAGAAAGGAAAATGATGCAGAGAGCAAAGGTAAGGTTTGAAGGAAAACAGTCCAAGATAAGAGTAAGAAAGGAAAATGATGCAGAGAGCAAAGGTAAGGTTTGAAGGAAAACAGTCCAAGATAAGAGTAAGAAAGGATAATGATGCAGAGAGCAAAGGTAAGGTTTGAAGGAAAACAGTCCAAGATAAGAGTAAGAAAGGATAATGATGCAGAGAGCAAAGGTAAGGTTTGAAGGAAAACAGTCCAAGATAAGAGTGAGAAGAAAATGATTAAGGAAGCAAGGGAAAGGTTGAAAGGAAAAGGGTTCAAGATATGAGTCGAAGGGTTAATATTTAAGGAAGAAAGGGAAAGGTTGAAAGGAAAAGGGTCCAAGATAAGTGAAAAGAATAATTCTCAATGGACCAAGGAATAGGGTTTAATTAAAGTAAGAATCAAAAGAAACTTATAAAGTAATATAAGCATTAAACTTTACAGGTCTTTGATAAGATTTTCTTCAACTCCAAATATATAGAATCTGATACCCTGATATTATGATCATGATTCTCAAATGTTCTAATAATATATCAACTGTTGAGAAGAGCTATTAGAGTAGGGGGAATAGCAGTGTAGCAGAACAAGAGAAAGATGAGTACAAGTATCAGATTACATCACGGTTTCATTCACAGTACAGTGAACCCAAGAAAATGTACAAACTGAAGAAAATTTGACAGCTGATTGAAGGCCTCAGGTGCGGGCCCTTAGCCGGGGGGGGGGGTACGTGCAAGGGATCAGATTCACCCCCTTTCTTTCACCACCCCCCAACCTTCAAATAAGTTTCTTGGTATAATTTTCTCTTGAAAAATAAGATAGTATATTCAAAGTTTTCCAAAGATTTTATCATTCTGTAAAGTTTTTAAAGCGTAAGAAACAATCGTTTGAAAAAGCTGTTCTCTCAGACCAACCAAATTAAACCATTTTTGAAAAATATTTGTCTTGAGATAAGGTTTTCTGATCGAACTGTTCTTTCGCATATGTCGATATACATACATACAACGTAACAAATATGTTCCAGTATTTATCAAAAATTCTATTTCTTAAATTTTGCAGAAACTTGTTGCCTCAGTTTCAGTATTTTCTTCAGACAATTCAAAATCAATGAACGTGAGTAGTAATATCAAAATTATCAACATTTTTGTTATGCAATATTGTGAAATTTGAACTAAAATCTAAATTGTGAAAATATTCTGTGTACCATACAAAACATCAACTTATGGGTAAATCGAATTTTGAAGCTAAAATTACGAACCTTGTGAACAAATTAGAAAATAAACTTTGTAACATAAAACAGTACTAGTTTTCATACCAAAACTTCTGGCTACGGGCCTGCTTAGGTGGCTTATCCTCGAGTTATCCATAATCAATGATTTAGACCAACTACCCCTTATACAACATATTATCCGTTCCAAAATTTAGTCTGATTCAAAAATCTAAATAACAAAGAATTGATAAATTTTTATTGAAATCTCATAAGTTCTTCCATCATTGATGGGCATCATTCATGATTATCTTTAAAAGATTGGTTCTCCTTATATTTATTATATAGACTGCAATACTGAGGTTGGTTCTCCTTATATTTATTATATAGACTGCAATACTGAGACTGGTTCTCCTTATATTTATTATATAGACTATTTACTGAGATTGTTTCTCCTTATATTTATTATATAGACTATTTACTGAGATTGTTTCTCCTTATATTTATTATATAGACTGTATACTGAG